TGCTCCCCCCCTCTCACTTTTTAAGGGAACATTACAAAACTGCTGGGCCAGAGCTGCCATCTTGCATTAGGACCAAGAAGTGGGATAGGAAATGGTTCTTCTCACTGTCCTTTAACTCCATCAGAGGCAACTGCTCCCTAGGAAGGACAGTTGGTTTATTCTCTTTGGACTTTGGCAGACACTTGTATGGTACAAAGCCTTAAGACTAAACTAGATGCCACAAACTTCTTCTACAGGTCACATCAAGCCAGTGTTCCTTTTTAAAGCGGAAAGCTACCTCAGGAGAAGGAAGAAAAGATAAGTGGGGATGCACCCCCTTCCTCTCTCCCTCCTAGGGGGAATACTATAGGAAGGGACCATTGGTAAGAAATCCTGCATTTAAAGGAGACTGTTGGCCTCTCCATATATTCTGTTTATTGCAGATTCATGATGATTTGATGCTATTGAGCCCGACCTTGGCTGGGGAGGGCGGGGTATAAATAAAAATTATTGTTATTATTATTATTATTATTATTATTATTATTATTATTATCAGGATGGTCACAGGTAGAGCCTGCTTCCAATTCTGTTTATGTCTGCAAGTTTTGGGGCAGGCACATTGCTTCCCTTCCAACCAGCGCATATCCCAGAACTTCCTGCTGAAAGCCCATCACTTTTTAACACCACAAATGCTCTCATTTAGTTTTGCCCTGCTTTCTTTGAACTATAGCCCTTCGAGAGAGCAATAATGCGGTAGCATTGGGGAAACATCACAAAACAAAGGGCTCGTCCACATTTGTCCTGCGATTTCTAGGTATGGGTTCAAGCGTGTTTTCCCCCTCTCTTTTGTCTTGCTGCTTTCTCTGTCTTGTATACTGCTGAGTTGGAACAAATGTCAGTTGGGGTTTCTGCAGATTGACATTTGCTCCAATTCAGCAGTAAACAGTGGGTTTTCTCAAGGAAAGTAATGGGACAAAAGAAAAACGTCTCAGACCTGCGCCTAGAAATCACACGGCAAGTGGAAGTGTGGGTGAGCCCAAACTGAAGCAGATTATTGTGTTAAGAACATGTTGCAGAATAAACCACTGCAATAAAAGCACCAGCCTGAAGGAGAAGTCAGTTTTCAGCAGTTAGTTTCCCAGATTAAAGCCTTCTCATCATTTGCAATGCCAAGAGTGGGAAAAGCCACCAGTGTTCAAGAAGGAAAAAATATTGGTCTCAGCTGAAGTTTGATATCTTAAAGAAGAGTTTTCCCTTCTTAACATTTGCTAGCCATAACTGTGTGTTTTAAGGGTTTCACATTTTTAAAGAATCCAGTATAAAATTTTGACATAAATATCTAAAGAACACCTGGTGATCTTTTCATCTGCTGTTCTTTGAAGCTATCACACCACACTCCAATACCAGAGATTTACAAGGCCACCTTCACGTTCCTTCTCCCGTCTTATGCCTACATGTGTCTGCTACACTCTGCTGTTCTTCAATATAACAAGGTGTGATATAACAAGCTTACAGGTGTAAGCATGCCACTGAAACTGTTAATGCCACATTTGAAAAAAGCAGATTGCTAACGTTTAGGACAACGGCCATTTTACTCAGAGTTAATATCTACACTTATATAGAAGAACTGCATTTTTTAACAAAAATAAAAATGGAAAAACTTGCCAGCTGCACAAGAGTTCTGAAGCTTTCATGTCGCAGGAGTCTGTCTTATACATCAGACAAGCATATAAAAGAGGCTTAGGGGGAATTTAACAAAGAAAAAGAATATCCAGGTGGTTTTTAAACTAGAATACAATAAAGGGCTGGGTTTAGAGAAGTGTAAGTAATAAGCAAACAAATTGAGAGGTACAGTAGGAGAAGTAATCTTAAAAAAAAAAAGGGAAGAAAAATTGTGTTTTATTTGAAAGCATGGGTGGGAAAGCCCATAAAATCAGCCTGGCCTGCTTTGTCTTCCCTCCCCCCCCCCAATACATATACACCACACACACCACACTAAGCAGCTACATGCAGTGCTTTTTTCATGGGGGCAGCAGTGGTACGCATACCCCTAAACATTTTGTGAATCTAAGTTTGGCCTCATTGAGGGGCAGTATTTCAATATGAGTAGGAAAATGAGAGTACCCCTAAACTTTTTTTAAAAGAAAAATAACACTGGCTACATGTAATTTCAAAACGTCATTCTATTCAAGTTAGAATGTGTTCTAAAATGTAAGGATTCTGAGGCTAAATTTAAAAATTGAAGCATTTCATTTCATTTTTTGCCCTTTAACTGGTTGGTGATGAGGCCACAGAATAAACTCTTTGAAAATAACCAGTTTTTTATTTTTAACATAACTTATATTTCTTTTTGAAAACTAAAATACGTGAAACGAAAAACAGTCCAAAGGTCATTGACTAAAGAGCACCTGCTTTGCATGCAAAAGCCCAAGGATCCAATCCGTAGCCTCGCCAGGTAGATGAAGGGACCTGGGGCAGCAAATAGGCCAAAGGTAAAACAAAACAGCTAAAAACATGTAAGAACAATTCCAAAAGAGATCCAGACTAGGAAAGAGCTCCATTTGGGTGTTAGAGATACCTATAAAGCAATTAAATATGAACACACACAGAATTTGATTTGGATGCATCATCCTCTACTGGCAGAATGGTTTATCTGCACTTTCAAGGTCTTCCAAAGCATCCAGGACCAACCATCTCTCTGAGTTAGATGTCAGAAGTGGACCTGAAGGTCATTTGCTTATTAGATTTATGCCTTGGCCCTTCTCCAAGTCCCTCATGGCAGTATATAAGGCTCTTCCTCATATTGTAGAAGAAGAAAAAGAAGAGGAGTTTGGACTTGATATCCCACCTTTCACTGCCCGTAAAGGTAAAGGGACCCCTGACCATTAGGTCCAGTCGTGGACGACTCTGGGGTCCAGTCGCCTTTGACTGAACTTAACCATACAGGGGTCCTTTACCTTTGTTTTTGTTTTTTTTACCTTACCTAATAATGGCTAAAGGTCACCCAGTGAGTTTCATGATATGAGTGGCCTCATACTAATAACATTATTGCTGTTATTATTTATTAAATTTAAATATTCATCTGAAGATTCCAGGGCATCTCCAAAGATACTAGTTCTCATGAATATGGTGTAAACACTACGATCTATTTCTTACTCAAGTCAGACCAGCTCAACCTGGGCAGGAAATTAAAAGATAATTTGGTGCCTCTTGGAGTCCTTTATCCCTTTTGTGTGAGTAAAAATTAGCATGCTGGTAGCTTGGCTGTCACACAGGCAAAAGAATTTCAATTCTTGGCAGGTTCACATTCCTTTGTATCTGGCCTACATAAAGTATTACCAAGTGGGCAAAGAAACCTTTTTAGGTGAACAATTGGATTAATCTCTTGGGGGGGGGATATAATCTAAACCTGAATTTGTAAAGATGTTTTGCAACCTGGGTTCCGTCAGACTCCCAGCTCCAGCAACATAAGGAAAGGCAGTGTTTGGAAATACACAGTTCTAAGCTTCCCGAGATGTGTGAATGTTCCACTTGTGTAGAACATATATCTTTCTCCACCTATAACTTCACTGCTACACTGCACAGGAAAATGCTATACTCATTCAATTAGGCAAGAAAGGAACTTTTGTAGGCATGCTTTTCCAAGGAAACAAAAATATCTACAGTCCTAACTGCAGTTGGAAAAACGTTTTGTGGGTGCCCACATGCATGCAATTGACCAAGCAGTAAAGTATTTACTTGAAGTAACACACTTGTTAAGTCAGAGTCATTGTGACATAGTAAAAGTTTTGTTTCTATGTCGCAAATTTTTAAAAAAACGTATGTGGATTAGCTCAGTAAATCCATCCTAAGAAGTCAACATGCTGACTTAACTAAGCACCTTAACAAGAAAATGTGATCAACATATTATCAACATATACCTAGTTTTAGTCAGTTATCCAAATACATTTTGTGTCCCCTTCTAGGATGACAGAAATAATTATCGTATTTGTTTAAAAACCAATAAAAAATGTTGTTCTTGTTTTTTAAAAAGAAATCACATAACTGTCACCTATTCTAGAATCTCTAGACACCTTATTGTAAAGGAAAACTCATTCAAAGATTTTCAATTAATTTCAAGGCTCTCTCCACATTAGAACATAGACATTGCTGCCTTAATTATGAAAATCTGCTTTTAATTTTTCTATCTTTAGCTGATTAATCAACTTATTCAAGTATGCAATTCAAATTATTCAAAGCACAATAGCATGCAACAAGGAGAAATACTTTGCACCAATGGCGCATGAATCCAATGCATGCAAGACAAGCTATGGGCTTTCAGGAAGTGGTAGAGAAAAAATGGACTTTAGAGTTCATCTTTAAACTCCTGGAGGTTTTCCAGAAGGAAAGTCTACTCTAAATCAAGTGAAGGCTTCTAAGGTGCAGATGTTTAGAGCTGATTGTGAATATACCATCATAGGGTGTGTGGTGACACCATTATTATGAAAAGCTCCCCAGAATATGCACTATGCAAGGAGAAACTTGCTGGTTTGCTGTTAAACTCACATGTTGTAATATGTTGCTTTTATTTTGTCATTATATTTTGTCATCACTTGTAAAATGAGGGCAGAACCTTGTGCAATTTGTTTACACAGTCACATCTGAATTAGGGGTCATTTGTATTCTTAATCTTTGCTCTGTGTGCAGATGCGGGCAATTACAGGACAAAGAAGAAAATCTTAAATCTCTGGACAAGTTAAATATTTGGGTCCTAAACATAAAAACATATGCTGGGGTACAGGCCCCAGGCATTTCAGAAATGGCTCTGCTGCATTGACCAGTATGCTTCAACAAAATAATTGTTTTCTACAGCAAAATCATGGCTTAAGTTAGCTCGTTAAGTTAGTTCGTTCAGTTATGCTACTTCTTTGAATGTGATAATGGTAACAGATATTGCAAGCACAATTCAATTGATAAATTTGGGTTCCTTATTTTTAAAAAAGAAGCTTTCCCACAGTACATTTTGTCAATAATTTATTGATTTAAGATTGATAAAGTTGCAATTCAGGCACATCATCTGTAAGTGAACTGATGACAACTTCAAGTATTGCTCTGAATCCAATAGTATAAAAACTTTTAACATTTGCTTTACAATGACAAAACAGCAAAAATACAATAAGGATATTTATATTTAAAACCATGAAACCATTGTACTCAAACCCATGCAGTACAATTTTAAAAGGCTGAAATAAGTCAGTTTCACTTTGAGCCAAAAATTGACTTAAGTTTTTCTGAACTATACCCATGCTATGTGTATGATCCAAGGCTCCACACAGTTTCAGTGTGCACACATAGAACATGCCGCAGCATTGGAGAGGACAGGCAGCTCCTACTTATGCAAAGCTCCAGAGCTTTTTGGATCATGCTCTTATTAAAACAAAGGTGTCCAAGGTCACTGCAGACTCAGTTGCTGCTTCAAAGCTAGTAAACTCAAAGGATAGTAAATTCTCTCTTGACAAAAAGAACATGGGAAGCTTACAAAGATTAATAGTCTCAATTATTGCCAGTAAGAGCACAGTGCCGAAATGCTGTCTTTGGAGCGACAATCAGGATGAAAAGGAGAGAGTTTCCTCCCAAATAGCATTCTGGGATGTCACAACATTGGAAACCTATATGCCCAATTTTCCCTTGTTTTCAAGAAAAATCTATGGTAAGAATAGTCTCACAAACTATAACTGACAAACAGGACAAATGTATTTCTAAACAAGTGTTTTGATCCTCTCATATACAAAATGTAGATATTGATACCCAGCATTCTTGGCACTGGCTCTTGCAGTACGCACTGAATGTCAAAGACACATAATGCCTGCCAAACAAACAAACAACCACGGTGATTTATTTAAAGCAGTACTGAAACACAGCCGGGAGGGAGGGGATCCAGTTCAGTATTTTTCATGCAATTAATTGGTGCTGAAGTACAACCATAGATCACCAAAAACAGTAGAACCTGAGACACTCAACATTACATGATGGATGTTCAGGGCCAGGCTACATGCGTCACTCTAGCACAAATGTTTCCAAAAGACGATATTTTGGTTGTTGGCACTTCCCTTGTATTACACAATTTTAAAACATGAATGCAATGAACCAAAAAACCAACCATCTATTTAGACTACATTTGCAAAGACCTGGTGGTTTATCTGTATCGAAACTAAAACATTTACATGGAATGTTGAGTTTATAAAGCCAGTGTTTCAAATCACAGACACCTAGGGATCTGTTTAATAAATGATCACATTGACAAGAAATGCAAAAAATTAATATATCCCTTCTCACCCCTTTTCATAAATATATATAGTCTCACTAAATTCTTTTGCCTTTAAATAAGACAGCTAACCCTTTTATACATTAACATAAAATAACTGGACTTCCTGTTTGCACACTAAGTCTCTGATACATCACTGTCACGTATAAATTGGAAAGGCAAATTCACTTGAACACAACAAGTATTTCTCTTTTCATCTACTAATAAACTTTGTGTCAAGAGGAAATCAAGAAGAAGCAAAAAAAAAAAAAATACTTTCTCCATTCCAGAAAACACAGCTCTGGGTCAGTGTAAAATGAGAATGATCCACTAGTTTTAATTACAAATTTTCAAATAAAAAAATAGGTTCTGGGTTTTCTCAAAGGCTGTTTTAGAAAGGTTTATAATTAAAACAATGAAGCACTTATATAAATAAAATCCATTTACCCAACTGCCTCTTTCCCAAAGACTAACCCTCCACCTTGTTATCTTTGTTAGAATTACCCCAATCTAAGCTTTGATGCACTGCTTTGAATACTCCCCAAGGGTAATCTACAAATACTCAAGATGCAGAGCAATATTATTGCTTATTGAAAAGATCCAAGAAAGTTTTTCCACCAACATAAATAAAATTTGCTGTTGTGGTAAAAGTCAGTCTGGATGTGGAAGACAATACTCAGCACACACACAAAATTCGGATTGAGCGTAAGCAAGTTCAAATATTTGTATTTTAGTTAAAGAAGTAGTAGCCACTTTTGCATCCCCAGTTTTAAAAATTTCAAGTGCTAACTATTATCCAGGTCTGGAAGTAGCAAAATTGGAAGCCACTTAAACACTGATATCAGACCTTAAGACTTTTTAATATCAATGCTCAGCTTAAAGGATATCTCATACTGGATTGATGAAATGTGGTATCATAATAGCTGAAGATTCACTTCAAAAACCAGTAAAATTGAATCTGGTAAAAAATAAGGCTTCACTGTGATATTCTGCCTCCGAACCCCTATTCCAAACAGGAAGGTTTACACACAGAAAAATAAGATCAACATTCCACTGCACCAAGTTTGTAAATGCACCAGTTTGCCAAAGCTCGAAAAGCTTCCCACCAACAAAATGTCCATTTAGATCCAACTGAGTACCTTATTAAAATATTATGAAACATTTTATTTGTTTAGTGTTATGAATGCACCCAACTGACTGGAACCCAAAAGGTGTCTCGCTCCAGTCTGTCAAAGGTTGTTTTCAGCTCATTGTAAGCTGTAGTAAGATCATCATTTACTATAACTTTGTCAAAAAGGTGGCTGTATTGGCTTTCCATAATTTGTGCTGATTTAAGCATTTCTTGAAAGTCTTCCTCCTAAAAGAAAGAGAAGTAGTCATTCAAAAGGAAAAGGAAAACAAGTTACAAATCTGCCGAACTCGGAGTTAACAAGGAATCAGGTTTTATGGCCTGGTTCCAAGGATCTTGCTGTGTGAGTAGAAAGCATTTCCATTTGTGCTGGGGGAAGCTGCCAATTTCCTGAATCCCCCCGCAAAACTATTCTGAAGAGTCCCCTGACCCTCAGCAGCCACCGTGTGTGTGTGTGTGTGTGTGTGTGTGGATCTGTGCCCCTCCTGCGTAAGTAGACATGCTAGCATACATTTTGGATCAAAGCCTATGCTTAGCTAATAGTTCATAAAACAGTGAATAAAAATTGTATGTTCTTTATTACAAAATTAACACAAGTCTTCGTTTCAAACTATTTTGTTATTGTTTTAAAAACTCTATTTTGCCCAGCAATAGACTTCCGGGTTGGCGCCATCGCCGAATGGCGGACCCCCTCCGAGCTCCGGAGGGAGTCTGCTCGGCAGGGGCTGGGTCCTACCGCGCCGGCGACGCGGGGACCCTTAAAAACCACGGGCACGGAGTCCGTGGACATGGGTGACTCGGCTTGCACCATTAGCGCCCTCCCGACTCGTGAAGGAGCCTTTTTAAAGGCTTCGGATCGGGTGCCGGGAGTGGCGTGGTGCTTGAGTCCACTGCTTTCCCTGCCGAGCGCAGCCGCATGCCATTCGGCGGAGAGCGCTGACTTCTTCTATTGAAAATTTGGACTATTAACAACAACCCGTGAGTAATTGGGAAACCGGGTTCAAAATTTTGGATTTGGCACGAGCGGGGCGATTTAAAAGGAAGTCAATCCCCCTATTGTAAACATTCCAAAACAAGGACTGGGTAACCAAGGTCCAAAGGGAAGTATGTCTTTGATAAAAATCATTAATTTCACGATGGGAAATTATAAGAAATGTGCTGGAGGAGAAGAGTGGAGGGTGAGAAGAAAAATGCAACCCCCCCCCCTGGGAACCGGGGCGATCCGTGGAGCTTGGTGAAGAGAGACGGAGACTTTGACAGCTGTCAAAGTGGCTGTCAAAGCTGGAGAATATAAAGAGGACTTTACGAGGACCTTGCTGGTTAATTTTGTTACAATTTGCTATAATATGGATATAAACTGTTGGAAAATAAGCAACAATTTGACTTTTGGATTAGAGGATATTACAGTTATTACAATCCCCCTAGAGGGGTTTCGGGATACTACAAGAACGGTCGTAAGTGGAAAAATACCCTGGGATTCGCACAGGATTTGTTATCTTCTGGGAAAGCTGCAAAACTGAAAGAATATTTTGTCTACAGAGGAAGACAATGGAATTTTTATTGAAGAAAGAAAGGGACTGGACGTAAGTTTTTGTTCCTGAATAACAAACCTCTGCAGAGACACTAGATTTCTGAATTAGAAAGTTTTAGCAGCTGAACAGGACAAGAAACCTGAGAAAGTGAGGAATAAGAAGAATAAAGGACTGATTACGACACGGAAAGAACAACGGGAGGAGTGGTAAAGATCAAGGAAATTAAAGGCCTTTGTTAGATTGGACATTTGAAGTCAAATATTATTTAAATTAATAAACTAAAAGAAAACCGGCAAGATTGAAATGAGACTTCCAAGCTGATAACGTATAGACTGATGGACATGGGGAATTCAAACCGGGGAAGGGGGGAGATTTGAAATCCAAAGGCTGTGTAACTATTTTTTGAATTTTTCTATATCTCTTATTTTCTATCTCTTTACATAACTTACGCATGTTATTTTACTTTGATCGGACGTGTTTAAAAAAAAAGGGAATTTGTGGAAGGAACTGGGGTGGATCTTGGGGAAAATCTTTTCTCTTTTTCTGTTAATGATGTGGGACGGTGGTAAGATTTGTACAATTCAATCTGGATAGTGGGTTAAACAAATTAAGCTTTAAATTGGGAGTGAGAGCTTGTAGAACCAAATTAAGGAAAGGGGAATACAATTGGGGGGAGGAGGGGGGGAGTCCCAGAAAGTAGGGAATGAAAGTAAGGTTTTTAAATATCTTTTTTCTTTTGTCTTTTTTCTTTGTGTTTTTATATTCTTGGAAACTTTAATAAATATGATTTAAAAAAAAAAAATATTTTGCCCAGCAATTTACAAATCCTTCCTCTTTATCCGCATATCAGCATTATTAGTCACTAACTGATAATTAAAGAAATGTCTCTGTGCTAGAAAAAGCACTGGAAAAATGTTTTTAAGTTATTTACATTAATGATGTACTGACCAACTACATTACCTAAGACTCTGCCTGCTATTAGCAAGGGATTTACTAGAACACAGTCTGTATTTTTGAAAGTTTGGTAAAAATCCAAAAGAATCGTTCCTTTCAGATTCATGGGTCTTACTAGGGCTCATTCAGTAGGTTTTTGCTCATGTTTTTGGAAACATAGAATGTAACTACATAAAATTAAGACAGAAAATCCTAAGAAGAGCAAGTCCCCAGGACTGTGTTATACTTTTACAAATTAAGAAACTATTTATGTATTTAATAGTCTTGTGAAGTCTCACTAGCCTGATTATTCCAAATTCATGTATTATTTTAAAAAACCAACATTTACAACAATTTTGTCAGAAACAAATTGACAATATCCACAGTTGGCATCCTTGCTAGGCATTCACACTGTTACACATACTCCTTTCCAACAACCTCCACAGGATTCAATCCTGAGAGACATTCTTGCTTGCATTCACATGATATTGCCGGACACGGAGGCTGTGCATCAATACGTTTATTGATGTCTTTGACTTTCCTTGTCACTGATACTTATTCCTATAGTTTAGGTGCATATCTGGAGCAAACTAGAGCTAAATCTACAGATACCTGATACAATTATAATTGGCCAGACTTGTGACTCACTCATCTTGCAGTGGCAGCTGAAAAGAATGCTGGAGGAGAGGGGACATACCGTATTTTCCTGTGTATAAGACACCCCTATTTGGGGGGGGGGGGAACGACTCCAAATTAAGAAAACACCCCTCAGCACTAACCGTGCATAAGATGAGCCCCAATTTTAAACCTTTTTTGGGGGGGGTTTAAAAAAACCTAGTCTTATACATGGAAAAATACGGTAACTGCCTCCATCTCTAACATGTTAGGTGTGACACTGCCTAAAGGACAGGCAATAAGAACATGAAATGAAGGGAGAAGAGAGAGGGAGGTGGTGGTTCTGGAAGTGACCGGCCTCTCTGATTCTGTTTCCAATACTTTAAAAAAATGTTATGCTGAAAAAAATATTATGTGCACTGTGAACAAGGGTGTGTAGTCACCTTCACTGACAGACACAGCCCCCCTGGCACCTTGTCATATTTGCAGGAACGCAGAAGTTACTTACTTGAAAAGGCTTGGCAGCACCTTTTTCATCCTTGCTTGAAATTATCTTGGCATTTTTTCTCGTTTCTCGCAAACGCTCAATTGAAGGAGGTTTTATAAAGATGACAAACGGTTTAAATTCTAATGTCCTTAAATGCTTTACTGTCTGGAGAGAAGAAAATGCTAAGTTATGAGCAGCTTGTTTCAAAATTTATTTACTTTGAGTAAAGCAAGTCACCTGGCACTCTCCAGTTTCCTTCTGGCACTTCTCTATATTTTTCTCCCTCATCCCCCAGAGCTACTGCTATTAAGCATAATTTATATAGCATTTTAATTGTGCAGAGTAATTTACAATCGTTCATTCAGAAAGATCCTCCATAGTATTTCCTGAAGTATCCGTCATGTATCATATATTCTAGTTCCATTATATAGGAGTGTATGTGAATGAGTCCAGTTCTGAACAGGCAGGTAAAAGTTCTCAAGTTGGAATAATTTAGCAAAAATAAATCTGTTTTCATAGCTAAAGTGGTAAGCAGCTAGTCTTTTAGCACCCAGGTCCATTTTCCCCTCTACTAGCAGTTCAGTCAGTCCCAAGGTGGCCGGTAGAACATAAGATTTCACATTTCAACTCTTACCCACCTAAAGTATCTTATTTGTTTCTACAAAGCAATGCAAATCAGCATTCGGTTACCAACAGAAAAACAACATGTTGTAGTTTACTTACATGAGGTTGTACATCCAACAAACAAACTTTATTTTTAGCCAGAACAGATCTAACTGAATCTACGCTGGTTCCATAGTAATTGTTTTTATATTCCCCATATTCAATAAACCTGTAATTGAAAAACATTATTGAATGTTTCCTTTAAAGACTCCCCAAACGTAGCATTATACAGAGATGATTCACACAATCCAGTTCTTTTTACTTCTATGTGAGAGTCTACTACAGATTTTTTTGCTTTGAGATTATATATATACAGTGGTACCTTGGTTTAAGAACAGCTTAGTTTATGAACAACTTGGAGTAAGAACACTGCAAATCCAGAAGGAGGTGTTTTGGTTTGTGAACTTTGCCTTGGAAGCAGAACATGTTCTGCTTCCGGTTGAGTGTTTCATTTGTAAATTGAGTCCCTGCTGCTATGGGAAAGCACACCTTGGTATAAGAACGTTTTGGTTTAAGAACAGACTTCCAGAACAGATTAAGTTCATAAACCAAGGTACCACTGCACACACACACACACACACACACACACACAGTAAACCTGCTTTTATTTCAGAAACAGAGCAAAAGACCTAGAGAACAAATAGCCCGCTAAAGTTTTTTTTATCATCTTCATTTGAAACTAAAGAAGTAAAAACATGCATAATCTAAACAATAGATTATTGGACGCTGTTTCCACATCTGACCTGTTTTATCACACGAATAAACAGAATCATAGAATTACAGAATTATAGAGTTGGAAGGGACTATGAGTGTCATCTAGTCCAATTGTTCAATGTAACTTCTTATATAAAAAGACTACAAAATGTTTTTGGGGGAGGAGTGTAACATTATCTTATGTAACACTGCATCAGCTTTATACTGAACAAGTTTGCAAACTTGAGAGTCAATGAAGCCCTTCCCTCTTCCTCCCACCTATACCCTCAGCACAGGAGCAGGACTTTGCTGGTGCTGTATACAGAAGCCACTTTTGAAGTTAATAAAAAGAGTTAAAACTTCTGACATCTGTCCTGGACATTTCAGAAGTGGTCTCAAACGCAGAACAGGAGATCTGCTGTCTAGAACTGCTACTGTGTTCATATGGATTATAATCACAGTTGAGGGCAACAGTATATGTAATTGTATTATTCCCATTAGTGGTAATTAATTTTTTCCACTAGTGGTCAGCAGTTGTCAGTTAATGTGCAAATAAGTGGTTCAGGCAAGCCAACAGATCACAGGTAGGGAAGTAAGCAGATATTTAAGAGAAACTGAATACACATTGCTGCCCCCCCCCCATTCAGATCAAGTTTGTTCCAATCTGAATATTTAGAGGAGGAAGCACCTTCCATTTATAAATTGATGTCTAGCCACAAAATGACAAAAAACAATTGTTATGACAAAAGTTCTTGCTTTCCCACATACTTGTTGTTCTGTACATCTGTCTCAAACAAGTGCTTGGAAATAAAGATGTACTCAACGCCATCACTTTCTTGGCTTCTTCTTGGTCTTGTTGTGTCTGGATTTATTGAGAAAGAAATAAGAAACAGTTTACAAATGAACAAACAAAACCAGAAAACCAACAGAAGTCTTTTCTGTTTGATCACAGAATCATAGAATTGTAGAGCTGGAAGGGACCACGGGGGTCATCTAGTCCAACCCCCAGCAATGCAAGAATCTTTTGCACAATGTGGAACTCAAACCCCTGATCCTGAGATTAAGAGTCTCATGCTATCAGCTTGATGTTAATTACCAAGACATTGTTGCAATGTGAGTGGTGGTGGTGGATTAAACACAAAAGCTCCTCCCTCCTCTAACCAAGATCAGGAATTGGCTTAAGTTCCATGCATTCTCTCCTCATTCATGTTCCCTTCATAACACACAGAAGTGTTCCCAAAGTTTCAATATTCAAAAGGACATATGAGAAAGCATGCGTGTCTAAGAAACATTATTGATCTCATGGCACAGAATCAATTCAGTTTTTGGACATCCTTCAAGTTGATATGATATTATCTTTGTTGCAATTCCTGAAAATAAATTATCCTAAAAATTAGAATGCTTGCAAGACTTTGTGCCAATACTGCTTATTCTTTTTGTAACATCTGAGCAATATACCCAATAAAAACAGTCACATTAAAGCACTGGTATTACACATGTGCTGTACCACACACATTTCATTCATAAAATTTTGTGAGTTTCAATAAGATTTCAAGTTATATTGAAAACAAGTGCTTTAATCCCTGCTTCAATAGTTCTTTATTTACTTCCTGCGCTACTGAATTCAGTGTTTCATTTGTCACTATAGATAACTTTATTTTAGATTTTCTCAACAGTTAGAGCAGATTCAGGACTTGCTCAGATGCAACAAGGCTTGTTTTGAGCCTTAAGCCTACATGCTCCCTTCCTTACCCCTAAAATAATTAAAGTACTCATTCCTGTCAGTCAGCTGCACCAACACTCAGCAAATGGGTGGCTTGCTCAAATTTGTTAACACAGCAAGGATATCAAATACGGATCAGTTCTAGTCATCCTTTGGAATGGTTTTGCCTCTACTCTAGCAAGTTGGGAAGTGATGTGGAAGCACCAAGTCAGCATTAAAGGTGCAGATGGGAGTGCAAACCTGACTATGGCGTAACAGGCCCCTGGGCCACTCCAATTCTGTCCTGTAGGGCCACAAATTCCTACTCTCTGTGCCATTTGTGGCACAACTTCTACAGGTTGGACAAAGCTTCACAATGCTGGAAGAGTACCCACCCCATCTCTCACAGAGATTTTAACTGAGAGCTGTTATTTTCTAAAGTGTTTAGCGACAGCAAGAAAAAAGCACAGCCTTTACATTCTTATTCAAGGTGAGCACTCCTAAAAGGCATACCCTATATGTTCAAACATGTTCACCTTATGCCAGATTAAGTAAAACTGAACTTTATACAGAACTGATTGTCACTTACGTGGCACGGTTACACCATAATGCTGAGTATCACTGATCAACAATTTCCGTTTAAGTTCATTCAATCCTACACCCACAGGCCCTGAAAGTTAAAATGCATTGTAATCAATTATCCTTTGATTACTATTTCAATCATGCAACACCTTATGATGTGAAATTTAAAAGACACAAGGCCAGAACAAGATGTGTAACTTCAGCACCATCCACATTCTCTAGGCAGAGATAAAGAGATTGTCCTTACATCAAGTAACTCTCTGTGTATATCAGTATCTGGCAAAAAAGGCAGCGGGTTGTTCATTCTTGTGACCTGTGGGCTTCAGGAACTGCAGTTCTACATTACCTGGAAAATGAACAACCCGCTGCCAGTTTTGTCAAAGAATGATATACACACAGAGTTACTAAATATACAAAAATATGAATCTGACAGAGCAGAGATTATTGGAGATACCCAAGAATCATGACTGGATATCCATCTTCCCACCAACATATTTAGGATCCACTGTACTCTGAATACAGGCAGCAATTTCATGTGACTTTGTTTCATCTTCTTAGCTTTCTCAAGACAAGACACACAAAATTGAAAGGTGTATTTCAGGCTTCCTCATCAATTCCCATCACCCCTGACCACTGGGTCCTGCTAGCTAGTGATCATGGGAGTTGTAGGCCAAAAACATCTGGAGGGCCAAAGTTGAGGAAGCCTGGTGTATTATGTTCAGCCCATCTTCTGCATAGATGGAAAAGCTGAAAGAGACACTTAAGTGATTAGCGTTTCTCTTCTCAGCTCCAGATCATATAATTTGATATAGAAGGGGCCAGGTCAGGGTGTGAGCCATTTATAAATTTTCTGAAGTTTAATATATTCAGACCCATCACAGTTATTAAATATTCAGATTTGACTAGTTGCACCCCAACCCATATGTGCAGTAAAGAAGTACTAATGAAGGCCAAATACTTTTCATTATTTCCAAACTATAGATTCTCCAGAAAAACCAAGCTGTTGCTGAATTTACACCATGTGCACTTAAGCAAGAAATGGCATGGCAAGTTTCATCTTTGCTTTGCATGAACTATAATTTATTACTGCAGATGAATGTCTAAAATGTAAACAAAATTTGTTGGCGCAGTCTGAAAATTAAAAATGACTGTGAAACTATCAGCATTAGATTTTTGTTCTTGTATTACCATTCTTACAATTATGCATCTCCAGACAACAGTGACTTATATGAAAGTAAATTACAATCTTATCTCTATGGAAATGGAATGGTTACTGGTAGGTTGAAAACTGATTTTTCATGAGCACTAGGAATAAAGCCTTCTATAAAGGTAGTATCAAAGCTCTGCACAGCTATGAAAACATATTTGATTTCCACTTATTCATGGTCTTCCTCACAAGGTTTGTGAAACATTCAAGGTGTTTGAAAATGATTGTTGTATTGTTTTGTTGCTCTGCTGTATTGTTTTGCCTTGAAATCCAACCATTTTGGAAATTTTAACTGAATCAATGCTATATGAACAGTCTTCAGTGCTTTGAGTATCTAGATGACCAGCAACCATGGCAAGGCATCTGTAACAGCTTACTTCATCTAATTTTATTTTTGGTTTGAACAGCTGTATCTGAAATAAAACTCAGGAAAATTTATTGGCTTGGATCCAAACTTTTTTGCTTCACTTTTTGCTTCACAGAAAGAGTTGAGCATACAGAAGAACCGCTCCCATGATTCCAACTCTCCTTCCATTTGCAGACCCCAAAATTAGGACCCAAGCCATAATATTTAAACAACTGGTTGGTTCAATCATTTTAACTTTTCATGTAAAGGTCCACTTCAGACTCCTCCCACCACTACTCTGAATCAAGATCCTCTATTAAGGTATTCTACACAATTTCCTACTTCTCCCTTACCTAAGGATAAAGTGACATACAGGGACCACAGGACTATGATATTAGAATTTAAAATAACCCAAATAAATTCATCTGCTTTTTTCCTGACATTCTGCAGAATGTTTTACCCAAATGGATGCTTTTCTTGTACAAACTGGTCATCTTTCCTAACATGCCAAGATTAAACCTTTGCACTGAAGTATCAATCGACACATTTCCCAGAAAGGAAATGAGTGTTAAGGGGTTAATTTCAGCCTTCCCTGTGTATCCCACTTGTGTATTAAAAATCTCCAGCTGCCTACCACAAACACCATTACTAGGTTTAAATAATTACTTTTGCCCCTTTTGTTCCATACTTGTTGAGGAGATATCATTTTATGGTTTATATCCAAGGTGCAACTAGAACAAGATGTTTGCAAGCTGGGGGAAACCCTCTTGCTGTAAATCCAATGCTGGTGATCCATATTCTGCCTAATCTGCCACCATACCCTTTCTGATTCCCTGATTCCCTGCAATGAGGAGGGGAGATCACAGCTCATCATTATGTGCTGGAGCAAATGTCAGTCAGGATATGTACAGTAATGTTAAATTCAGACCTGCAGCATTTGGAGTTCTGCTTGTCTCTTAGACAAAGCACCATTCCGGCTAGCATTCGCTTTATTTTGTCAGCCGATCAGTTCCAATGCCCTTCTGAATATCAATACTTCTAACAGTTAATCAATCATAGAATCACAGACTTCTAGAGTTGGAAGGGACCACAAGGGTCACCTAGCCCAACCCCCTGCAATGCAGGAATCTTTTGTCCAACATGGGGCTCAAACCCACAACCTTGAGATTAAGAGTCTCAAGCTCAAGACTTGTGCTTTCTCCAGTGGGTTAACATACCACCCCATAGCTCAGGGCCCACTTACCTAAAAACAATGGCTACTTTATTTTAGGGACCAGAATGCAGCTAAATAAGCATTCACTATCCAAATTATCTACTGGGGTGAACCAAAACTGGTTAGAGCCTCCATCTGGGCCTGTTAGGTAGAAGAGAGAGAAAAAAGGCAGATGGCAGCAAATGTGCGGGAGCTGAGATTAGATAGAAAGGAGAATCGCATCCCAGTGATAGTCTAAACTCTACATCGAGTTTATATTCTGTGAATTAGAATTCATTTATTTAAAGTAAGTTTAAGTGAAACATCTACTTGGCAGCCAATTATTTTTTAAATAGACTCCAATAATAAATTGTGTTTTCAGTTACTATAGCTGAACATTTTTGCCACAACCAATTATGTGAAAATTTAATTATTTGTCCTTGTATTTCCTGGCACTAACATCAAAATTGTATTTCACACATCGTATTGGATGCAGCTACTAGCATGTCCAAAGCTTTTAAATCTGATCATTTCTACTGTACCTATATTAACAGTGCCAGTTTTTCCACATTTTACCCAAGACATTTTTATGATATTGGCCAGACTTATGCTGCTTCTAATACCAAGAGAAAAACATCAAAATTACTGAAGTCTGCAATAAATTTGTGAGCTGCTTTTGTTACTGTAAAAGCACACTTTCTTTACTTGATTTAGTACCACCAAAATAAAACGAAATTTCTAGATATCCCTCAGAGCCGGCATATGTGATTTGTTATAAAAAGTCTACTTATCACACATTTCACAGAACTCTGTTGATATAGGTGTAAAATCAACTCAAGCATGTTATTACTTGCTGTGTAGAACCCACAATCTCTCGCTCACAGTAGTAGGTGCCTGAACTTGTGCGTTAGAGAATGACAAAGCTGTTTATTAAAAACTGATTTTAAGTGTTCCCTTGGATATGAGCTATATAAAAACAGCAGTTCTACAGTTCATAACAGTCCCTGATAGAGGGTCATATTTCTTCTGGTCTGCAACTTTTTATAATGGAAGAAATTCTGCTAATGAAACATTGGCCTATACACTACTGCAAAAGAAACTAAAATGTAGTGCAACAAGTACAAGAACAATTTACAATTGTTGGATTGTAAATGGAGTATATTGGAAAATATTTCTAAAAGGCTTTTGTAAGATCTCTAAATTGGTTATCAAGTGTTGAGATTGCTGACTAGATTCACAGACCATAACCCCATCCTATTTTATGTTCTGGACCATATCTTAAGTTTCTGCAAGTGACCAGTCCTGAGCATATGATGGAATTAACTGCTGAGGTAATATAGGAATCACCCAACACAAGAACAGAACAGAACAGAACAGAACACTGATTGGGTTACCCTGCAACTATAGTCAGCTACTAGTCCACATTGGCCCCACTTATTTTTGATAAAACACAGTTAAGGAAGACTAGGAATCTGTTTGGAAGAAAAGGGTAGCTTGTTTATGTAACACATTAGCAAATAGTGTTTGGTATATTGATTGCTTCATAGTTATGTTCCTTAGCTTCATAATTGATGCAATAGTGGGTATTTTTTTATTGGCTACTGGCAAATAATAAAACTCTGACAAGTTTACCCTGGAGTCAAATAGAATGGCACTCTAAAGCAAACGGAAGCAAAACTGATGAAATCTGCTGTGGCTATGTGTCCAACACTTAATAATAATAATAATAATAATAATAATGAGTCTTGCACCATGACTGCAGATCTGCTTGTGATTAGCTATCCCTACAGTGTGATGAGATTTAAGAGCACAGGAAAAGGGGAGCGAGCTAGCTAGCTAGCTAGCTAAATAAATGTCTTGTGAACCATCTCAAGGCATTTGCTGACTATGAATACAAGTTGACTATTTGTTGACTATGACCTGAATACCAGTTGGCAGGAATTACAACTTGGGAGAGTGCTATTGCACTCATGTCCTGCTTGTGGGCTTCCCATAGGTATGTGGTTGGCCACTGTGAGAACAAGATGCTAGACTAGGTGAGCCTTGGCCTGAAACAGGAGGCTTCGTCTTAGGTTGTCTTTTTGAGACAGGTAAAATAAAGCCGAATAAAGCTTAGAACGCCTCCCCCTCTGCAGTGTAATTCACCCAACCGGGCAAGATTCTGAATCAAGTTTTAAGTGCTCGGCAAAGAGGAGCTCACAATCCTTAACTAAGAACTGAAACACATTACATCTGCATGATAGGGAGAGAAACTTTACAGAAAGGCTGTAAGCTAAACATGGGTAGATCTCCAGCTACTCCTTTTCCATGTGGGAAAACAATGTATGTGACTGAAAAGGGATGAAAATCATCTTTTCAGCAGGTGAATGCACAGGCTGTCAGGCCAGGAAAAAGAATGATGGAAGCTGTAAAGACAGAAATTCACTCTCTCTGCTTCTGGACCTCACATACTGAGGAGAGCCTTCTCATATCCTTCTTGCTTTCAGGCCCAGGATAAATATGATGAATATTCATGCAATCTGGCCAATATGGCTAGGTAGACTTGAAAAAAGTCCATGAGACTTTCATGCTGGATGCTTACAGTTCTCAGATATGCATATAGACACATGCTCTAGCTGCTATTGTGCTGGGGCACCTCTGAATCTTTCAGCTATCAGCTTTCTGAGGGTTACATGCCAGCGGTGGATGAGGCCAGAGGCAAAAGAGCAACTAATGTACATTTTTATCTTTGTACAGTACCTGCCTGCCCTTGTGGTTCCTTATAAATATACTAGAATATATGGACCTCAGGAAACATCTGCTTCCACATGAGCGTCTTGAGACTTTTGAACATTTCAGGTTGCTTTGGCATATGATTTTTAAAGTCCAAAAAGATAACATGAAACACAAAACAGTTTAGTCTTTATTGAAACAACCTAGGTTCCTAATTCAAATAATTAAAACTTACCAACCAAGACAACAAGTCTGTATTTCTCATTGGGCTGTCGTCTATACTTTGCTACTTCTTCGTAAGTTGGGACATCTGCTGTATCGTACTGATCACTCTTCTTGCATTCATACATAGTCTTGTTTGTTTTTCTATCTTTTCTGCTGAGACGAAAACTCCTCCTGAAACCAGCTGTAGTTACGAGATTTAAAAAAAGAAGCAGAAGCAGGGGTTACTGTCATCAGCCTAGCCAGTAGCCCATCTGCAACAAATGCTCCTTCATATGGGCATTTGTTACTTTTGTTACTTAGTAATTTTTCTTCCTTATATCTTGAAGGAACAAATTCAAAGTCCAAATTGTTTTCCATATATATTTGATTAGGCTCATGCAAGGGCATATGGGAGCCATATGGGGTGAAATTTGATGTTTTTTTAATCTCCATTGTTTTGTGTTTACTTTTGAAGTTCCCCTATGTTTTTAGATAGGATTGTGGCCTAATCGCATTACCAAATTATTTTTATTCAAAAGGTGCCAATTTCAAAGTGTACGGGTTGCTGGTGAAAATTAGGAATGATGTATTTTTTAAAAAACAACATCATATTGGTATAGCAGGCTAGATCTCTGTTAAGCACTGAGAACAGAAATATGGGGAAATGTCACATTTGTAATACAGACTTGCAAAATTTGCTGATATCCCTACCCCCAAAATACTGATAATTACCCCAACTCCCAGATACTGATCATTTTAATAAGTGCTTGCAGAATCAACAGAAGACACTCATTTTTTTATCTAAATATGTTCCCACCTGAGATCATATATTTGACATCCACACTGGTTCAAAGAAAGTCAACAACAGCGATGAATGTTTCTAAAAACCTATTAGTTATAGCTGTCAACTTTTCCCTTTTCTTGCAAGGAATCCTATTCGGAATAAGGGAATTTCCCTTTTAAAAAAGGGAAACGTTGACAGCTATGCCTATTAGTAGCTTCACAGTCTTGAATTACATTAAAAATCCATTTTAATCATTGCAACACCAATATGCTTTGTTCTGATAACACATACATCATTAAATGGGGCACAAGATAAAATATAATTAAGGGGAGAAACAGTCAATATATTAAACGACATAGCTCAGCCAGTCTACAGTTGTGTTTGTCACTTGAGTCAGATGTTCTACTCTGAGCAATCCAGGACAGACTTCTTATGATGGGAAATAGATCTCATGCCTCCTTGCTTGCTGAGACAGATCTTCACTGAGTTGTTGCTTGTCCTTACCAAGATCTGCTTGCCTTTTATGTTGCCTAGAAAAGCCCAACGTATCAGTAGGATCACCTTTAATTCAAGCCACTTGATACTTCTTTACATTTCAATACTTTGCATCCTCTGGTGCACTATTGGTATGACCAGAACCTTCATAAACACCATGGGAGCAGCAGTGAGACAAAATGGTAGTGCTCAGAATCAATAGCGACTGCTTTTAATAGAACCACAGGAATGTCTTGTCCCTTAAATGAATGAGTTACACAGAGAAACATCTAAGAATTCTATCACTCCCACCCTGAACTCCAGTCACAACTGCATCCCAGCATGCTGATCTGCCAGAGAATACAATACTTCTGACGTGCTGCTGTAGATCAGAGCTAGAAATTAAAAGATAACTGAATGCAGGAATAATTCTGAATCACTACAGCCAGCCGTAAACCTGAATAGGCAAAAATTTAAAGCTGTGATTGTCAGATGAAGGGTGGTATACAAATTTAATAAACAACAACAAATAGAAATGCAAGGAAAATGCAAAGGAAAGTCATTTAAAAAACTCATCAGAGTAGATGTTGAAATAAGGGATGTATGAAGAGATGACAGTAATTATTATCACCATCAATATGAAGCCTCTGCACTGCCCTCACCCAAACAACTTTGGAATAATCCCCATTGTAGGGTATGCACCCTAAACAACAAATGGTTGTCATAACCTTCCCCCACCCCCCAGTATTCTACTGAGGCATCTATCAACTGAGGTTGATATCTACTGAGGTGTTCATCAGTATGCAGATGATACCCAGCTCTACCTCTCTTTTAAATCAGAACCAGTGAAGGCGGTGAAGGTCCTGTGTGAGTGTCTGGAGGCGGTTGGAGGATGGATGGCGGCTAACAGATTGAGGTTGAATCCTGACAAGACAGAAGTACTGTTTTTGGGGGACAGGAGGCAGGCAGTTGTGGAGGATTCCCTGGTCCTGAATGGGGTAACTGTGCCCCTGAAGTACCAGGTGCGCAGCCTGGGAGTCATTTTGGACTCACAGCTGTCCATGGAGGCACAGCCTGGGAGTCATTTTGGACTCACAGCTGTCCATGGAGGCATAGGTCAAATCTGTGTCCAGGGCAGCTGTTTACCAGCTCCATCTGGTACGTAGGCTGAGACCCTATCTGCACGCTCTGGTTATCTCCCGCTTGGACTACTGCAATGCACTCTACGTGGGGCTACCTTTGAAGGTGACTCGGAAACTACAACTAATCCAGAATGCGGCAGCTAGACTGGTGACTGGGGGCGGCCGCCGAGACCATATAACACCGGTCTTGAAAGACCTACATTGGCTCCCAGTACGTTTCCGAGCACAATTCAAAGTGTTGGTGCTGACCTTTAAAGCCCTAAACGGCCTCGGTCCAGTATACCTGAAGGAGCGTCTCCACCCCCATCGTTATGCCCGGATGCTGAGGTCCAGCGCCGAGGGCCTTCTGGCGGTTCCCTCATTGCGAGAAGCAAAGCTACAGGGAACCAGGCAGAGGGCCTTCTCGGTAGTGGCGCCCGCCCTGTGGAACGCCCTTCCAGCAGATGTCAAAGCGATAAACAACTACCTGACATTCAGAAGACATCTTAAGGCAGCCCTGTTCAGGGAAGTTTTTAACGTGTGATATTTTACTGTATTTTTGGTTTCTATGGAAGCCGCCCAGAGTGGCTGGGGAGGTCCAGCCAGATGGGCGGGGTATAAATAATAAATTATTATTATTATTATTATTATTATTATTATTATTATTATTATCAAGCAGCCACCCACTCTACATTCCAATAGGCAGCAAAACAAACAAAGCAGCAATGGGAAGGATCCCCAGATTTCATCTCCCACATTTTCAAAGAGTTTTTAAAGCAGCTGCTCTATATGGATGGCAGGAAGCAAAGTGAAACAAACAGAGCAGCAACTGTGTGGATCCAAGGACAAGGATATAAGACAGATGCAGGAAAAGGGCACTAAAGGGGGACACCAGCTATGTGGAGCCCCAGGTTTTCCCACTGCCTGGTGTCTAAATAGCTCACTTATCAATCACAGCTCCCACTTCACTCACTGGCTAATCATTTCACAGAATTATTGGTGCTTAGAAGGGTACCTTTCACACTTTGATTATAATTTTTTCCTAGGAGGGGTAGAGACATGTACTTTTGAAAAATGAAAGCTGGGGGCACCAAATAAGGCCTTCACTGGTTCCATGGTGCTTATGGCAGCCTGGTAGCTCATTCCAATAGAGGAGTCAACTTTGCAAGCTAACCCTGTTTCCTGCTGGTGGGAGAGGCACTCCTGGAGGGTATCTGAATGCCCTCCTTACTCTACAAAAGAATAGCTGCTGCTCAAAAGGAGTTTAGGCTCCCCTCTAGAAGTACATACTTGAGGGAAAGCAAAAACTTTCCTCTGTTTTGTTCCACAGATCATCAGTGAAAGGCACTGAAAATTAAGCCAGCTCCTGGGTGCAGAACCCTTTGCATCAATCCTATTTCATGGTCAAACTAGATTGTAACAAATTAGCAAACACTGAACAGGACTTCACACCCCCTAATGCTAATCCCTTCTTCCTGGTCAGGTTAAAGTGTTAGACTATTCCAAGTGCAATCAACCACTTTAGAAATGCTACACACTGAACACGTTCCTAGCAACTAGCTGTAGAAACAAAAGAGAGCAGCACCCCCTCTTCTGGTAATGGCTCACACCATTCTTCTTGGAGACTAAAACCGGTATTTATATTGAGTTTACAGAGTTTTTAAGTATGTTAATAAATAGCTATTTAAATAGTTTTCTCCAAAAGGGTGAAACCAATTATTGTTTTTAATAGTATGCAAACAGTTTACTACCAACAAAATAGTTTAACTACATGGTTTGAACCATTAAACTACATGAAAATTAGTTCAACTTCTGTCCTTCACTGCTGCCCATTTAATACCAATCACTGTTTTTCAAAATTGCATACACTTTTTTCTCTATATACATTGAAGACAACCCTTTGTCTTCAATGTATATAGAGAAAAAGACAAACCATTGTTTCCAATAAGTATCAACAGCAAACATCTCACAAAAAGTAGGTATCATTTAGACATAAATGGTAAAGCCCTGCCCATAGGCTCACAATCTACAATGATATACATGCTTTGTATATACAAATTTAATACAGTTTGACATACATTATAGACAAATAGCAAGTTCTCTGTTAAACCAGCACCATATTATTGACTAGCACAGTAAAAACATTGTTAATTATTTCTGGACAACTCCAGTCTGTAGGAAGTTCATTTCTGAGGCCACCTTATAACAGTACACCCAATTCCTGACATATGACTAGGGCTTTTAAATAGTTGTTATTCTGTATGTCTGATACCACTGTGGTTTCACATTATGAATCCCAGAAATAACATTTCATGAAAACCGAATGAAGCTATAACACTTCCACCCTGTATCCACAGTTAAGAAACTGGGAGTGACCCAATGGTCTCCCCTTCTTTCTCCAACTTTCCAGCAAAAGTTTCCTTCCAAGCCTTAGCTTGGAGTGCATCTGCATTGGCACTCACAAGGTTCCCTTCTAAACTAACGCTTGCTAACCTGCTTCAGATCCTGGTTGGAACGGTGGAGATTAGTGAACATACTGGGCCAAGAGTGATACCAAACTGAACAGGGTGACTGCAGATACCTCAGAGTATGTAAGTAGCACCTACATGGAGGCTCATAGAGCCCTGCTGGTAGAAGTATATAGGAGGAAGGCAAAGGTAGTGATGGAGTTTTCTCCCCCCTCTCATTACCAATGAATTCTGGCATACCTCCACACATCCCATGAACTACTCGGAATAATCTTATGATAACTACCTAGTTCCTTGATCTGAAACTTATTGTTATGCAATTTTATTCTGTATGACAAAAGGTGTGAGTTAAGGTTGATAATCCATCATACTCAATTCTACTAAGTTAAAGAAAACATATATTTCAACAGAAGAGATCAACTAGCAAGGTCTGGCATTAAAGTTGCTAATTTGAATAGTGCCATCAGTGGTACTGCTATTATTTATCAGTCTCCCAACGCAGTTCCTTGAGTGATGTCAATGATCAAAAACTATTTACACAAAACAAGAAATCATTAAAGAGAATAAAACAACTATAAAACAGAGACCACAAGATTAGAAATCACAGCAATAATCAGTAAGACAGAGAGAGCTCCCAAAATAAATTTCACAGAACTAAAATGACCATGCTAAAATCACAGCAGCATGCAAAGATTAAATAATTAATTATTTCAATTTAGAAATACAAACTATTTTAAAATGCCTGGGAAAATAAATAAGAAAAGTTATTTGCCTGGCACCAAAAAGGCATTAAAATGTGTGTCAGGTGGGCCTCTCTGGCATTCCACAAGCAGAAAGCCTTTTCCCTCATGACTATTCTCTCTGCACCTCAGTTTGCAGGGGTACTCAGAGAAGAGCTTCAGATGATTATTTCAAGGCACAGATAAATGCAAGTGGGAAGAAAATATCATTCAGCTACTGAGGTCCCAAATCATGAAGGGCTTTAACAGTGAAAGCTATTCTGTTCGGATTGGTAGGCCTCCTGTGGCATGCAAATATCGGCATACAGATTTAGTGCACAGCTTCTAAAATCTATCTGGAAGCATAGCAGTGTCACCTTCCCCTTTAATAAAACATGTGACATTGATATATTAATAAATTATGTAGCATGCCCTCAATTAGTTTCCACCTACTCTTGTGCTGCTGATTTACCCTGAGTAGTTCCTGCATCCACCATGATCTCAACCTCCTTCCCTATGCTACCGCATTTTATACCCCAATATGGGCCAATTCTTAACAATAATTTGTGTTCTCTTCCCACATCCCTTACTTGAAGAATAAAGAAAACCTAATATGGTATGTTCAACTTACAATGGTTCTTGTGTAGCATCTTCTAAGGAATTACCAGTAAACCACTTCAAGAATAGGTGAGCAAAGATGAGCCAGTCTGTGGTATCATTACTTGGCTCATTGACAGGAAAGTAATCCCAGCCATCCAACAGTACTAAATTAATTCCCTGCAAGTCAGCAGTAGCCAACATGGTACCCTCTAGATCAGTGTTTCCCAACCTTAGGCCTCCAGCTGTTTTCGAACTACAATTCCCATCATCCCTGACCACTGGTCTTGCTAGCTGAGGATTATGGGAGTTGTAGTCCAAAAACAGCTGGAGGCCCAAGGTTGGGAAATGCTGCTCTAGATGTTATGGAGCCACCAACTCAAGTCAGAGTGGCCAATGGTCAGGGATGATGAAAACTGTAGCCCACAACAAGTGTCAGGTACTACAATGGCTATCACTACACTAAGTCATGAGATTACAACTTTCACCATTCCTACCAGCTTATTTAATAAGGGTTGATGGGAGTTGTAGTTCAATATCATCTGGGACCCAAGATTGAAGAACACTGTGATAGAAAAATAATGTAGTCAGATGGAATATAGCCAGCCTAACATTTTGTCTAGGACAAGTATTTAAATTTCCTTGCAAATTCTACCCAAGTAAATTATTTCCTTATATTCAAGGTAGCATTTCAATGCATTCTATATTTCAATGTTAGTAACATATGTTGCGGTTAGGATGCAGATCCTTTGTGTCAAATCCAGTGAGCCATTTTTTAATCTAGCAGATTCATAGCATGCAGTGATGCCCATTACCTGCAAACTCTGTAGCCATCCAGGAAAAAGCTGAGAAAGAAAGAGAGTCTTTTGTAAGCAACTGCTCACCTATGTGGGCTCCACTGTTGTGACCAGCACATTCAGCTTCCTCTGGATGAAGTGTAAAAGCGTACAGAACAAAAGCCAAGAAATAAAGCAGAATAGTTAGATGCCCAGCCATGAATGCAAAAGAAGAGTTACTTAAAAATGACAACTGCAGAAAGCACAGCATAAAAAGCCTTCAATATGCCACTGCTTAAAAATAAATCACTGTGTTGTTCTGAAGTTGAACAAGAGATTTTGGAGTACAGCCACATGCATATTTAACTTTTCACTGTTTTATTGCCTTATTCATGACAGAAAATAAAAAAGTGATTTTAAAAGGTGTTCTACTTTATATTTTAATGTAGGATAAAAAATACAACAGCTGAAACACAAAGGTAAAGAAATCTACAAAGAATATCAGGAGTTTTTGTATTTGGCTCAATGGATCAGACAGAAAGGGTATTTTTAATGAATATAACTTCTTAGGTATAAAATAGTATTGGTGCCTATTTTAATATACCAAATGTCTAACAAAACACTTTACAGCTTTTGGGTATATACAGACAGATAGATAGATAGATAGATAGATAACCTATCTAAAGAAATCAATGAGCTACAACTGTTTAAATGTATGCTGCAAGTGAAAAGTCCTCCAAAGATTGACACCACAGCAGTAAAGCATCTGTCAAGCTGTGTTCCAAAATTGCACCCCTAATGACTGTAAAAGATCCACTTTATTCAGTGTCAAAGTTTGAATTTAAGAAAGATAATCTATTAGAGCCATGCAATAGGACTGACATCATCTTTAGCTCCATGGAAATGCCTTGTGTTAACGTATCTGCTTTGTTCAGTTATGTTACTTTGCTAACATTCAGAGGTTTTAGCACACATTCACTCCTGTTCTGCATACTTGACCCATGTGCAGAAACAGGCAGATCTGTTGCGTTGGGCCCCCAAAATTCCTGCTATGTGAGGAGAAGGAAAAATACAAAGGAAGAAACCACATCTGACAATGGGATAACACATGTGGATCCCTGTGCCTTACCCCACAGGAATCTTCATGCACATATGCCAGTACTGTGCTGTAGGAACTACGTGCAGAAAGCAACATGTTCACAGTCTTCTGCTACCACGATTCTCAGGATTGAAACAACAATTCCAGCAACAACTAAGCAACTGGCTGTTATGACTACATATACTGCTATCTATATGGATTATTTTCTAATTGCCTCTAAGTCAGTGATGACCTAGAATACTTAGTTTTTAAGCCATCACTTGCAGCCCAGCAGGGAAGCTTGTACATGTACCTTCAATTTCCTCTGAGAAGCGCAAAAGGGGGAAAAATAGGATGCAAAGTGATTACATGGACTGAAGACATAATGGAAGAATAAAGGGGGGGGGGGTAAAACACCTACCACACTCAACTGTTTCCTCAGCTTAGAACAGCCAAAAGACAAGCAGACATGATTTACATTATATTCAGCACATAATAAAATGGGAAAAACAGAGCTGTGTAATATAAAGAACAGGTTAAGAGCATATTTTGGAGAAGTATGATGCACTGCACGTTCAACGTTTTGCTGCAAAAGCCTGTACCCCAATTTCTTTTATGGGAGTGGGAAATGACAGAACCTCACTTTCAAAATGTGTAAAGTTTTTTTGGTGTGTATGCAAAGGCTATGTTCCCCTAACACTGTTTAAGAGACAGAAAGGTTTGAACCAGCTCTGGGATGAAAAAACAATACATTAACTAGTCATGTTCTGCTTAGCATCATAAGTAAGAGTCACTGGGTTTTCAATTGTAATTTTGAAATGGTTACACTCTTAAGTTGAAGTTAAGTTGTCTACAGGTTGTTGCTTTCATCCAGAGACTTCCTCTAGCCCAGAGCTTTCCAAACTTTTCATACTGGTGACACACTTTTTAGACATGCATCATTTTGTGACACAGTAATTCAGCTTTACTAGCAAACCAGAGCTTAAACTAACCCCTTATAAGAGCACAGGGAGTGTTTGTGTGACACACCTACACATTGCAGCTGTAGGTGTTGTGTTGTGGCACACAGTTTGGAAAGCTCTGTCTGAGCCCGGAAGTAGGGTTCTCCAGATGTTGCTGGACTCTGATTCCCATCAGCCCTAGCCAGTATGGCTAATGGTCATGAAGGATGGGAGCTGTAGTTCAGTAACATATGGGGGCGACAGGCTCCCCACCCCTGCCCTAGTTTATTAGACACATCCCAGAGCCAACTTACAATGCACTAGAACAAACTTTATTTGGGCTCATTTCTCTGCCTGCTTGCCCATCAAAGTCTCCCCTCCCACCAAAGACACAACTTCTGCTAGTACCACTTTTATTGCTCCTTGATCAAGCATCATTACTTTACACAGGTAGCTTCTGATGAAATTTCATACTATGGTACAGATATTGGAGCACAACACACATGCATATCAGTTTTAAAGGGTACATGCATGTAGTTGTTCAGATTCTTGTCCCTTTACAATACAAGGAAGTCACAATCACAAAGGACAGGACACCTACTTGAATGCATTCTTAAGAGGCAAAGGATTAAGAATAGTTCATATAGAGCAATACCATTATCTTCTCAGCCAAGAAAGCCCAAGATCTGCCAAATCCAAACACTTTGGATTGCGCTGTTAAGAAAGAATTAAATTATAGGCCCCTGTTAAATTTGTCATAGCCTGCCTTCTTTGAACCCAGGAAGAGCTTAGTTGCTTAGCTGAGAAAGAAATGAAGAAGAGGACAAATACTTACTGGGGAAGAAAAGCCTCCTTCAGAATTTATTTTTTCTATGAGGATAAATTTTCCCACCTGAACTATTAAGGGTGTTGCATTTATGAAGTGAGCAGTGTGTGAGATCTGTTAACACAAAACTTGGCCAGATCATTACCATGAAAGCCCCTTGCATTCACAAGGAGAGACAAGATTTCCATTGGCATGCTTGGAGCCCTTTGGAGGCTACATCAAGAGGAAAGCTTCCTGCATGGAGCGCAATCCATGAAGTTGCATTATTATTAGTCACCGATGCGGGTACCTGCTACTTTGACGTGAACCAAAGTATCTAACATTTCAGTTCCATAACATTGCCTACTTATATTTGGCATGAATTATAAATACTGTTAGCCATCTCAGTTCTTAGATATCAAGCCCTTATACAGCTAAAACAGCACAAAATGGAGATTTCAGGGGGGACATTATGGGAGGAAATAGCCAAGAAACTCCAAAACAGCACAATGAAGATGGAGCATGTTCAGTGAGCAATATTATGTTAATGATTATTCAGTCACTTTCTATTGAAAATCTCAAAGCAACTTGACACGATTAAAATAAAATAAACAGTAGATTTTAAAACAATATACAATACAAAATTACTACAATGTGACTGAAACAAAATCTTGGCTGACTGGGGGTGGAGGAAAAAAGGCTGTGTACATGTGTGTACTGAACAGGAGCATGCCACACTACAAATAATAATAATTGTAGTTCCACTTTCTTATATATTTTTCTAAGATGAAAAGGCAAGTTTGGTTAGAATGGATAAAGAAAAAATTAAGCACGCAAAAGAAATATGGTTGTAAGATGCACAGAAAGGAAACTGACAAAAGAACTGGGCTGAAGAAGTAACACAAATTACTTGAAAGTAAATTGGAACACAACTGATGATTGATCTCAAGGATCTGTTTCATTATTAGTTGAACATGCAACTGCTTTGCGACAAGGTTCTAAATGTTTGCCATTTGCTATGCACAACAGATGCATAACTCTATCCAGTATATTGGGGGGAAAGCAGGAGTCATTCAGTTCAGTCACTTGCCTGCATAACAATGCATAGCAGCTCCATTTTATAAATGAGCATCAATTGACAAACTATCATAAGCAGGATCACTAAGATTTTCGTGAACGTATGAAAATCTTAAGGTATAAAATTGAATTTCCAAGCTATACCGAAAATATTTAACAAAATTTGTACGTAAAAAGATTTGCGTGAGAAAGCATAAAAACAAAAAATGCTAATGTATTTTTTTAAGTGGATAACTTTTAGGCAAAAATACTGAAATTCATCAAATGCACTCTTCGGTTTGATGAGACAGCAAACTGCAAAGATGAAGCCTGTGTTAATGCCGTCACCACAGCAGCAAGTGACCCAAGACAAGATGACACTGACTTTATATAATTTAGGACTGCAAATAGTCATAAAAAGTGAGGTCAAAGTCTGCTGTCCTTGCAATAGTAGAGAATATTAGAGGAAGACTCCTCACTAAATGTCAGGAAGAATACTAGGTTTGAAAGAAGAGTGAAGATGTGTTTGGCTTGCTGACAAAACAGATAGTGTTATAAGGAGTTACAGTGTAGAATTTGACAAAATGAGTTTTACTTTCAGTGTTTGGGTGCCACATAAAAATTTGAATTGTGCACAATTAATTCTCAAAATTATAAAATAGGTTGCATCTTGCTTGAATGCACACCATACTAAATCACATGATATTGATATTGAACTATATAAATATATTTGACAGTGATTAAATATTTCTTCTCTCACACTTAGTGAAAATTTTTAAAAGTATATAATTCAGTTTATATTTAATATCAAAATTACTATTTTATTTTGGTTATACACTTAACCAGGTCTTTCAGAGATTAACCACCCTGTCCATTACACAATGCTAATTATGGATTAACAATATTAAATTATTATTAGTCATATGAATGAGAACACATGTGATACAGCTTAAATATAAAAGCAAACTACCATGGTAAAAATCATGGTTCTGTTGGATAGAAGGTGTTTTGGCCAGTATTAGTCTAACTGATTTTAATTACTGATGGTTCATGCTCTCTTTTGAAGACATATTACATCAAATGAATGACAAGTTTAAGGACACGTGCATAAGTTACACCATATAACAAATGTCACCAATTTCATGCAAATGTAGTCCAGTGCTATCCTATGTCAGAAATAGAGCTAGTTCACAAATATAAATGACTGCTTCTCCATGCTCCTGACCCGCAACACACACACATAATTCCATGCAACCACTTTATATTAATTTTCCAAAACCTCACAGAAAGTGGCTCATCATCTTGCTGTCCAACTTCAAGTACACCAATAAAATGATTTGGTTTAGAGTAATGTTACTGTCTTTGTTCTATAGAAGAATGAACTACTGTGTTTTTTAAAAAACTAGAACTCTGAAACCTTCAAACATGCTATTTTTAGTCCATGATGAGAGATACTGTGCTTTCACATCATTTGCTTTTGATATAATTCTAATTAGGCACACAGAAAAAGTACTTGCTAGAATATTCTTGCTACATTTTAAAACATATGCCTTATATATGCCACTTCTTATAAGTCCAATTCAGTTCTAATAAGAAAAGCAGACAGAAAATTTGATAAGCATATGAGTGGTAATAGATCATATATCAGCCTGATATTTATTGATATGTTCTAAAAACATACTCCAAAGCAGCTTCACACAACCTCCAGATATTGTTGAACTATGCTTCAAAAGTAGATGGTTGAGCCTGAAAAAAGCACTGACTTCACATGTGTCCCCTTTGTGTAGTATTTAAATACCCAGTGAGTCATTAAGAATGCCCTTCCAATAATTAGAGATTGGCATATTTATTATTTTATTCACTGTAGGGAATAGGTTTTGCATAAGTATTGATGACGGAAGCGGGGGTAAGCCATTTTCTTTAACGAAAATCCCATTCCTACAGTATCACAGGTTTTGGCCTGCTGATATATCTGAAGATACCAGCGCCATATCTTAAAAAGAGCTGATACAAGCCATATTTGTGTGAACAAAGGAGTATGATTTTTAAACAGACTTACATGATTTTCTATTGGAAACTTTCAAGGGCTGAACCTGTACATCTGATCTTCTTAGTGCAAGCCTCCTATAAAACGATTTGGGGGAAGGGGGAAGGGAAGAGAAGCAAAACTCTTTATAATTTTCATAGCTATTTTGAGATTAACACTCCATATCAGTCTTTTCCAAAGTATCCTGATTTTTAGAAGACATATTCCTAAACAATACAGTCTACTCACAAGTCTATGAAATTAAATCCTAGAAGGGTTTTTTATGTTCTCCAAACACAGCTGCAGTTGTTATTCATGCATAGTACATCAAAAAAGATACAGATACCAAAGTACTATTTTCCATATGTTTTTCCTTTCCAAGGTGGATCACAAATATTCTATACGGTTTTGTCATTATTAATGTGAATAGACAACTAAAGAAAACCAAACTACTTGGGCAACAACTTACAAAGTTCAGACATTTTACCATAGGACAAAACTTGAAAGTTTATTGACCTTATAATCCATAAGTGCAGGCATAACAATTATATCAAAGATATACTGATCACATTTTAAGTATCAGAGAAATCAGAAACTGCTCACCTTTCTTGGAAATGCTTTGAAGGAATTAAGCCTGCCCTGGGATTGGCATTACCTTCAAGCTTGGCTTGCCACCAAGTTGCATCATCCTGGCTCATGATCTGAAGAATATCACCTTTTCTGAAAGGAAGTCCAGCTTCTTTACAGGGAATTGCTTTATCCTCACTGGGATCATAGTCAAACAGAGCTTTCATGAAGATCTGGAAGAAGGCGGCCTTATTTGTAATTAAATGTCTTATTACAACCCCCAGTCTCCGTTTTTATTGCTTATTGGCATACAAACAACATGTGTAAAAATACAATTGTAAAACACATTTACATATGGGTACAAAATATATTTCAGCCAGCAATCTCAGTAAGTCCCTTTTTCTGAGTAAAGGACCTCTTACCTTTCCTTCTTTAGATGCAGTTTCTTCTTTGATACTGGGTATAATTTTAAATGTAATGGCTCCTTGCGACTGGGACTAAAAGGATGTGAAAAACAAATTATTAAAGCATTCAGTACAAGTTAAAGAAAAACAATAAGGAAGGTAGAGCTAATGTAACTTGTAGTGCTAGTTAACTTGATGTGATTAACATCTTAGTACCTCTTTATAATAGGCTGTGCTACGATATTCTCTTCTGTCCTAAAAAACAGACATGTTCTGATAATTTATGCAAAAGTTTGTTAAGAGTGTTTACAATCAAGTGGTGTATAAATTGTTACGGATTTTAAAAAACAAAACCATAAAATAAAGAAGTAAATAGCCTCTCTTGTTCTATCAAAGAGTTAATGAACCAAGAAATAAAGGATATAAAAATAACCAATGCAAGAAGAAAGGCCAAGTCAGGCAGGAGGAAAAAACTGAGGACTGTGCCTGCCTCCCAGAGTTATTTGCTCCTGCCTCCATCATGTGCCAGGGGTTGTAACGCAACCCATTCAGCTCATCATCAACTGCCTTAAATTATTCCATTTGTAACCTACCAGAATTTGTATAATTTCTTCTGGTTTTTTATCATCTACAGGAATTCCATTAACTTCCTTAAGTTCATCGCCAACATGAATGAGACCTGTGGAGCATATTTATTGAATAACCATTTTTAAGTTCAATACAATTGTGCATATCTAACGTTGTTTCAAGTCATGGTCATTCCTACTCCGCAAAGCACAACAGATTTCTACTTCTCTTCTACCCAAATGCAATTTTATAGCAAAGTCTTTCTGTCTCTCTCTCTTTGGGAAGGCAAAAGAGAATTGTGTTTGTAGTTGTTTATTTTAATATTACTATAGTTTTATTGTAATGTGATTGTTTTTAATCTTTCTGCCCAGAGAATCTTTGTTACAGGAGAGAATATAAATGCTTAGTGCACAGAAGTGCTCAACTGTGAAACTGCGGTACAGAGAGGCTGATTTGATACCTTCCTTCTTGCTGAGTTTCTAAATGTATTTCACTAATGAGATAATTTTCAAACTGCTAAATTGCATCCATAATACCAAAATCCTATCAGAGATCCTATCACAATAATCTAAAATAATATACATGGCAGAAACCACAAAAGGGTTTCTGGATGCAATTACCTACTTTTACCAAGCAATTTAGCATTCATTTGAAGCACTAGGCTGGCCATCACATCCCAGCAATCACACTTTTAAACATTCTTACCACTTCTATCTGCAGCACCTCCACGCATTATTCGAGCCACAACAACAGCTCCAGTCTGTTCATCCCTTTTAATAGTAGCTCCCTTTAAAAATAAATTGAAACATTATTATGATTTAATGCTGGGCTACACTGAACAGTTTTCTACCAGCAACCTTTCAGTAACTCGAGGAAGGTAACTATATTTGAGATTCCTGTCTTTACAAATGAAGTTATCAGGACCCCTCTATTCCCTGGGTGTTAAAGTATTTGTGAGGTGTTCGAGTACTGAACAATCAAAACAGTAACACTACATATAGAAGAGTGGAAGAGGCCAGATTTTGTTTTTGTTTTAAAAGACTACATTCAGAGGAGTTTTCCACATCTCCCACATTATCTGTGCTTAAAAGAGCATCCCACTTTAGAACACAGTAATTACTATTTGGACTAAGGAGTCTTGGGGAATCTTGGATAGTTTCACCAAGCAAAATTAAGTGACCTGAAAACCATTCTACATTTCAGTACTGTTTTGGAAAACACATGGTGAAGGATTCAGTGTTTTTAAAAAGTGGAATATTTCTTACATTACGGTAACTGTTTTTACAATTATAAAACAGGTACAAGACAAGTGCAGCAGCATGAACAAAGACATATGTAGGAGATGGCTGGTGTGGAAGCCTGCAGGAATGAGTTACTACTTTCATTCACACTACAAATTACCACCACCAAGCTTTCTCTGCAGTGATTTGTGGCAACAGAGATGGGTTGAAATGGAAACTGAACTTTGTAATCTAAATCTAATCAGATCTCCTATCAGCCCAGAGAGCCAGTAAGCCAGGGGTGGGGAATATCAGGCTCAGAGACCAAATGCAGCCCTCCAGGCCTCCCTATATATCCTTCTGAACTCTTACCAGGTCACACCTCTCTCCCCAGACCATATATCTAACCAGCCTTGCTGAAGTGCTTTCCCCTAGCTGCTGTAATATATCTCTGAACCGCAATAATTTCTACTGCCTGGTGGTCATTGTTCCTCTGGTCACTGCTGTGCATACACAACCTGACTGCCTGTCTCCAGGCACTGCAGTTGTCTGCAAGGGATTCCCACACAAAATTGCCCGCCTTCATGTCACATTTGCAGACATCTTTATATGGCAGAGCTGATCTGCCAATGGACCTGGTGCCTGAAGCCAGCTCCCCATAAAGCACATCCTTGGGAGCCTGCCATCTTCCATTCTGTGGTCATGACCAAGCCAGGGTTGATATCACTGAGACAGAAGTGTGAACATAATGGGAATTGGGGCCTGGAAGAGTACATCTTTGTTTGAGATTCTGTCCTGCTATGTGATGTCCAAAATCATCCTGATGCAGCGTATTTGGAAAGTGTTGAGGCATTGCTCCTGGAAGGGTATAAGTTGACCACAACTCACTTCGATAAAGCAGCATGCTTAATATGTAAGCATGGTCAATCTTAATCTTGGTATTAGCCATTGCATTACATTTTCCCACACCCTTCTGGAGAGGCAACCCATAGCTGCCTTACCAATATGTCTGTTCAGCTCAGTGTCAATGAAAAGGTTGCTGGTCATTATGGAGCACAAATTTTGTGCACCACTCATATTTATTAGCACCTCATCAATTTCCTACATTTCCTACCCCATTCCAAGAGACACTCATAGCCTTTCCTCCAACATGCAGAAATGTTATTTCAAAGTCCCCCTTATTAGTGTATAATTTGTGCACAACTGTGCAATGACACCGGCTCATATTTTTGAGTGTCAGGTATGATTTTATTGTTATTGGGGGTTTTTTTTTAAAAAAAAAACTTACCAGCGGTTCTCTATTTTTCACTAGCCTGATTATTTTCACAGAGTCTTCATCATCATCAATATCATCAGGCATGGGAGGTAGCACTGGGTCGTAGTTCTTTTGGGCAACAGTATCATGCACAGAAAGCAAAGCCTGAAAAAAAATCATATAAAAAAACCCCAATTCACAATTGGACCTTGATAAAATGGAAGTTTACCACTTATGCAGTTTTGCTATTACTACTGCAGGGCTCACATCTGACCATTTGTCTGGTGCTACGTTCTTGTCTCAACCTATGGACAGTACTTTCTTTCTTAACTGGAAGTGTGAACAGTACAGTAGTGAAGTACTTGTCTGCTTAAGTTACTACTGGAGTAAGCTACACCAATTTGAAAAGAAAGTGGAAACACACCCTGAAACTGTTTGAACATAGCAGGGAGAGAGCAAAAGAATATTTGTTACATCTTGTCCTTCATTTGGTTTGGAGGACACCTTTTATTAAAGTTGGCAAAACTATAATACAATTGTAAATTCCTTAGGCATGAATAAAGAGGAAGTTATCCCATGCAAGCTGAAGTCTTTAATCTTTTCATTTTCTTTCCATGAACAAAGACTGTGTGTACCTTACAACTTGTCTTTACATCAGAGGATGCTATTGGAAAATCTTCTACATTTCCAGTTTCACAATCTAAAAGTAAGATCATATTCACACAGGCAGCTCTGGAAAAGTTATTTTGTTTTAGCTACAATTCTATGTGTATGATTCATTAATATAAACATGTTCCATATTTAGAACTTTAAAGGAGGTATGATTCAAATTCCTATACTACCTAAATATAAATATTGATGTTCAACTAAATTCTTAGACATGATCTAGCTGGAGATGAGTACTGAGAAACCTTGCCATGTCTAGATGTGGTACAATATTTTTCAGATTAAAGCACTGATCATTTATCATTTCACAATGCATAGTTCTGTAAAGAAGAATAATGCAGTTGGTAGAGCATGAGACTCTTAATCTCATGGTAATAGGTTCAAGCCCCACTTTTGGGCAAAGGATTCCAGCACTGCAGGGGGTTGGACTAGAAGACCCTTATTGTCCCTTCCAAACTCTACAAATCTCTGAAACATTTAAAATGCCTGTTCCTAATTCTAATTCAGAAGTTTACAAAGTGGGGATGATCATAGTAACTCCACTCCAATGCTATTACTTGCTCCTGATACTGTCAAAAGAATACTGATTAGGGGTATTAAAATGCCACTAGTGTAACTCAGCTGCATATTTATATTTGTATATATATTATTTGAAATCATATTAGGCTATTTTCTCCCTTAACTATTTCAGTTTTATTGTTGCATGTAACTTCCTGTAACAAAAAAAAGGCGATTTCCCATCCTGAAAATATTTTGAACGTTTTACATCCACCAGTCAGAACTGTTAGTCATACAGAGATGGTCAACACAAAAGTAGTGACTTTTTGCCTTCTTACACTCCTGCTTCCTCCTGCTCAGGGCTAGTAACCTAAGGAGATACTTTGGACTGTCTAGCTATTCTTAAAGTTCACACTTCACGCCATCTGTTTAAAATTCCTCCCGACTGCACCTCTTGCCACCATTTTACTAATTCAGTTTTCCATTCTTTCAGAAGAATAAAAATGAGTTTTTCAATCATCAGGTGCTTTGGGTAGTTTCCAATGAAATTATCCCCGAAGCACAAGGACCTCTGTCTGTGCAGTAAGACTTCCTCTCTTTCTCTCTTCTCCCCCACCCCAAGCTGTTCTGAGGGTTCTCCCAATCCTCCAGAGAAGATTTGAAGGGGGAAGGGGAGCAGCCCTGTTGAACAGCTAGAGGCCCTTGTGCTAATGGGGCAATGATAAAATCCTCTGTCCTTTAATTATCAAGTTACTTTTTATAAAACAAAACAAAACAAAACAAAACAAAACAAAACAAAACAAAACCCTAAACAATAACATTATAGAGCCATTCACAGCTGAAGCAGACATATATGCTGCCATGATCTGTAGTCAGACAATTTCTGCAGGCTTGTAAATTGCTTTGAGGAGAAAACGAGCATTTTGGTTACTTGTAGTTGTTTTGCTCTGGTTGTATGCAAATTGTATCTGCAATTATGATATTATATAAAATAAAAAGGACACCTGAATCTGTAACAGATATAAATGTTGCAATAAAGGGAACATCATTTTTGCTGCTCCATCTAAATGATCTGTACATAGTTCACGGTTAATTTCTTAAAATAAAACATCCAAGAGGAAAATTATGTCATTTTCTTTTTCCTTCCTGAGTGATCTGAGATAGATATTTGATTTGTTGTTTTCTGGCTTTACAGTTTTCAAAGAGACAGATCTGTTGCTTGATTTATGTGCACAGATTTTCAAATTCACTCATAGCAACCTGACATGCCATGAGTACCCAGTTATTTATGTATAAATAAATATGACATAAGAAGCTTATGTTTTACTCCACAAAAGGCAATTCATATACCAAACTGAGACAGGTCAAAACAGTGTACGTCATTTCATGCAACATCTTTTTATATATAATGGTAGAACACTTAAGGAGCTGAAGTGCAAAGCTAATCAAAGGCAGGAGCAGTTCTCCCACTAGCAGACCACTGATCCTGGGAAGACCAATGCAACTTCCACTTTATCGACACTCGTGACAACCTCCAGGCAGGTATGCACCAGCCTCATTAACATCCAGATCCAGAAATCCACAAGCATTTCAATAGACTTTGCGTATGAGCTCAGCAACCACAAATAATTGGTTTTGCAGCAGGTTAAACTGTGATCACTTCTATCCTTGCCAACTACTGCATCAGGGCCATAGGCTTCTTTGGTATTAAGCAGTACAGCCAAAGTGTATTTTACACGAATAATGTTTCTATTTTAGTTGCTTCCTATGAAAGTGTAATATCTTTGTTTCAAATAAGGGTATGATTAACAAATATGTCATGGAACATTCTGCTTTGGCCTGTAATTAATGCTTATAATAATCTACCCAAAGTTTCTTATGAATCCACTGAAGCCAAAAATAAACTACTGAGGGGGAGACAAGCCAATAGTGTAATAGTATTTTCCTGGCTTGGAGCAAAAACTTGTAATTAACCATGAAGCTCATCCAGCAAAGGATGGCATGTATTTTGAAATCCACTAGATTCTTTGGCTTAGATGTTGTTCTGTGAAGGTATGGTTTATTTGGAATTTTAATCCCAGTTCATACTGATTACCCAGGTTTGACTTAGGGGACACACAAATACTCCCCCAATACATTTCCCAACAATTTGCCCAATTAACTTGCTTCCACCCCAAACACTGTTTAAGATATTCAGGCAATTAGTTTAGATAAATTTCCCAGGGAGGTGAGTTGCAAGAGGATAAAGGGCCTTTGGAAATATGTTTATCTGCAACTCCTAGCAAGTGATTTCAGGATAAATAATTGCATTTAGAGAGGCAATAGAACTGCACCCTCTCTATTTCTACCTACTGTCTGGCTCCAGGCAACAAAGAGTTCTACACTGTGCAGTAGCTGCCAACTACACCTCTGTGTGTCTCTGCTGACCCTATTGTGACAATTCTTAAAGGAGGAGACTCAGATCAGCTTCTGGCTGCCTCATACATGCAAAACAACTGCATTTTCTTTCAATGGAAGCACGCACAGGATTGTATGGAATGGCTTCTGTGTAAACCAGCTTCTACTGGGATACAGCCTGCAGCAGCTATCTCTGTGACTGCAGTGGTTGTAAAAGCTGCCCCATTCTTAGAAATGGCAGGTGCAAGTAATATCAGCACACAGTCCTTTGAGGAATATATGGAATTTGATATGCAAAGTAGCTTTGGTGCTTTATTAAAATGTTCATTAAATCTATTCAGAGTGGTAACTGAGAAGGAATTTGCTTTAAAACAAAATTAAACTTGGCACAATTTACACTGAAATTTAACAGAGGTATATCTTTAATCAGTATAAATTTATTGAATGGAAGAACTTGGCTGTTTCCCCAGTTGTTGGGGTTTTTGTGTGTGTGTACATTACGATAGAAAACTGTTTGGAAGAGAGACTGCCTTAAGGTATTATATGCAGCATGTCTTGCCTTCATATTCAGGCAGTGTTAGATCTGTACAACTGTTTATGCCATGTTACTTTCTCTCCCAAGAGTGCCACAGTGGTCTGCCAGCACTCCTTGTTTCTGCACTCCTACAGAAAAAAAAGCAGAACAGAGAGTAACAAGGGACAAGAAGAAGTGCAAAATGTGTCTTAATGGAATTAGACACAAAAATACAAGCAAGTGGGGGCTACCTGTAACTATGTAGTCTGCTGCTACCTGCATCTTTAAGACAATAGTAACAAGCAAAATACTCATAATAAAAGTTTTATTTGTCAGGTTATTTCTTATTGGCATATTTGTCATGCAACAAAAAATGTGAAGTTGCTTCGACTTAGCACTCCCCGAAGGCCTGCTTAGATGCAAGGTATGATTATCTGCTGATGAAGCAACACAGACTTCATTTTTTTCCACCAAAATATCCAATTGCACTCATATACTACAAGTGTTTTGCAAATATCAATAACTAACCATAATGTGTGATAGAGCCCTTTTTAAACCACTTAAGGAAATCCTGCAGTTTTGCATATCCACATGGACTCAATAAATATACAGCAAAATCCTTAGCAGACTTTGAAAGCTGAGCGAAGCAACCATGTGTTCATTTCAACAGGTGCAAGCAACACATCCTCACCTTGAGATTGGGTTTTGACAGTAGTTTCAACAATTCTCTGATCTCACTGTTTAGTGGTTTGCTCTGCAGCTCTTCAGCCAGCTGCAAAGGGGATTGAAGTGACACAAAGAACATTAGCAAGAGCATTGTTTTACTCAGCGTGTCAGTGACAACCAGGAATCAATCCTGTTCAAGGTTATTACTTTCCAGTGTGTTCAGCATGAAGAAAAACAGACTATCAATCATTACTCTTCATTTTCTGGCCCTTATGCTAAATTCTGGCCAGGTCTTTCAACTGAGTTTGACTAAAGTAATCATATCTGGCACCAGCACACCCAGATCACATTCTGATTTATAGCAATGAGGGCAAATCCCTGCACTTGATCTGAGTGAATGGTCCTTTGCGTGCAGACAAAGGGCTGCTTGTAAAAATGACTGGATCTAACATTGACACTGTCTATAAAAAACAGCTTCTGAATGAAGTGGAGAAATCCACACTGCTTCCAAATCGCCACAGTAGCTATTCTGTTTAGGGCTGGGATAGGGAAGCAGAGTGCCCATATAGTGCTAGTATTTTCAACTTTATCATGTTTACATGCACAGGACAAGTAGCTTGTTAAATGTCAGACAAGTTAATCACAGGAACATGGCTTGTATTAGGTTCCCAGATATAAACGCATTCTAAAGGCTGAAATATCACCTTCAATAAGAAACCCAATCATATATGGGCTATATCACAAAACACTACCCTGAAAATACAAGAGGTTAATCAAATGCCAGGATTACTCAACTCATCTGAAAATTAGTTTTAGGCTTAACATGTTATGCCTGCTAGAGGATTAGAACAGAGATGGGGAATCTAACCCTCCAGATGTTGCTGGGCTATGATTCCCTTCATTCCTGACCACTAGTCATGCTGGCTGGGGGTGATGGGAGTTGGATTCTAAAATCATCTTGAAGTCTACAGGTTCTCCATCCGTGATTTTGAATAAAGGAAACAAGGACAAATTATGGGGTACATTTTAAGTTCTCGGGAGAGAGTCTCTCAGTCTGAAACATTCTTGTTCTGAATTTTGCAACACCTCACAATGATGGAACATCCAGCAACAGTGAAAGTGAATCTGCAAAATTGTGTTTATATCTCTACTGGCCTGAATAGATTCTGTGTATGAGTGCCGTTACCTACAAGAAATTACAATGGGCAACCACACAGACCATCAATGAATTCTCTATCGATTGTTTACAGAAAAACTGTACTGTACCAAATATTGCCCTTGAGTGTGCTCCCACTGTGTCAAGCATGCATGAGTTTCACTTAAATCAGTTTAACTTACTTTTTATTCTGCCTACCTCAAGCTCTGTCATAGTTTATACAGGTGTGCACACAATTCATCAGGGTTGTAGAATTCACCATATAATGCAGAAAAGGCAGGCTTGATTTTTATTAATAAAAATTATAGTAGCAGGAAATTAAATACTCTATCAATGCCAACCCGTCTAGATTTTAGTTTTTAGTTATGAAAGTAATTTGGAAAGCTTTAATATATATAAATCTCTGCTTCTTTTTTAAACAGCTATTTTCTGACAACCCCTTCCTATATCTTTCATAAGCCTCATTTCTTTTAGTATTATCAGTCATTTTTCTTATTCTGTCAGCACTTCAGCTATATCATTTATCTTTATTTTTAGAAAACATTCCTCTTTACTATGACTCTCATAACACACCAGAAGCTAACAGCTTCACCTTCACTGTAGACTTCTAACCTACCATTTTTCTTTTGTGGTACCAAGGCTGAACAAGAGTCTATCTAGATGCTGTGTTATTATAAAAGAAACATGTCTAATAAAAATCAAAACAACATTAGCAATCCTGTGATGACAAATCGCTGGAAACCTTTGCACACCCAGCTCACACGGTCCCATTCATATACTGATTCTATACTCTGCTTTCAGACAGTTTGGGGAAATATGGTGCCAATGGTCTCATCAGGGACACTTACATCATCTGCCAAGGCTGATGCGCCATGCAACATGGGCACAGGGCTCTGTTTTTCATAGTAATGCAGTTTTTCATGGATCTAGGAGATAATGGAAGAAAGCAGTTTACTTAGCAGTAGAAGTAGAGTCTGACAACATAAGTTGGCAAGTTAAACATTTGCAAAGAAACAAACTTACGGAAGCATTTAGCAGTGAACATGTAGATATAATTCATCATCAGCTTCTAGTGAAGCACTGAGAGTATGAAGTCAGATGGAAAAAATGTTGAGTATGTAGACAAACCCACAGAAAAGTTAAACATTTGCTATTCCTTTCCCTCTTTTAGGTCTTCTGGACTTATATTTCTCACATATTTCCTTCCTTATCATTTACGTCTTTTCTTTCAATCCATATGCCCCAATCCGTTTTTAAGCCAACTCAAAAATGTAGCCATCACCACACCTTAAGGCAACAATATCTATTAATTCATTATTGATTGTATGAAACAGTACTCCCTTTACCTGTCTGAAGCAAAATTTCATTGTATAACCCCAATTTTTTTCCTTATCATAAAGACAATCTTAAGAGTGCAATCCTATGCATGTTTACTCATAAGCAAGTCCTACTGTTTTCAATGGAGCCTAATCTCAGGTATATATGTATAAGATTTCATCCTTAATATATTCAGCTGGCTGCCACCAGTGGGGACAACAGATATACCATTGCTGGATTATAGTTATAGTAGCACTCAGCACTTCCATCTTCCCATTGTTGCCTTCTATATATTTTACACCAGCACTTTATACTTAAGGACTTGCGATTTAAAAGAAATAAAAAATAATTCACATTTATTCATTTTCAATAAACATAGAGTCAAAACTATATGCATAAAATATCTCTGTAGAAAATTCTAAAGATAATTAATAAAAATTACATTCTGATAAACAAATGAGAATAAAAAGTACTTGTGATGTATCAACACTTCAGATCTTGGCATCTTATGTAATTGTTTATTGCCATCCCTTGACTGAAGTGGTGGAATTAGCACTTTGTTCTGTTTGCATTTTTGTTTACAATAGTATAATAAAACAAAACACAACAGACAGGTACATATAAAACACAATATTTTAAAACTGTCAACTACCTGGCTATACAAAATAAGCAAACATAAAAATGTCTTCATTAACCATACCATCAAAGCTACACGGGGCAAGTTGTTCTATTAAAAACACAGTGCACTTAATCCGTACATTGGAACCTCGGGTTTTGAACGTAATCTGTTCTGGAAGACCGTTCGACCTCTGAAACGTTAAAAAACCGTGGATCAGTGGGCGGTTGGCAAAATCCATTGAAAAATATGCAGCAGAAGCCGTTTGACTTCCAAGGCACATTTGAAAATGAAAGTAATTATTTCTGGGTTTTTGGCATTCAGGTTCCGAATTGTTTGGCTTCCGGGACGCTCGAAAACCGACGTTCCACTGTACTAGAAACAAGGTCTTAGTGTTACAGGTCCAGTTCTCTGGAATCAATAACCAGCTGAAATCAGACAGGTGCCTAGAGTGATTATGTTTCGGTGCTTACTGAAAACATTTTTTAAAGGAAATTTTTTCTTGAGGTTTACTCAAGTCTTCTATGGAAGATCAATTTTATATCTGATGAAACTCTTTCATTGTCTTTAAAGTCTGTATGGATGGTTTAATTGTTTTAGTTTGTTGCACTGATTTTATTCTTCTTAGAACATGTGTGCCTATGTTTTATTTGATTTTAAATACCATGACACCTGTGAGTATCAGGTTGGCAATCCCTGAACTAGTATGGAGTAGACTTTTATCAAGGAAACAAAGGAAGGGCTGTATTTCTGCAGTAATGTAAAGAGAGAAGCAACACAACTGAAGCTTGAATCAAATTCTCTGGAGGGAATGGTAGCTTTCAAGGTTGTTGAACTGGTATTCTGAACTTTCTGGATTAACCAGGTACCATGAGGACTTCTTCCACTTGCTACTCCAATATCTTCAGGACAACCCTAGATAACAGCTGGAAGGAGGGGAGGCATATACCAGCACTTTCAATCCTTTTTGTTGCTAGCTAAGAATTTTCATCCTCAGCCTAAAGACATCTAGACATTGAGAAGAAAAGTATGGGCCATTTTCCTGAAGCAAATGTAAGTCAGGATCCCCAAAGCAACAACCTCAAGTGAAACATCTACTGGCATCTTTCAGAATTTGTCTGCTCAACTAGTGAGCTACCTTGTCTCTCTCCACTGACATATTTTGACAACATTTTTTTTCCTGCTCAATTTAAAGCCTTGTATGCCTTTTAGTGAAGTCACAGGTCTCATGCCTTCCTGTCTGTTCATATACACTTTTGTAGATACATTGCTGATATGGATCAGTATATCCTTGTTCTTGTTGTATTCTTGAAATCTGAATAATCTCAGCTCCAGACAGGTGATGGAACTCCTTGCACTGTGTTGCAATCTACAAAAACCCATCATTAAGACAGAAAAAATAACTCTCCACTTGCAGCAGACATCAAGCCACAGGACTTGGAGAAAAGGAGGAGTCATAAATAATCCCTGGTAATTTAGCAAGTCAAAGTTTGCAGACTCTGGGTTAAGAATCTGTGAGGAGGTGTAGCATCACTGACTTCCTTCCCCACTACTTCCTCCAAATGTTCACCAGACTGTACCATAATTAAAACTTATGGTAGCACAAAACTTAACCACAGTTAATTCTAACCAAGGTTTACTATTAATCTTGATTTGAAGCTAGGGTATGAAACGACTTTGAAATTCTAGTTAGCCACGGTTAAAAGGTCAGTAAAATAATTGTACTAACCTTTCACTTTCAACATTAACTAAGAATTATTAACTTTAGTACTGTACCATGTTTCAATATGCAAAATGCATATTTAGTTTTATTACTATTTGATTCTGCCTTCTGCTTCAATATATATTTGCTTTACTTACTGACAGTAGATCCAGAAAAGAATATATTTCAAGATCCAAATTAATAGGAAAGTACTATAATGCAAAGGGACGCGGGTGGCGCTGTGGGTTAAAGCCTTAGAGCCTAGGACTTGCCGATCGAAAGGTTGGCGGTTCGAATCCCCGCGGCGGGGTGCGCTCCCGTCGCTCGGTCCCAGCGCCTGCCAACCTAGCAGTTCAAAAGCACCCCCGGGTGCAAGTAGATAAATAGGGACCGCTTACCAGCGGGAAGGTAAACGGCGTTTCCGTGTGCTGCGCTGGCTCGCCAGATGCAGCTTGTCACGCTGGCCACGTGACCCGGAAGTGTCTGCGGACAGCGCTGGCTCCCGGCCTTTAGAGTGAGATGAGCGCACAACCCTAGAGTCTGTCAAGACTGGCCCGTAAGGGCAGGGGTACCTTTACTATAATGCAGAAAGGCATTCTACTTTTGCCCATTTGAACAGAATAGTTTAAATATGGGCTATAAAACCCCCCTTACTGCTCGCACAGTTTCTTTTCCTTTCCTTTTTTGATATTTCTGAAAGCAACTTTATACTTTGACTTCTTTGTTCCTCACACAACACAATAAAGCAACTATTATTTGAAATTTCAGAGACTTCATTCAAGTGTACTTTTTTGTTCAGTAAGTAAGGAAAGGTTTTGATGACTTTGCTTATAGGAAGAGGTCCCCTTAGTGGGTAGAGGAAATTCACTTTAAAGCCAAACAAGTCACCCTTCCTCCAAGATAAATTTCCCTGCCCCTTTTTGAGCCAAACTCCCTGCTCAGCTACTGCAGAAAGAATGTCCAAAATTGGATGAGGTTTTGTTGCGCACTTCAAGCTCAAGTTTCTTAGAACTTGTACACTCTTCAGGACATTTCGAAAGCTGAATTAATCTCTTCCATTTGAGATGAGAACATGACGCTTTAGCAATAAACCTATTTTTATACATGCACTGTACACAGAACATTACTAAACCTTGTCTCCTTTAAAGCCCGAGGTCCCTCAAGAGATCTTTAGTAAAACCATATTTTTGTTGTTTTTAGTTTAAAAAAAATGAATTTGCTTGAAGACTTCTTCCCTCTTGGAGTACACTGATTCCTTCCATACACACTATTATTGACATAGCATCAAAGCTAGAAATGAATTCTATTTGACTTTTTAACCTTGAAATTTGCACACAAAGGTGCTTTCAACAGCAGCCTGAAGCACACCCTTTATGTTATCCTTTATTCTAGGCTACAGCAGATTACTTCTACAATCTCCATTTCAATGAAATCTACAATTGGCTTCACATCAGTAATGCTATTTATGTTTGGTCATTAGCAGCAATCATTAGAAGATGAGGAGCAAATGTGAACCTATGGCTGCAATGCATTATGTGTGTGAGAGAGAAGAAGGTGATATATACTTGTCTGCAACGACCTTTATCTGTGAAACCAAGAGCTACTGGTTTTGTAAAGTGGCCATAACTGGAGAACAAAGGTGCAATACTATAAACATTAATCCAAATTAATTAAACAATCCAAATGCTAAAAGTGTGTTGAAAATTCTCTCTCTGTCTCTCTCTCTGTTTGTCTGTGTGTAGTTTACTACAGCTTAAAAGTAGTTACAATTATTTTAACTAGTATCTCACTTTCAAAAACAATGCACAATTTTTGTACAATTTTCAATCCAGCAACTTTGTGCTTAAACATTCCTATTTGAAACAGGATGATTTTTTTTCTTAAATGGCAATTTGGCACACACCAATGGCAGACATAGCCAACTCCTCAAATAATATAAGGCCATATAAAAGGTGGTGTGCCTCTTGCATCACATTCAGAAAGGGGTGTGTGTGTAAAACGTAACAATTAAAAAACACGTGCATGTAAAATACAGAATTCCACCAAAGAGATTTTACAATTTCCAGTTCTTCAGCCCCTTGTTAGATGTTAAAACAGAGAACAGACACCACACATACAGTGCAAACATATCAAAAGTTGACTCAAATGTAAGTTCCATGGATATGAATGTTACTTATTCTCAGAAAACTAGGTACAGGATTGCAGCCTCATGCCACAATTGGCAGCTGAATTAGATTTCTGTTTGAAGATAACTTCTAACGACACTGTGCCATCTGCACAGCAAACATGTTCCACAAAGTAGTAGCTATTTTAAAACATTGTGGTTAAGAAAATTTTGTTAACAAGAATGTCAACTATAAATTAAGAGAACATAAACATGAGAGCCACATACTTATAACTCAAAACATAGACCAAGTGAAGAGGTCTGTATCTTAAAGATGGTGTGGTGCACTAGATATAGATATGTAAAGATACATAAGCTACTCTGACAGCCTTTTTTGGCTAAAGTTATACATGTCGTAAATGAATAAATAAATTGTCCTTGTACTTTCCTGTATCTTCTTATGCCCACGCATAAAGTCAGCAGTAGTTTCACTCCCCGATACAGTCGTACCTTGGAAGCTTGAATGGAATCTGTTCCAGAAGTCAGTTTGACTTCCAAAACATTCGGAAACCAAGGTGCGGCTTCTGATTGGCTGTTGGAAGCTCCTGCAGCCAATCAGAAGCCACACCGGACATTCGGGTTCCAAAGAATGGTCGCAAACCAGAACACTCACTTTCAGGTTTGCGGCATTTGGGAGCCAAAATGTTTGACTCACAAGGCGGTTGTCCATCAAGGTATGACTGTATAAGTATCTTTCCAGGGTTACAATCTAATTCTTTGAAGGCAACAACCAGAGAGCAAATGAATGTATATTTTTGGAAGTAGGAAGTGTTCTATTCAAATTGGAGGTCACAGAAATGCTTGATGCTGCAGCACTGAAGAAGCTAAGCAAGTATTAATTAATCTGATCCATCCCTTGAATGGGCAACCACTGGCAGCCCCATCCAAGAACAAAATAAACTTTTTTTTAAAGTCATCTTTTATCTTTTTGTTCTCAGAGGAATCACAGAAGTAAGTTTTTCAATGCCCATATTCACTGTCAAGTATTAATGATATAAAGGTTGGACTTTGCTTAGCCTTCAGATGAACCCATGTTTACAATATCTAAGAGAAGAAAAGCGAGCCACGATCAAAGAACTGGGATTTCTATATTATCAGTAGCTGTCTATTGAAAAATGTGCATATTACCCTTCTGAAAAATCATTTCTCCTTAAAGGATGAAGCATTCTCCATTCCTATTTCTTTTTGGCTGCATTGCCTCTTCTCTTTGGAACTCTCCCAGCAGCAACTTGGGAGTTGGCTAAAGCTACAGCCGATCCAAAAATATTTTTCTAGATTTTTAACATTTCTGCCACTGATGGATTCCGGGGAATCACCAGAAAGTATGTCACACGTCCCTCTGATTTGCATAGTCCTGCTGGCCAAATATGTTATAAAATCACTTTAGATTGATATTTTCTTGCTAATTAATACAAATATTCTCTCCTACTTTTCTTTATCACTCAAAATGGCCAGCTTTAGCTGTTGTTACATTTTATTTTATGTTATGTTAGGATAGAAAAATGATAAATAGCAGATAAAAGAGAAAATGCTGGTGGTCTTGTCAGATGTTTATTAATAAAATGTTGTAAGTTATTCAGTTATTTGTTATATGGACTTCAAAACAGAGAGAGCAGCAAGGTGGCCAGATTTGAGGATAACACCCAATTATGTAAGGTGGTGAAATCCCAAACAGACTGTGAAGATCCCCAACCAGATGCCTAAAAATTAGGTGACTCAACCTTACTTACTAATTTGTTACCCAATGTCTAAGTTGCATATTGGAGCAATAAATAAATAAATCCCAACTTCACATATAAAATGATGGAAGAACTAGCAGTGACTAACCAGGACAGAGGCCCTGTCATCACAGTAGAGAACTTTAACTGTAGGATTTTTATTTATAAAATAATAATAATCTAGTTTTATGCCAGAAGTAACTAGGAAAGCAACTGAAACCATAATGGCTCTATCTGGAATGATATCTATAATTCTGATTGCTTCATCTCAAAAAGAACAATGAAAGAGCTGGAAAAGGGCAGCCAAAATTATCAAAAGATTGGAATAACTTTCCCACGAGGAAAGGTCAAAGTTTAAGGCTTTTTAGTTTAGAAAACTATATATCTCCCAATGAAGTTAATAGCAATAGATTCAGAACAGACAAAACCAAGTTGCATAATTAAAGGAATTAGCCGCCCCAAGATGCATGGATGCCCCCTGGCTTAGAGTTAAATTAACGCAGGAACTGTAGCACAATCTAAGATAAAAAGGTACTACATTGTGTTCAGTGTATGTAACATAACTTGCATAAATAAAGGTAAAAGACCAAACTAAACAACATCTATATATAAAAAAATTTTCAGAAGATATAACACTGGTTGAAAGAAAACACACCATTTTGGCTGTTCAGGATTTTCAATTCCATCTATTTTCTCAACTGGCATTGGGTTATATCCTGGGATTAGAGTCAATCTAGACATGCAAATACAAAGATGCTAACTACACCTTTGCATTTAATGCACCTGTTTTAAATGTAAATAGCAGCCATGGGAAGATGTCTGATATTATTGGGATCAGGGGAGGCAGTGAGCAGGGAGTTTAATCTCTCCTACCTTCCTGTGGTCCTTAAAGAAATCATTCCCCCAAATCTTACATTTGCAACTAGTCATTTTATGTCATCTAGTTTGGTGCAAAGGAGGATTTTTAAAAGGATTAGACAAATCCATGGACTCTCAGCATGATGCTCCAATCAAAGCAAGCAACCACTGAAGTTTGTATAAGCTAAGGTTTTCAATTATCTTCCAGGTAAGCCTCATATGCTATCTACATATTATATATTGTATTATATCTGTCTAGTTGGGAGATTCTGTGGCCCTCCAAATGTAATTAAATTCTAACATACTGAGGGCCACAAGTTCCCCATTCCCAGTCTAGCCTTAGGTCTGGGATAGCCAGCCTGGTGCTCCCTTTAACATTGATAGACTACAGCTCTCATTACCCTTGACTATTGGCCTTGCTGAGCAGGGGAGATAGAAGCTGGAGTCCAACAATACCTGGAAAGCTCCATGTTGGCTACCCCCACTCCAAGTGATGAAAATAGGGTTGAGTCATCCAACCAGGAGAAGTTGTAGGGAAATGCTCCTAGACATCTCCATAACTTGGAGAAGCAGCTACATATGTAAAATAACCCAAAGGCTAAAAACCCAAGTAGTGATTCAGAAGCCAAGTACACCCTATTTTTGTGATGTTGCAAATGATTATGGGCACATTTCTTTTGGCGGGAATGCAGCCACAAATGTGTTAAGGGACTGCAACAGAGTTCAATAAAAGCCTTTTCCTTTCCTCTGGGAAAGGAACCTTTTATTCCTGGAATGGGAAGCCAGTGTACTTCCCACTTTCCCATACAGTCTCTCCTCTCCTACCCAGAGGCCCAGCCAACAATGTATTACAAGTTCAAATTATAGGACTTGCCTTTTGCAAGTGGCTTTTAATGTTAGCTCTCTGTGAAATCGTAACACTAGTGGCATGATTGCAATGATGGACATTAAAACTGTAAAGTATTTTGTAAATTAGAAAGTACTATATACATGAATATTTACCATTTTTCTCTGGACACATCCATGAATTACTCTACCAAGTTTATTTTATCATGATCTACTTGAATATATTTATATGCTGAACACAATTTTCAATGGATGCAAGCCAATTAAAGAGTCTTACTAGAATTTCAGTTGACTTTGTTAAAGGAAATTATTTTAAATTAATGTGGCTACTGAACTGTTGCCATCTTTTACCTCAAAAATATATCCCGTCTAATTTTTGCTGTGAACATTTGTTTGTTTAAGCTAAACTCCAGGCCTTGAATGTTGACCATGAAGGAGTCTCAGATTTCCTGCTACTATTTCGTGCTACCTCATTCTAAACAAGGGCAAACATCATATGTTTGTTACATTAGTGTATACTGCCAAAACATCACTATTAAATGAAATCATCTCTGTATTTTGGGTAGAATCCTTTTAACAACTTCCACCCCTCACAGAAGCACTGAGTTGAAACAAGGCTGTTTTGTTTTCACAAAGAAACAGTTTGATTCCTGGTTTACTAGAGGCTGCTCAAAATGTTTTTCCATAAGCGCTTCTACAAAAGAATGAACATTTAAGTGTGGTTTACCTTTACCAGTGAATGAAGGCTTTTTTCACCAAACATATCCCAGAGGAAGGTCAGGTCTTCCTGGCTGTCCACATGTGGCTGCAGCTGGGCTGGCAATGAAGCCAGCAGCTCATACAAACCTATAAAGTGAAAATAAAACACAAAGTGAAAGCTAAGGGTGATCTCATTAATTTCACTTAACCCTCCTGTGTACCTTGCAGCCTACACCATTTTATATTAAGCAAGCAGTGGGATTGGAAGTAGCCAGCAAAACATTAATGAACCAGAAACAGAAGTTTGGTTTAAAAAGTAGTTACTAACAGGGTACTTTTTACTTTATTAACAGTTGCTAAAGCTTCTATAGCAATATATTTACTTAACACTGTACCAAGAATTCATAAAGCTTTTTGGAAAGGGACAAAACCCAGAAACACATGCATTCCTTTGCTTAATCGTTATTCCATTTCCCTTGATGTTAGAGTGAAATGAGTCATGAATAGGAAAAACATCCTTATAAGAACAGAAAATGGATAGGGTGGTCCATTAAAAAGAGTTTGTGGTTTCTCTAAATACTTCTCACCAATACATTGCTTTTTTTAAAAAAAGATCTTGGGTGTAATAGATGCACAAAAATGAATACTTCTTTGCTAGCTATTCAGGAGTCAATTCTTTGAGCAAAATCCTTGTACGATTAAGTTATATTTTGTTAAAGAGAGAGTGCATGCATAGGATTTATCCAGGCTTCTCCACGGGGATTAAAGCAATGGCTGCTCCCAGTTATTTGTGGCACATCTCAGAGCAATTTCCCAGGGGCAGACAGTAGCACAGTGTTTTCACAGTAGCATACAGCATAAAACCATCCATCATGCTGCTGTCCAAGAAACATAGCAACATGACTTGCAGCAGCCTTCCCAGAGGAGGTAACCTAGCATGATCAGGTATCAATCCATAGCATATGTTTAGTTTTTCCAGTGGGATTTTTTTTTGGGGGGGGGGGGGTAAGACGACACAAGTCTCTCCCTGCCATAGTCTTTGAAAACACTGATAACCTCCTGGCTAACCCACCACAGTATGACACTACTATGATTTTTATTCTATTGCTGCAATCCTGACTAGACTTCCTAGGAAGTAAGCTTCACTGAACTTTTCTGAGTAAAAATGTTTATGATCAGACCAAGGGCTGTTGCATCACAAGAACAGCTTTCCAAAATAATTTCCATTCAAGCATATTCTGTAAAGCTACTTAGTAATCTATCAATGTGATGATTATATCCTTCGTTCTCATATTTTAAGTCACTGCTACTGCATGATCTTTGGAGGCATCGTATGCCTCTTCTAAAATTAAATACAGCACCTTGGGGGACTGATTTAATGTTTTCCCCTCTTTCCTGGCATTACTTAAAGTATGCTGGAAAAAAACATTCTTTCCAGACATCATTTTCTATGGGCTTTTGGGAGGCAATGTTCATATTTCAAATCTTGCTTTATTTTATACCTACTCTCATTTATAGTATTTCTTAAACATAAAAACAGGGTAACACTAAAATCACTACAATTTTTCCTAGTATAAAAAGCATTGAACTTACACGAAACAACACCTTGTATCAGGGGCTGTACTCACACAGAGAGATCACAAGTTAAAGGCTTGGTTCAGTAGTTGGATTAACAGAAGCAAAGCACCTAGTTTATAAGATTTATATACAGTAGAGGCTGTCTGAACATTTATCAAAATGAATATGGTACATAGTTTTAAGGAGTATTGTCCAGATCTCTTTCCATCCCATTTTTAAAGAATAGATTTAATGTAAATATTAAACACTTTATCAAAACGGGACTGTAAGAGAGAAATTATGCTGCTGAAACAGGAATAGAAAGTGAATGAAAAATTAGCCCAACACTTCTAAAAACCAACAATTTGGGATTCCACAGTAAGTAGAAAATTATAACCATTTATTTAAAACAATATTGTTGGACAGTCCCATTTCCATTTCTCACTGATTTGTTTTTATACTTAATATGACCCAGAGCCTTCATCACAAAAGATTAGTTAAGAGAAAAAGTGAAGAGATATTTGGTAGTCACTTAAGGCAAGATGATGGCAAGTTTTCAACAGCTTTGCACATGCACTGTCCTTGCTCAAAAAGCAGCAGCTGGTGTGGTGAAGCCTAGAGTGGTTTTCCCCAAACCAATGTTGCTGCAGCTTAACTTAACAGGGTAGAACTATAGAAGGTAAGGGCTGCACAGATACACCAGAGGAGTTCACACAGCACTCCTGCTAGTGTGTCTGCATAATCTCTGCTGCTCCATTCATATAAGCTACAGCAGCACTGGCATCGCCCCACCATGTGGACTGCTACAGCTCAAAAGCAGACTGAAATAGCTACAGGAGCGGTTTTTGAACTTTCAGGCATGTTTTACCCATTGCCTTATCTCCTCTGGAACTACTGTGTTTTGAAAATATTGGGGCATGTTCTTATGTACATAGTTAACTCAGAAAGTGCATATGCTAGGCCTGCTGGACATCATTGCTGCCCTACATGACTGAAAAATGCATTCTAGAAGACACCCAAACACCATGCTGCAGCTGAACATTGTACAAAATGATCAGAGGAGCTTGTTTTTGTTATTAGAGATGTTCTCAAAAAGGAATTACACAGTTCTCTGAAGAAATGTTGATCTATTGAATGCCTTTGTTAATGTGAGGACAGGAATGTGATTTTCACTGATTATACCTCCCCCCACCCCCATGTTACCTGTACAGTGGTACCTCAGGTTAAGTATTTAATTCGTTCTGGAGGTCTGTTCTTAACCTGAAGCACCACTTTAGCTAATGGGGCCTCCTGCTGCCACTGTGCCATCACTGCACGATTTCTGTTCTCATCCTGAAGCAAAGTTCTTAACCCAAGGTAATATTTCTGGGTTAGCGAAGTCTGTAACCTGAAGCGTATGTAACCTGAAGCGTATGTAACCCGAAGTACCACTGTCTTTAGTAAACAAAGCTAAAAACTTTGAAACGGCCAATCCTGCTTAATATTGCATTTTCATTTGGCATCCATTCATTGCTACTAAGGAACTTATTGAACATTTTGTGTGTGTGTGTGTGTGCATGTGCGCGAACACGCACGTGTAAAAATGAAGCCCATGAACATTTTACAACCTATATAACTGGCCATTATTCTGCAGTATCGTTTCATACTAGACTAGTACTATTTTAGATTCAAAATGATAAACTTTCACATATACTAACATCATCTTGGTCTTCAAACTGAACTTCCAATTTCTAATACATGAGGAAAACTAAGTGCTTTGTTCAGGCACCAAATATTGGAAAGGCGATCACCAAGTGTTAAGAGAAGTAGAGGAGGCCTTCTTGGTGGTTTGACTGCCCTCCAAAGTTCAAGGCGGTTGTCCAGGAGAGGGCAATCTCTGTGGCAGCCTATAAATTGTGGAATTCCCTCCCACAGAGGTGCATCTAGCACCTTCATTATGTAATTTCCATCACATGCTGAAGATGCAGCTATTTATCCTGGCCTTTAACACCTGAGCTTTAAAAATAGTGAAGATTAAGAAAGAAATAATACTATTATTACACCCAACTTCACTTGCACTTAAGTTGAGCTGCATCTCCCTTGTCTCCATGCCTGATGAAAATCTTTGAAAATGCTAATTGGAAATGGGGTATGGAAGAGGATTTCCCAGCTATTATACACAGGCGAAGTTTCATCTTACTTGTTCAAAGTTTATTATGTATATATGTTTATATATAGTGACTGCTTATTTGAAACACCTGGCCATCTGATTGAAGAGCAGGGTAGTGGTATGCATTTTTAATCCAGGTTTTGATTTATACATCACTTTGTTCATGAAGCTCAGTTAACAGAATTACAAGTTCAAAACCTATTACATAGTTTTTCCATGAATGAAAGCCTACTTTATCTGGGACTGATATTTAGATCAATCCAACATTCCTAACAATGCCTGATCCAAAAGTCTTTGGAAGACTTCTTAGAGGTGGATGGAATGAATGATTCCAAAACTACAGGTTGTTCATGGAAGTAGTTTCACAAGGTAAACTGCGTTAAAGGAGGCCCCTGAGGATGAAAATCTAGTAACAATTATTGTAGCACGGACTTGTAAACAGTGTCTACAGTACATCCGTGGTACTGCTTTCCTAAACTTTATTAATCTTATTGAATACATGGATACATTGTCATAACAGTGATTTTATTTTTAAAAGACCTGAAAAATGTAATAAAATAATTCTTACAAATAATGGAAAATGAACAGCACACAACTTTTTCCAATTCTAGAGAGCAGTTTCCGTTACTATTATTTTCTACATAAGACAGCTAGTTCCTAGGAGAAGAATAAATGGCTAAGAAATTGGGGAAAGTGCTCACGTGGTAAACTACTCACTCTCAGAGTCCAGATGCTCAACATTCTTGACATCAGAGTGGAAAAATTTACTGTTAGTCTAGAGAAATTTAATATCACCATTCTTGTCATATCCTTCATAGCTTCATTATTAGAACAAGTCTGTGGAAGCTATAAAGTAGGACTAAATGATAAAAAAATATGGTCACTGCGTTCCATCACTCTTACATATTACAAGAAAGAACTAATCTTGTCAGAGATATTTTTAAAATCAATATTAGGACAAATGGATGTCCATTTACCTTCATTTGTTAAGTAATTTACTACATCAGAATTCTGAACCATAATGCCAAGCTACAACTTCAATATTTTATTGTAACTAAGGGGTAATAAACACTAAAGAACATACACCTAAGCCCAGAACAACATTGTAAAATTTTACTGTATTAATAAAATAGAACACACCAGTCTTTAATTTTTCCACTTTGACAAAAGTAGAATAATCATTACTGTTCATTGATATTTCTAACAGGCTTACATTTTTCACAGCAAAAAATTACAGTGGTGCCCCGCAAGACGAACGCCTCGCAAGACGGAAAACCCGCTAGACGAAAGGGTTTTCCGTTTTGGAGGCGCTTGCATAAGCAATTTCCTATGGGCTTGCTTCGCAAGACGAAAGCCCATAGGGAAATCTCCGGGGACCTCTTTTAAATGCTAGCGGTGGGGAGCAAAGCCTTCCCCCCCCCTCCGGCCTTCAGAAGAGGTCCAGGAAGGCTGGCGGGGGCCGAAAGGCTTTGCTCCCCACCGCCAGCATTTTAAAAGCAGTCCGGGATAGCAGGGAAGCGCTTCCCGCTATCCCGGACGGCTTTTGAAGGCAGGAGAGGTCCGCGAAGCCTGGGCGCGCTGAGATCAGCGCGCCCAGGCTTCGGCATGCCGGCAACTCTCCGCAAGCAGCGGCAGCGCTGCCGCTGCTCGCGGAGAGGTCCGCGAAGCCTGGGCGCGCTGATATCAGCGCGCGCAGGCATCGGCATGCCGGCAACACTACGCAAGCAGCGGCAGCGCTGCCGCAGCGCGCGGAGAGGTCCGCGAAGCCTGGGCGCGCTGATCTCAGCGCGCGCAGGCTTCGGCATGCCGGCAACTCTCCGCAAGCAGCGGCAGCGCTGCCGCTGCTCGCGGAGAGGTCCGCGAAGCCTGGGCGCGCTGATCTCAGCGCGCGCAGGCTTCGGCATGCCGGCAACTCTCCGCAAGCAGCGGCAGCGCTGCCGCTGCTCGCGGAGAGGTCCGCGAAGCCTTGGCTGGACAGCTTTTGAAGGCAGGTGGGGGGGGACAAAGAAATTCGCCCCCCCCCCAACCATCAGAAGAGGGACCTCTTCTGAAGGCTGGCGGGGGCAAAGTCTTTGTCCCCCTGCCTGCCTTCCCAGGGGCTTTAAATTGCCCCGGACAGCGGAGAAGTCCTCCGCTGTCCCGGGGCAATTTTAAAATGCCGCCCGCCAGCATTTTAAGATCGCCCCGGACAGCGGAGAAGCCCTCCGCGGTCCCGGGGTTGTTAAAATGCTGGGGTGGGTGGGACGAAAAGCCCTTGTCCCCCCCAGCCTTCAGACGAGGGGCGGGGGCAGACTGTCCCCGGACCTGGTCTGAAGTCGGTTTCCCTAGGAACGCATTAATTGATTTTCAATGCATTCCTATGGGAAACCGTGGATCGCAAGACGAAAAACTCGCAAGAAGAAAAAACTTGCGGAACGAATTAATTTCGTCTTGCGAGGCACCACTGTATTTCACAGTTCTGTAAAAGGATCGGATAACATTTTGTTATATGGAACTAAATATTCAGGAACAAAGATACCTGCATCCTGACATCTGAAGAAGAAGAAGAAGAGTTTGGATTTGATATCCCGCTTTAGAGTTTGGATTTGATATCCCGCTTTTTTGAGAAGGAGTCTCAAAGCTGCTAACATTCTCCTTTCTCTTCCTCCACATCAAACACTCTGTGAGGTGAGTGAGGCTGAAAGACTTCAGAGAAGTATGACTAGCCCAAGGTCACCCAGCAGCTGCATGTGGAGGAGCGGAGACGCAAACCCGGTTCCCCAGATTACGAGACTACCGCTCTTAACCACTACACCACACTGGCTCCAAACTGTACATTTGCTACTGTACAATGCAATTAAAGATCAGTATCAAGTACCTGAAAAAGGTTCACTCACTTAGCCATTTTAGTGGTTGTATATATGTAAAAATATCACATATGTTTATGCACATAATGGACAATTAGTAACCAAGTAAATTAAAAAAGCTGATTACTACGCGCAACGGTAAAGATTGTATAATCAAGTTTTAACAATACTACCCACAGAAGGTATTACAACAATACAAACATGAAAACTGTCATTACTTTAGAAATGAACAATAGTGATATTTTTAAAATGAGTACATTACTGTTCATTGTTTTTTAAATCATGGTTTTTTGCATATGGTCAAGATTTGTATGCCAACAGCAGCTTGGCAATATTACAGTAACATTGTGAGGGAGTTCAAGAATAGCCAACCCTTCTTCATTCAAATTAACAAGGCTCTTCTTGCCTAGTATCATGTTACCTCAAAAGAATAGCAACTGGAGTTTTGTTCTATTGGTCAGCTGTGAAAGAGAAGTATTTCTTTTTTCTTTCTTTCTTTCTTTTTTGCCATGAGCTGCTCTCAAGAAGTCAGTCTAAGAATGTTAGGCTCAAATCCAATTTATAACACTCACTTCAGAAGACCTTAGGAAGGTCCTTATCATTTTAGGAGTCTCTACACTTTGAATTACTAACAGCATTTGCAGGAAGCTAAAGCAAAGATTCCAGTTTCAATTGCCACAGAGTGGTAATACAGCAAGGAATCAAGCAAATTCTTCAGGTTTTGTCTAAAAGTTTGCTTTTCTAAAATTAAACAGAGAAATTGTACTGTGCTAGCAGAATCAAAACTAAGGATATGTACATTCGTTTGCTACCTTATAGAGAAATTTCAGCATACATCATAAATGAAACACATTCTTGATATCCTTGTGAAGGAGGTCGAATGCAGTTGTTAAAAAAACTACAATAAAACCTGATTATAAAACCTGCTGCAATTATTGATATCTGAAACTATTACACATCAATTTCCCTTTACTATAGTTATACAATTCATAGTTCTTTAATTTGCAACAAAGCTTCTGTTAGTCCCCTAAAAGCATATACAAACCCCGATAAAGAGATCCACAGGTTGGAGTTTGCTTCTGCCTGTGCATATCACTTCTTGGATTGGGAATTACAGGCGTGGCTTGGATACGCATCTAAAATAGCATCCAAGTATGGATGTTGTCCATTAGCATGCATTTGTCTTCAACATGTTTATTGGAATGTACATTCCCTACTATATTATAGTAGAGGCAACTCCCCACTTATGTGGGAGTTACATTACGGGCCCCTGCATGCATAAGAAAAATTGCATAAAGTGGGGAGTACCCTCTAAACATCCCTTAAACACCCTCTCTGCTGCTTTCTCTTTAATCCATACCAAAAATACTGTATCCAAAAATATCCACAAGTAGAACTGAATCTCTGGGGCCAGCAGGAAGCAGGACGTGTGGGAAAGCACTGTGAATGTGCAGTCATGCACAAACATGCAAGTGGTGGGATGCCTGTACAAGTCACACACGATTTTTTATGTACCGCTGTAGATGGAGCAGGACAATATATCCCTATCTACACATAATGTAAAATCTAACAAACTGCAGAAAATTAGCAGCCCCAGAGCTTATCTACCTGTGTCACCTCCAGATCCAGTTGATAAAGCTGGCATGGTTTAGTCTGTGAGCTGCAACAAGGACACACGCTAGAACAACGCTGGAGCCAGAAGGAGGTAGAAAGTTTCAGTTCAATTACATGCAGCTGAGTTTTCTACGAGACTGAGGCAATTTCAAAGCAATCCTGGAAAGAACAGAAACATAACAAATAATCATTAGAATTATAAGTTGCTGTAATTTGCCAACGTATATCTAACCTAGTTTAGCAACTTGAAAACTATTTCTTCATACTATGTTATTTTAGGATCTTAAAAATAATATGTACTATGCAGATGGGGTTTCCTTTAATCTAATCTATGTGTAAGTTACAGCCACAAACCAAACAGTTGCTTGGGTTGATGTAAGGGACTTGTGCTAACCTGGCAGATTATTTATTTATTTATTTATTTTACTATGAGCAACTGACATCCTCACCCCCTGCATACAAAACTGCTTTTCGAATTCCACATCATTTCAAAAACAACTTCCAATATAGTCTATTAAAGAAAAATATGTCTAAAAACCCATTTCCGAAAGAAACCTGGAGACTCAGCATTTGCCAATTAGAAATGTTTTGGTGGGGTTGTTTTTGTTTTGTTTCTTTTACAGTTTGAGTACTTTCCACTAATACAAATATCTATAACCATCCTAACAGTCATCCCTATGGTATGGATCTCTCAACCATTCCAATGTATTTGGTGACAGTACTCACTCCAGAAATGCAGATATGAAATTGTAAAATTTTAACTTAATGAAATTTTTGTTATTAGGATTATTGTTTGCTTCTACCACATGCTGAATGACCACTTCTCTGTAGGATTATCATGTTGAATATTAAGCCACAATTATTAACACACCTTGCATTAAGACTGGCATAACAAGTAGTGTCCTCAAGTGGAGAGGATGAAGGAAAGAGAGTTAATTTTAACTTGTAAAAAATGTCATAAACATAGAGTGACTTTAGCTTTTTCCATGGATATATTCAAGTGTATTTTTGTGTCCACTATAATAGCTTACGATAACTACAACATTTATTTTAAGTTTTTAATCAGGTCATTTTTGTCATTCCTATTAATGGAACTAGAGGCAAACATGTTTTAATATACAAATGATCACATGCTAAAAGATTACTGAAAAGTAATCAAAGAACTATAATTAAAACCCATCATTTACTGCTGGCAAGAAATAACTTCATTTGAAGCTGATTCTAAAGCACCATTTATTTGTTTGTTTTCACATAATTAACTTCAGCTTTTTAACAGGCTTGTTTGACAGCCTACAAAATTGTTTGACAGAAAACTGGGTTATATCCAAGACAGAAGTTCAAATGTTTCATAGGATATTTTTGTAGAGAGTTTGATTATTAATATTCAATAGATAAATGGGTTGTTTGGGGATAAATCTATGGGCCTATATAACTCTGCACTGCATTGCGGTTATTGTGTTCTGGCACAACTCTATTTACTCAGTCTTAAAACAGAAGAAGGCAGAATATCTACACACAGATTTTTATTTTTTTAAGGCACTTGATGCCAGGCCAAGGACACACTGTACAAGTTTTGCAAAGCATCAATTCAGTTTGTCTTGGTGCAAGTGTAACATGCACAAGTCAAAGCTGGAAAATAAAATTTTAAGATCTGAACCTAGAGAGTCACAAAGCTATCGCAGAATCAAACTAGTTATTGAAGCCAACCAGGTCTTTAAAAAATATTCTTTATTTGTTCATCCACTAGTTTTTTAGGTATATTCCTTGAACCTTTTATTCCACAGCAAAAGTGCATTATCTATATTAATAAACACCTAGGTTGTAAAATACTAATTGTGATTGCAGATACTTAAGTTTAAAGACCAAAGCCTTAATAAATATAGAAAACACTTAATATTAACCAGTGAGGATGCCATTCCTCATTTTTTCTTTATTGTGGTTAAATTCCTTGATATTAACTTTCAAAAACCCTTATTCTAAAGGGTTGTGTGGTATGAAGTTATTCCCCTCAGAATCTCTATGTATATATTAGTGAAAATAAATGACCTGGTGAAATCTTTACCAGTTAAAAGCTTAATATTTTGTTGGAATGAAACAAGATTCTTTTCTCCAAAACTTGTAAATTAAGTTACATTTTTTCAGTGATGTTTGCTTTGGCTAAATTTGTTTCAAAATGCTTTGTAATTTTGTGTCAGAATCCAGCTATAAGTACTGCTGTCTGCTGCATGGAATCGATTTGCTGCAACACAGAAATACCAGCTGTTATAGTATGTCCTGAGAGGGATTACCGAATATTCTTAAATTGAAGTTCAATCCATCTTTCCATAAAAACACAAGCAAAAGCCAGGAACGTAAAAGGAGTATCAAGTGCACCTGAGGCATTTACAATGCCCAATAGGACTGTTAGAACCAGCCCTTTAAAAAGGCTCATTTTTTGAAATTTCATTATTCCAGTTGTACCTTGCTTCTATATCACACTGTATCAGATTCTTCTGGCAACTGCCATGTGGAAACAGTGGAATATGTGAAGTTCAGTGACATGTTGAATTTCCACCAGGCCCTTAGTAACCTCTCAGGCTCCTGTAATACTTGTGACATCTAGTGGTTATGTGGAATGGTGCAGTGGCTTTGATTCACAATATCTAATGACACAATAAGGACCCTTCATTCCCTTCTTCAAAAAATAAAACACATGTTTGGTAGCTTAAGAAAAGGCAACATCTGAAAGTGACAATGTACCTTAAAGAAGCCAATCTATAATATGCCAAGTACAATTATTCCTCTACAATAAACAACAGCTGCTCTTGCTACAACACATGAGTTTCTATATTACAATGTATATAGCACACTTCCTACATATTTTTCACATAGGTATTTCATATGTCTTCTCAGAAATCCTTGCAACAGCTCTAGCAATACGTATGTCAACATTATCCCCATATCACCAATGAGAGACTAATCACAGCTAAGCTGAAATTTGACTTCAAAACCTAATGCTCAGGCCTTCTATCAACTATGCTACTATCGTTTTGGGAACATTAGTGAAATTTTAGAATATGAACAGGATATTTATTTACTTCAGTCATGCAAGCTGTTTCACACAGCACATACAAGACCACAAAAGTAATCACAGCACTGAATTATTTCAGTGCAAAATTACATCTCTTTGAGAAGTTTATACTGCTTTCCTACACAACAGCAAGTCTTTTCTTGTCAATCACAAAAGACTTTTTAGGGCATGTTTGAAAGTGACTCATCTTGTTTTCCCCTGCTGTATTTTGTAACTCTAGTACGTTATAGGACATTTCAGAATCACCACACTTTTCTGTGTAGAACATGCCCCCTATTTTGGGGAACTCAAAATTAAGAAAAGGAGGGGGGAGATTCCCCAAAGTTGTTGAGATTTTTTTGAGGGGGAGGATTGCCCAGAATTGTTGAGCTTTTGGGGGGCAGAGTTGTTGAGCTTTTCTTAGGGGGAATGCAAAAAATTGCTCACCCACCAGACTGACAATGCCGCTTGTGTGCATCGCCAAAGCAACCTATCCTCTGTCCCATCACTGAAAAAAAGGTGCACAGCGCCTGCCCAATTGCCACAGAGACAGCCAATCAACACCAGCCCTTGCCGCAGCCACCAATAACAATCTCCAACTCGTGGCAGCAACCAATCCCATGTCCCCACAATGCGCTACACATGTATAAGACGACCCCTAATTTTGAACATGATTTTGGAGTAAAAAAAATAGTCGTATACACAGAAAAGTACGGTAGTTTGCTCTAAGTACAGAACAACTTTGGGAAATGTGGAAATTTTACACACATCAGTAAACATGAACAGTTTTTGTCAGCTTTTCCTCTAATTTTAAATTGGTATTAAATATAAAATCTGCTCCAGAACACATCTGTGCTTGAAGACAACAGCTGATTTATATGTTACAAACAAGCAGGAAAAAGATAATTGTTCTCAGTTCTTCCTGTCAACTGTTGTGAACTACCTCCAGTACCACAGACACTATGCCTCTGAAACATCAATTGCTATGGATCACAAACAGGAGAATGCTAGTGCACTCACGTCCTGCTTAAGGGCTTCCAACAGGAATCTGGTTGGCTACTATGAGAATAGTATGCTGAACTAGATGGGTCTTTCAACTGAGCCAAAACTGTGTCATCTGGGGCACCTAGATTTTGATGCAGCAAAAATCAACAAGTCCCGCTTTTGGTATTCAAACTATTCCCCACTTCTAAAATGTATAAATCTGTACTTGAACTGCACCTGGGAAACAAAGCTGGAAAAGCCATTTATTATAATTTCCCATTGTCACAATTATTTATTAGGATGGAATTTATTCTTTTATATTTCCATATCAGAAAATTGATAAAGTTTGACCTTTGCGGATCCAACTTCCAAGACAGACACACAATATTTACCTCACCTTAACAAAGCTACAAAACATGATTCTTACTTCTATTTGAGAAAGTCTAAAATCCCAAATCAAAGATAAAAGCCTAAAGCAAACATCTACTTAAAACTGCAACACTTAATGTTTTACTAAGTGGTGAAAACAGAAATCAAGTTCTAAAATGTTTGTTTTCACACTTTTCTTCCCCTTCAGTAAATGACATGGGGTGGAAATTTTTCTGTTTTGTAAGTTCATTAAGAATGAATGTGTGCCAGTTACAAATAAATATTAGGCAAGCTTGCCAAGGTATTTAGTTTTGTTTTACTAAAAACAAGTAAGCTAAACATGCTAAATAAGATCAACCTCAAGTCTAGGGCTTCATAGGAAAAACTTCTGGAAAACTCACACTGCCCCTATTTCACTTGAACCCTCCAAATTCCAATATGTTTTAAGCGAGGACAGTTTGGCACAATGCATATTTTACAATTTACTCTATGTACTACCGGAGAGATTAACAGAGTCTGTTAACACAATCCCAGAGACCTAAGTATTTAAATTCCACCACTGGACATTTAAAATTTACGTTGTTAAATTACGTTGTTAAATTTATACATTTTCTGAGGGGGTTTTTATTTTGAGGGAATGAAACAGAAAATTGATTTAAATTCAGTCATTTCAAATGTTATATCTATATACCGGTATTTCACAGAGAGCACTTTGAATGCTTTTAAATTGATATGAAAGCAAAATTATATGAGGTCTAACAATTTAGCAAGAGTGCTCATTTGAAGCTGAAACCTTTTTCATGAATTAATTCAACAAGAGAAGTGGTGAATAGCATCCTGTTCATGCAGAAACAGAATATTTCCTTACGTCTACAGGTTCAGAGCCAAAAGTATTAAGCATGGTCACAAAGCTACTGACCCAATTCCGTTCTGGGAGCTTAAACACTCATGGAAAGGCAAAGAGCTCCATTTGTGTTTAGTTCTGCTCCTTTTCTATTTGAGAGCATAAAATTTTTATAATATAGTTTCCTACTAAAATAGGAAAATCTAATTCAGCACAATAATTTTTCTAAGTCCATAATGGTTTCAATACAGCATTGTTCATTTTGCTGAAATAACAAAAAGCCAGGAAATGCAAACATTAACTTGGAGCTCCTGCATATCCTGTATAGTCACAGTATACATTTCATAAGAGAAAATAGTACTATGAGGGTGAGGGGAGCAATCCAAGCATGCAACCTCCCACTCCCCATTTAGTAGACTTTCTTAAAATAAAGCATATAAGCTTTCTTTAAAAAAAAAAATGTTGCTTAAATTTGGCTTACACTTGTAACTCCTACTGTTATTAATAAATATTTAAAAATTGACTCTGGTCACCTGAAGCAGAAATTCCAGTAGTTTAACATTTTCTTCTAGACTGATTTTGTATGAATGGGACTTTTTTTCTTGCCACCATCATATTCTAAGCAGACAATAGGAATGGGGGAGAGCCCCACATTCCTGAACCACAAAAGCACTAAACACCTTTTACTGAAAGAGTTCAAGGGTCCCTCTATCTTGGTATTGCTTACATTGTTTGGGATCATATCTCTGGGATTTCTGGCAACAGACATTCCCAGCCCTATATATACATTATATCTTGCTTTTGAATAAAGAAAACAAATAATTATACACAGAAATTTTCTTATCCGCTATAAGCTATAAGCAGTGTAATTCCTTGTTTCTCAATGGAGATTCAATATATAATCTGTGTAGATATACCACTTTAAAGGGTTTAGTCACTAGGATCTCACAACACACATACCCCATACACACATGTTGATAACCTGCATTAAAATGAGCTCAGTAGTGTTCCTAAACTCCAGAGCCTGGATACTTGATAACAATACTGCAAAGGCTAATTGAATTTAGATGAGCATTTATTTGAGTTGTTTTCATTAGGCCATCAGCTCACCCCCATGCTCTAGACTGAATATGGAAAACAGGATAACACATACTGTTAAAAATATCAAAGAACTGAAGTACTGTAGAGAGAAATGTAAATGTCATGCCCTAGTGGTCTATTTTAGCAGTAGTTTCTTTTGGCCAGAAGAGGGGGCCCACACTCTGTGAGAAGCATAATTCCCTAAACACATTCGCACATAAAGCTGTATTTCTCTAAAGCCTGTCTCCGATAGCAAGTCCTCACAATCACAGGTGACATCTGACTGGCACCATGATCCACTGTGCCTGTAGCAAGTTGACTGGTTACCTCAGCCAAATATTTAAGTCCTAGCATAGTGGGAAGATGAAAAACATTGGAACAGCTGGTCCCCAAATATTGCAGCAGACTTTAAGGCAGCTTGTCATGAAGATTACACAAATGAAAGCCAGCATCAAAGAAGTGTCCAAGATTTCAAGGTAATGTACTAAGCAAATTTGTGGGGGAATGATGAAACCCATACTGGGGGAAACTGTTCAATAATGGCATGATCATCTAAAACTCTTATACAGATAAATCTCCAGATTCCAAGGTGGCAATCTCAGAGCCGCTAACATTCTAAATGGCTTATGGACAAAGAAATTTGGTGTCCAAGTCAGAGCATGGTGCCCAGTCCATATGTAAGAAGGTTAATACCTTTGTGGAGACAAGGACCCCAATAAAGAGCACTCAGGGAGGTCAATTTAAAAGATCGTTGTGTAGGAAAAATATGAAGGAATCTAATTCCAGCAATGGCATACTTTCCCACCCTGCACAAGAAAGTCAGACACTTAAAAACAGGATGTCTAGCACAATATAAGGATTTGCCCATTTATTAGCTTCTAAGTTCTCTAGCAATGCAAGTTAAGCAATAACTTCAAGATACAATAATATTATTGCAATTAACATTAACATAAATTCACACAAAAAACTGTCTAATACATAAATTTGACAGACTGACACTAAAAGCCAAACAATGGTAATCACAACTCAAATTTTATAATATGCTTAAATCACATTGAAGAGTGAACCAACCAACCGACTACTGGCAGCAGCAGAGACAGTACTAAAATAATAAAAGATATTAAAAGACTCTTTAAAAATTAGAAGATTAAAGGCCAGAAAGAGTTTTTAAGGAGGTTTTCCCTGACATCAAAAGGGCATTAATGTGTGGACTAGTTGAGCCTCTTCAGACAGCCACTTCATTAGACTGACGCCTCCCTCACTTTAATGCCTCCCAGTCTGGTGAAAGTCAGGCTGACTGCAGTATTGAAAACACATTAGTCACAGAAATAGGGTGGGTTCTGAAACACACAGGCAGCCAATAGAACAGGGGCTATTTAAATTCTCAAGTGAACCAGGCCAGTAATCTGGCCAATGCATTTTGAACCCATTGAAGTTTCCAAGCCCTTCAAGGGCAGCTCCATGCAGAGTGCTCAGGGTGTTCAGGATGGTATCGTCGTAAGCGACCTGCCAAATCAATCTCCTTATTCACAATCAAATCATGGATGATAGGATGATATAGGTGTTTTATTCTGAAGAGACCTGGCATTTAGCAGCAAAGCCACAAGCCCAGAGAGTTGACTGGTTGGCATCTCCAGATTCTGAGATACTGAGGGTGCAGCAGAAGGGCAGGGGCTTTGATGTAACTAGTAGTCCTCCACCCATATACCTTCATCCAACTCCATACCTCCCCCTATCTACCATCACAGGAATGGCATTCCTAACCCCCTGGCCCAGACATATGCATTCCTTAATCCACCTCTAATCACAGTGATAAAGAGATACAACCATCCCAGCTAGAAACCACCTCACCTCTTACCTGAGCTGTTGCAAATGCTTCCCTGTCTCTCACCTGGAGTGGGTCAGGTAGCTTTCTCCTGCACTCCACCCTTTACACACAACCAGTCTGTCGCTGCAGCTGAACATATTTCCATGAACAGGACACAAATATCTAACAAATATCCCAAGTAAAAACTGGGAATTGCTTAAGAGGAAATGTTCCAATCAGAGCATGTAGCACTGTCATGCTGGAGCTGCACAGTAGCCTCAATTTGCTTTGACAAGACAGGATCATTCAGAAATGATTCATAGGCACTCAGAGCATAAATCAGGTATAATCTAGCCTTAATGAACAACATTAGGTAGCACTACACCATAACCCTTTTTTCACTTGTAAATAAGACAAGAGCAACCAGAGCAACATTCTCTTCAATATGGTGTAAAACAGCTAGACTTTTAGCATTCACACTGCTTCAGATACACTGGGTAATAATATATCAGGACACATGACAATGAATCACAAATAAGGATTAAAATAGAATTGGGATGCATAATCCAGTAGTCTATTCCCCAAACACTTAAACATGGTGGGGGAGCTACTATTACACCATCATTAAACCTTTTAAAAGCCCCGTATTATCCTCAAATTACAGATGGGGAACTGAGTCTAAGATCATAGCAGCTTGTCAAAGGCCATCACTGAGTTTGTGGAGAAAATGCTCTCTCAATCAAGAACTACCTGGCTCTCACTTCTTAAACTGTGGTACACCAGAAGTAAAGCAATTATGCAGTCCTCCCATCATAACAGTAATGCACTTCCTATATTTGAAATCAAAACATGAAACAGTGTCAAAATGTTTACTGAGTCACCCTTACGCCAAATAGTATTTTTTAAGTGTGCAGACTAACACAAATAATATTTTTATGGTTACCTTTCAGCCATGATTGCTGAGGAACAAAGAGCATCACGGAGTACAAGGCATTATACAAGTATATGAAGGCATTTACTAGTGTTCAGTGAGTGTTTTGCAGTATTAGCGACAGAACTGTTTCAGGACAGGGTTATACAGAGGGAACATGAAGCATTATAGCAGACTTATTGTTAGCAGGCTTAGAGTCAATGCTCAGAATTTCCCAGAAATGTAAATAATTGCTACTAGAAATAAATTTCAATGGGAACCGACCCAATTACTCAAGGCAAGAGCTTCTACATGTGGGAACACAGAATATGGTTTGGGGCACATAATTCAGTTCTTGAGAATCTGTTTTGCATACACATACAACTCTAGCGCTTAAGAGTGTGTAATACATAATGAGTTCCCTGAAGTCAGAAAGGGCAGTTGAACATGATTTCTAGGGACTGGGCATGGGGCTTTAGTACCCACAATCCTACTTTTCCTCTAACCTTGATAAGCAAACCCAAAATTGAGCAATATTGCATCATTATGTAATTTTTACAAAGTAAATTATGCATTTTTTTCCGTTTGCATAATTTATCCAGGTCACAGGATTCAGCTTTGCTTCACATAAAACTTGGACTGTTTATATGCAATGTGTCAGTATCACAAAGCACTCACAGATCTGATTAAAAAGGAGCTTTAAAAGATAGGAGAGCAAGGAAATAGCACTAAGGACACAAGGAGAGCAGGACATATTCAGTAAGGCTTCCTGATTCTGCTGTAACAGAGAAATAGAAATGGGTGCCATTAGCATACTGATGACACCATGCCCCAGTCTTCTAATGACTGCTCCAAGCAGCTCTATATAGGTATTAGATGGCATTGTGGCATCCTGCTACACAACCTGACCCCCCTCAAAAAACACACAGTGCAACCAACTCACAAATACTCTCCAGGAGGAGACTATAATCAACAGCAATGAAAGTTACAGAAAGATCAAGAGCAGGTTACACTCCCCTGTCCCTCTACTGAAAGTGTTCATTCATCAGAGCAATAAAGGCTGATTCTGTTTCAAAACCAGGTCTGAGCCCAGACCAGAATACGACAAGACAATCTATTTCCCCCCAGAGTGTCTGGATAGCCACTACCCTCATAAACATCCTACCACAAGAAGGGGCAGCAGACCTGTTTCACAGTTTGGAGCTCCCGGACACATATTGCCATTCCATAGTGAAAGCAAGGCCTTAAGAGGATTGCCAGCTCTGGCTCCTGAGAAATCATGCAGAGCATTCCAAAGTCCCTTGGATTCCGTAAGTCTCTGTGGGTGGACCATCTTAAAGGTTATAGTGAAGAGGCTATGCACTGTTAACGTATTCACTTTCTAATCTCTGCTTTTTATTTGGCAGGAGTCCAGTTACTGAGAGTTTACCACAACTTGGCTGATCTTCATTATTAAATTCCTTTTTGCTATCTGGAGGTCTTGCCTTCAAATGTCATTAACACCAAAGCTGATAATCTTATAATTCTACCAACAAACCTCAAATAATTTTGTATGCTTTATAAATATATAGCAATGTCAACTTACAACTGAACAAGTTGTAAAATTTCATTGTACAACATGCCATCTACAATCATGCTGTAAGAATTCAGTTTGTTGTTCCACTGCAAACATTTTGACCTTTTGTTAGAATGACAGAGGCAAGAAACAAATACCTTATGTTGAAAGCTGGGTAAAAAGAGTATATGTCCATGTTCTCAAAACTTTCATGTCCTTGTCAACGCATTTCAATTATCTAGTAGTCAGTTGCCAACTCTCTTCCCCCCTCTCCTGTAAACTATTGATTTTGGGAAGGGGAAAATTTGCTTCAAGGGATAGGAGACAAGAGGTGACAACCATGGAGGCAGCCTAGTAACCTGGCAGGGTGCATCTAGCCATGATCAGGATTGGGTGGGCAACAAATGCAGTAGTGGGAAAGATGAAAGATTTTATAGGCAGGATCTCATACTAATACAGGAAGAACAACCATTTTTCTTTGCATACAACAGAAACCTTTGCTGTATGTGCAGATAGCTATTTGAGAGTAGAGACAAACTAGGCTGCCAAGGATCTGTCATCAGTTGACACTTGCTGAAAAAACAGTGGAGAAAACAAACCACCCACTCCATTCTCTGTAGGGGGAAAAAGCCATTCCAGCATTTTTCAGTCAACAGTTGAATTACTAAACAACTTGAGTAGGATGGAGGTCAGATTGGGATGGAACTATTATAATCCCATATAGCTCTTAATCAATTTAAACAGACTACTTCTACTATCATTGCACTGCTCCCAGTGCAATCAGAAATAACATCAGAAAAGGGAACTTTGCGTCCTGATTTCAAGCAAGTAAAATAATTTATCTTTAAGAGTCCAAGCAGAAAGTGAAAACATTTCATAGAGCAAGCTAAAACTAAGTATTCTGACTAGAGAAACAGTATGAAGTCCTTACCAGGGAAGCGGGGAGGAGAGAGACTACCAAGTGCAGCATACTGACAAGGTCCTTCCAATTACGGTCCCTAATAGCCAAACCAATGGTTCCTATAACTTCCCCATCTCAAGATTCATACAGTCATTAGCATAAAATCAGTAACAACCAGTATCAAGCAAATTACACATTCTCCTTACAACAGGGCTACAGTACTATTGTAACTCCGAACATTCATTTTAGATTAAAGATTTCTTCAGTAGCTTGAAGAAGCAACTGAAGCAACAATTGTTGTATCTTCCCGACTGCTTAATATCATGCAGGTAGCCCACAAATTATCCATGCAGGCACCATGCAGGTTATCCAGCCTGTTAAAATCCACACAAATGAAAGAACACAAATAACCTATTTAAAATGAGAGCATCAGAACATAGATTTTCATTCCAACAAAAATTGGAAGAAATAGTTCGAGACTTAAGAGAGGATTAAAATAAATCTTATACAAGTTGCAAAAGACACTTAACCCATATCCATACTGTATAAAGCAGACCAATCATGGTTATGCTCATTGCCATCCTACAGCTCCCAACGTGAAGCAGAATATCAGTGAGATACAATATTCTCTACATGCTGTTCTAAATATCAGTCAGACAAGGAACAACAAGCATTTAGTAAAACATACATCTCCCAGTAGCAAGCTAAAGCTTAATTCTGCTTCTGCAATACTATCATATTGACTTTTAAATTGGTAGCTAAACATTCATTCACATTTTAGGAATTTTAGTATGACAAGCCTTGGTAAGATGAGGGCTCTACGTAATTATTGCCCAAATTCTGTTGAGCAGAAAGAAAGCTTGTAGCTTTCACTAATTTTCCACCTCATGATATAGCCTTCTAGAGTTTACAAAGTATCAAAACTTTACAATTCAAGGCAAAAGAATACTATGTAGCTGTTTCTTGCATAAACCCTTTTCTCTCTAGTAAGGGGCATTTTACAGCTAAGAATAAACAGAGCTGCCTGTTATTTCATTGTGCACCAGTTCAACTTACACTTCTTTGACTACAGCAACTGAGAGGACAGAACATGATCATAACTACTATCAAATTCAAGAGAAAATTAGCATAAGCTGAACTATGCTACAACACAGAAGACACACATCACATTTGACTGGGCCAATCCAACACTCCATAGCACAGTGGTGCCTCGCAAGACGAAATTAATCCGTTCCGCGAGTCTCTTCGTCTTGCGGTTTTTTCATCTTGCGAAGCACGGCTATTAGCAGCTTAGCGGCTATTAGCGGCTATTAATGGCTTAGCGGCTTAGCGGCTTTAAGAAAAAAGAAACAAACTCGCAAGAACTCGCAAGACGTTTCGTCGTGCGAAGCAAGCCCATAGGGAAATTCGTCTTGCGGAACGACTCAAAAAACGCAAAACTCTTTCGTCTAGCGAGTTTTTCATCTTGCGGGGCACCACTGTACAAGGTTTCACATGTCAAATACAGGTGGTACTGTTAATTCACTGTGCATCCTATATAACAGAAGAAATCTCCCACAAATTAAAATGTTTCAAGCAATGTAGCCTTGACTGCTAAAACAGTACCGATGCAAAGACAAAAATCACTTGATTTTTTGTTAGCTCTACCTATTAATCCTGTTTTTCATTAGCATGTTACATTTTCATAATTTTTGTATTTTATTATGCATACTGTGAATGTCAATGTATGTTTATCTAGCACCCATATATAACAGTAACAGAATTAAATTTCCAAAATAGAAGGTAGCCATGCTGTTTCAGAAGTCAATAAATTGAATGGAGCTAGATCAGAAACTCAATTCAGATGTCAAACGTAATCATAGTTTGCATTAACCATATCAAGTACCGGGGCAAACCCCAATTCACACATCTTATCCTAGCTAGGATTCTGCACTAACTGCAGCTTCCAGATCAAGTGTGAGGGAAGCTCCACATGGAGCACCTTTCAGAAATCCACTTGAAGTAACCAACACATGAACTACTGTGGCAAGACTTTCCCAGTCCAGGGGTGATCGCAACTGTAGAACCAGTCACAGTTGGTAAAAGGCAACCTAGCAGTGCAACTGGTTAAAAACTGCTCCCTTCAGAAAATTCTGGAATATCCTAAGTATAGTTTTCCTCAGGCAAAAGACATGTGTTTCTATTATCTGCCCATGGTTCAGCATTCTTGTCCTTCAAGGCCCAAGAATTCTGGAAGGAAGCAGCAAAAGTTCAAAGACATCCAGGATACCTTGGCTATCCCAAATCTGCTGCACACCCAAGGATAACTATGTGAAGTTGCTGAACTCATTTTACATTGCAATCCAGAATGGGATGGGCATTTATCAAATAAGCATCAAGACCACCAAGGAAAATACCTAGATCACACAAAATACATGAGACATAATATGTGCTGTCCTCAATATGGAACATTATGTATTTGGAAACTAGGTAAGTGGGGCTACAGGATAAACACAGCAGATGAAAGGTCTACAGGTAGAGATTTGTATTTCAGTTGTTGTCATGGTTACTTTTGTGTCCTAATATATGCCTTTCAACAGGGTGGATTGTTGGTCTCTTGATCTTGCATTGGAAGCAGTCAGATTCAAGGAACCAACAGCGAGAGCAGGTTGAAAAGCATACTTTGAGGAAAACTAGCAAAAGATACTTAGATGTGTTTGTTTTCTATCTTACTTGGCATTCTCAACTCTGTCAAGGGTGACAAAAATCATGGTTTGCCAGTTCCGATGCCACACCAAGCCATTGTTAAGCTTTGCAAAGAAAAAAGAATTAAGAATTGACATGACATCAGAATTATGCCACAGGCATAATTATACAGTTGTAAGGGTTACAAGGCAATGCATGTGAATCACTCTGAACACTCAGCAGTACTATGTAAATACTAATTATTTTAGTTATTATTAAGTAGTCAACACCATGCAGACTGCTTGAATTCAAACATCTTATTACTCTGGCATGACCTTAAGCTGTCCTTTCAAGATTACCGTATATATTGAATCCTTGTTGATATTTTAGGACAATGTTTGGAACACAGTTACATAAATATGGACTCTATCTTTTGTTATTGCAACACATTATAATGGCAAGTCATTACTTTTCCTTGTAACATGAGGGGCACTCCCATTCAAGACAACTGGAAAAACCAGCTTCTAATTACTTTGCCAGTATTGAGAACCAGGACTTTGAAATGTTGCGCATTCCCTCTTGCTGGAATAGAGTAAGTCACATGATTATTCTTATATTTTTAAAAAGAATAACTGTAGTTCTTTACGCAAAAAAAAGTAATGCACCAACAGAAGCAGCAAATCATTATTCTAATATGCATAAGGAAGGTGTATGTGATGGTCATTTACAAAAAAAAACCCCATCACCATCTGATTGCATCCATACTGTCTAGTTTGGTCCATCTTTCTTCCCCTTTCCTTGTTTTTTCACAGTGCTTTCAGACAATTTTCATTTTGGGGGAAATCCATTTTTATTTTTCATAAAACTCGGTGCTTAGTTCCATCACTTGTTTACCACCAGTCCTGTAATGTTGTGGTGGGTGTAGTCTGTCAGTATTCTGGACTTCTAGATTATCCAGATTCCTCAGTCTCCATTCTGATTCTTAGATTATCTTCCCCACCACACCACACCCTCTATTCATATAAATTGTCATCCAGAAGTGGGAAGGAGGTGAGTGGGTGAGTTCTAAATGGCAAACATCCCTGCCTCCCCCTTCAACTTTCATTTCATGGCTGGAAAGAAAGTAGAGGGTTACTCCATGACTGGCAGGACAGTCATGGCCATGTCTGCATCATAGGGCATGCAAGCAACTTATCCTGCAGTGAGGGAAAGAACTAGCATTGTGTAGTCATCCCCACATTTCTAAAAAAACTTGCGGTTTGGGGGGTATGGAGAGATGATTTCAAGCAGATGGGAAAGGCTATAGCTCAAGGTTGCAATCTTAACCTCATTTGCCTGGGAGTAACTACCACTGAATTCATCAGAGCTCACTTCTGAGTAAACATAGTTAGGATTGCACTACAAGTGCTCTTAATTCAACTGCAGAAGTATGTGCACATGTGCAGGATGAGCAGTAGGGGTGAGTGGAGGACTAGTGTGGATGAGAGTGGAGAAGAAAACATACATGCCTGTTGGTGAAATTGCCCTGAAACACTACTTTTGAAGGACATTGCAAAAGAAAATCATGCATTGTATGAATACGTCACAGAAATCTGCTAACAAGAAAACTTGTATAAACTCACATTAAAAAGTTTGTGTCCAAGTACAAACTATATGCATATTTATGATCGACAGAAAACTCCCACTTCACTCTAGGAATAAATTAGGATACTGGCAAAGTTCCTTCAAATGTTGAGAAGTCTCCCTTTGCCCCCTTAGCAATAGATGTTATCATGCGCACATGAAGAACCCACCTGTTGCCCTAACCAGGCTAACAAATGAAGCAGTTCTAGATGTGCAAAAGAATCTGCTTCCTTCAATGAAATGAATGATAGTGTCAAGGGAGTTTGTATGTAAAACACTATGACCGAGGGAACAGACTATGTATATAATAAAGCAATAGGACCACCCAGTATGCACACTACTAAGCTTTAACCCTCCATCAAAAAATGTTCCAAGTAGCAAACAGACACAGCAAATTCCTGTTACCACATAAGAGAAAAGTATCTAGAATATGTTTAACCTCATTTGTGAATTTTAGTGGTAAAAGTTCCTTAACCCATGTAACATCTATTAGCAGGTGAAAATACTTATGTAACATAAATTTACATGTCCTGTATTAATCTGTTCATCTTCAAGGGTTATAGCTGTACTTTGTAACTGCAATCTACTAGTATCTGTAAAGAAGAGCACATATGCAGAGGTGTGGAAAAGTGTGAGTTTCCCAGAAGCCAGAAGGACCAAGTACTTAGAACAGAGACCAATAACTGGAAGGCAGGGATCGGAATACAGCTCCTGGAAAGCTGCCAACTGGCCCGCAACAAAGTGCTCTTACCATTCCATCACTTTAAGTGAAAAAATGTGTGTTTGTCTCTTGTTTCAGTTGTCCCTCCCATTCAAAACTAAATACTTTCAGCCCATCTGGCATGAAGCTAATTGTAAAGCTATGTAAGGTGTCATTGTTGTCCCTACTGCCATCTGTCATGCCCCTTAATTTTAAGTGATGTTGACTGAGGCGAATGCAACAATTTTTGTGGCTCACATCTCCTGATAAGGCATCCTGGAAAGGAGGCATAGCCAGAAGTGGATACAAAGCAAATTCTGTACCTTGGGCTAACAGTAGGGCTGCTTCAGGATAGGCAGAATGGGGAAGTAGTAGTAAATAGGTGAAGAGATTCCTAAGAATAATTAAAGTAGTCAGGGCTACTAAACAGTGGGTAATCCAGATTTGAAAATAGATGCAACTCTTTCTGTAGAAGTGGGTTGATAATGGAATTTGTACATCAAACCAGTTAAAAGGACTGGATGAACATTTTTTCTCATCTTCAATGTTGCAGTGTTTCAGCATTTCCTATATTGCTGGATGAAATAGGTAAAGGTAAAGGTACCCCTGCCGGTACGGGCCAGTCTTGACAGACTCTAGGGTTGTGCGCTCATCTCACTCTAGAGGCCAGGAGCCAGCGCTGTCCGCAGACACTTCCGGGTCACGTGGCCAGCGTGACAAAGCTGCTCCGGCGAACCGGCACCAGAGCAGCACACGGAACGCCGTTTACCTTCCCGCTAGAAAGCAGTACCTATTTATCTACTTGCACTTAATTGTGCTTTCGAACTGCTAGGTGGGCAGGAGCTGGGACCAAACGACGGGAGCTCACCCCGCCGCGGGGATTCGAACCGCCGACCATGCGATCAGCAAGTCCTAGGCGCTGAGGTTTTACCCACAGCGCCACCCGCGTCCCTGCTGGATGAAATAACTGGATATAAATGTTTGCTGGAATGCTGTAAATTGCATGTTCAGTAGCTTAGAGATAAATGGAAAGTAAGTTAGAGTGTTCCATTCAGCAAAATTTCCTGGACCTTAAGAGGAAGTGTAAAAGGTTTTTGAACTTCTACAAAGTTACGTGAGTTTCCAGAAACCTACACTTGGAGAATAAATGCATTATTAGCATATATGTGATATTAAGTAGATAGAAAATAACTATGTCATGAGAAATGCACAAACACTGCTGGAGCAGAATGCAGCCATCACCCAATGCTTATACAAGCCACTAGAGGAGAAGTTTTACCAGAACTACATGGTTTCTGTCCCCCTTACCATGTCTGTTACTCCCCCCATCCCACCCTGGATTGCAATGGAGACAGGTGACCTCAATTCCTCTCTTGGTGTTCAGACCCCGCCACCAACCTGTAAAAGTCCACTTTCAACAGAAAGACAGCTGGGAAGCAGATTATATGAAGGAGGTCACAGTTCATGCATAGGAAAGCAGCAGTGCAGATGGTGATGTTGGGCAGCTTGTTTCTTTAAAGTACCCAGGTATTATTTCACAGCACAGACCACTTACTTTACTCAAGGGAATACCAACCAGCAAATGCAATTTCCCATTAACTTCCTCTCTCCATCTAAAATACTCTTCCTGAATTATCAGAATCTAGCTCTTCAATGCTGCATAGATACATACAATTCAAAATTGAATAGCTGTGTGGATGATGCGTCTTGAACATCCCCATTCACGCCAAATCGATAAAGTTTTAGCTATGCATGCCCATCTTAATATAAAATGTTCTGAATCAAATGGAGATGTTGAGCTAGTAACTGTAATCAAAAGATCCTCAACACAAAGATTAGAACTATAAAAATCCTACCCCATAGTGCAAGTCATATACAGTGGTACCTCAGGTTAAGAACTTAATTCGTTCCGGAGGTCCGTTCTTAACCTGAAATTGTTCTTAACCTGAAGCACCACTTTAGCTAATGGGGCCTTCTACTGCTGCCGTGCAGCCAGAGCATGATTTCTGTTCTCACCCTGAAGCAAAGTTCTTAACCCGAGGTACTATTTCTGGGTTAGCGGAGTCTGTAACCTGAAGTGTATGCAACCCGAGGTACCACTGTATAAACAGAAAAGGGAAACAAATATATTGCAGCTTGCAGATAACTGGCAAGATCCATAGTCAATGTTACATTGACTATATTGGGGTTGCTTAGTACAAGTGTACTATTTAGTTTGGATGGAGCAAGAAGGGTGAGTGATAATACTTACCAACAGTATGCTATGCTAACAGGGCCTTTTCTCACACTTGGCCAGAAAAAAAAATGCTGGGGCATGAGGTTAAGAAGTGCTCATGGGTGAATGCCAAAATGCAATATGAGGTGGTGGTGTTAACAGGCTAACAGAAAATCACTTGAAGAGATAAAAATGAATATGACAAAGAGCTGATTAATAGCTATTACACAATCAATATAAAGTACAACGTAACCTAGTCAAATTTAATAAAGGCAACATCTGTACATGAAGTACACACACTTTGTAAGAAGAGCAAGAGTCTACAACCTGACGCCTGATATATTAACTACCATATTAGCTCAAGCGGAGGCCAGTTATCCTGCTTTGTAACTTAATCATAAGCAACCAAATCCTTTAATTAATATGGAACAGAGTGAATAAAAAAGCAATTTAAAAAACCTGATATTTCAAGGCTTAATAGAATATTTCTTCTTTAAAATAAATAACCAGCTGTAAATGACATCTGCTCTTAATGCAAGGATAGTACCTTAGAATTAAACCTACAGCCCTCTTTAAGAAAGGCCCTCTTTTTTATAAGTATCTGTGTAACAAACATCAACACAACAGTCTAAATACTGTACTTATATATTACATCTTGATATTGTGGACAAGGGGCTGGCAAATCAACACAGATGTCATCCACTGAGCCATCTGGGTAACCATAAAAAAGCAATTATTGCACTATAATCCTAACACTACTTGAAATAATTTTGAGCATCCAGTTATCTAACATTAGCAATCTTGTTCTTTTCAAAAATACTAAAAATATGAAGTATTCTCAATTGGTCTTCTCTCCCTTCGTTTTTTAAACCATTGTTTCACTAATCCACCCTAATATTGAGTAATTAAGTGGGTACAATAACACAATGCATATAATGTATTGCTATGGAAATAAAACTTGCACGCTTAAAGAAAAATACAATGTATTACATTCAAAAGTAATGTAACTATCTTTCTTCCTGTGCTTAATACACTTGATTGAATCCAGTCTAAATTATCAGACATTGAAGATGGCATTACATTAACCACATTTGAACATGATACCAAGCCACAAATTGCATTCATGGACAAGAGTTCACTTTATCATATGCATGAAGTTTTATTCTCAGTTAGGTGTGGTGTGTGTGTAAGTAAGTAGTGAAAACAAAGGACTGAAATATAGAAGATGCAAACTGTGATTATTTAGAATCTTAAACCTAATTAATTACAGAGACCATTTACAAGGAACAGTTGATGTTGTTTGCATCTTTCTGTCTTGAAAGACAATGGAGTGTGCTTCTGGGGGGGTAACGTCAAATCGCTCAGTTAGCAGCACCAAAGTGCCCACATGTGCTAGAATTAAATTTCTCAGAAAATTGTGATTCAACCATTTCACACTGGAGTCTTGCTCTGAAGTTCCTTGGTTCAAGAATGCTCATTTTAAGGTCAAACTGAGACTCTAGATTGAAACTGCTATATTACAATATATCAAAAAGTTTGATTCTGTCACCTGCAACCTGAATCAAGTTAATGTATTTTATTCAAGAGAAACCTAGTCATTTATAAATAGTAATTTATAATTTTGCCACAACCCGTTCAGCAGATCTTAATAAAACCTGAATATTCTTCATAGGTTAATTCACTGGAAAGTTCTTTAAATAAACTTCTGAGTACACCTCTCAGATGTGATGGCCTATATTAGACTCATGGGATTAGATACATAGCATAACACCACACAGTAATTTAGTCACAAAAGTATGCCTCTCACAAGTCTTATGACTTATGAAGTTGTCAGACTTTCCAGAAATTTTGGCCTAGGTTTAACAAAGAAATATACAGCTACTGTACTACTATTTAGTTATGTTTTTGCACTACCACACCACATGCTATTTTCAATTTGATTTTAACATTTAAAAATTCTTCAGTTGTGAACAAAATGGGGCAGGGCAGTTTAAAATTAAATTAAAACCTTCCCTGTGGAAGTTTTTTTTGTTTGTTTTTTTAAATAATATTCCTGATGATGCTTGAAAAATTCAATTAAAGAAACCTTAAAAATCACACTTGTATATTAATTGATTCATACAAATTTATGTAGATTAGACAACAACACTAGTTCTGAAAAAAGAGGCATACTATCATTTTTTACATCATGCAGGTAACTATCAAACCAGGCACCAAATATAAAAAAGCTATCCCTCAGGGTGATAGAAGTCTCCAACACACATGGAGTTGTACTTATGTGAGTAAGACATGAATTATTATTTTTAAACCTGCTCCTTGTTGATCAAAGTCTTTCAAACAATTTAAAAAGCTGTTTGATCAACTAAATACGGCAACTCAAGAAGTTATTCGGGAATTCAAAGATGCAATCTCAACTTAACAGTGGAAGAAGTCCCATGCTCTCAGAAATCATGGCTCACTCTGATCTGTCAGAATCAATCACTTCTTAACCATATACTGAACTCCTTTTGAAGATGACCATGTTGTACATCTCAATCTGCTAATATTCCATTGCTAACTTCCAAGGGCTGCCCAACACACCACAATATGAACCTGAGTTCAGTCTACAGACTGGCAGCAGCTATCCAGGGTTTCAGATAGGGCCTCTCCCAATCCAGCCTGGAGAGGCCAGGGATCATACCTGCGAGCTTCTGGGTGCAAGGCATGTCCTCTACCACTGAGCCATGACCCAGGTTCAGTGTATACTGCAGTGGTTAGGAGCAGAAACGAAACTCCAGAAAGCGCCCCAGCTAGTAGACCGTTCAGTTCAAATTATATCTTTCAGCTGCCAAAATCCCCTTCCCATCTGTGATATGAAGATAATGGTATTTTAAAAATGCTTTATTTATTGTTTGTGACTACTTTCGTTATGTTACTTTTTTCATGTTGTAAGCCGTCTTGAACATGGTTTGAACTGTGGAAAGGCAGCATGCAAATAAAATTATTTGTAATACTGGCCTATCTTGCTTGGCAAGTGTAACAAGGAATGTAAAGCAGATTTGAGCATGAATGCTTTTCCCTCACGTGTGGAAAGAAACACCCACCATTCCAGTGAGCAGTCACTGCCTCACCCTACACCCCTAGAATTAGATAACAAGGATTGTAAAGCAAATTTGACCTGCCAATACCTTTCATTTCACAAAGAGTATCTGTTGGGTCCATAGTACAATCAGGAATGTAACTCCACTCCAGTTAAATCCAGAAACCTTACTCCAACTCTACACAAAACCCCAAGCTGGAGCAAGCAAGAGGGGAGGACGCTGAGGGTACTTATTTCACTTGTGAATCACTTCCCATAAAACTGTCCCAAAGCGATGATGAACAGGGCATTGCAACACAGGAACCAAGTCCCAGCATTGGCCTTCCAAACAGGGGACCAGACCTGGAGATGCCAAGGATTGAAGCAGGGACCTTATGCATGCAAAGCAGGCGCTCTCCTACTGCTCCCGCAAAAGATCCCTGTTTCTGAGGCAGACTCAGAGGCTCCCTTTACATAACCGCCTCCCCACCTGGCAGCTCCGCACACCTTCGCCAGGAGGATGCAAGAAGTGGGGCGGGGGGGTGGCGCTTCCACACCCAGCGCCCTTAACCCCCCCCCCCGCGGACTCGAGAGACAGCTTCTTCTGCCACGAGGAAGGAGAAGCGTAAGATAGGAAACAACACGCGTCTCTCTCTCCCTGCACGGCATTCCCACGACCAGCAGGTCCCTCACCTTCGGGGGAAAGCGACAACCGCGCGCGGACTTTTACTAGGGGTTGGTAAGCACCCGCGGAACACGGCACGCTGTGGTTGTTGCTTTCCGACTTCCGAGTACAAACACGCCTGTGGGAGGGAGGGAGGGAGGGAGGGAGGCGGCGGTTGAGCTCTGTTCACCTGCTCCCAACCGTCCCAACCGCCGCCCGCTCACGCGCCAGGGGGACGCTCCGTCCGTCAGTCAAGGGAGCAGCTCACTTCTCTCTCTCTCTCTCTCTCTCACCCGAGCCCCGCCCCGCCGCCAAGTCCGTCCGCCGAGCAGCGCAACCCCATCTGCCCGCCGCGCGCCCAGCACCAGCCTCTCTCCCCTCAGGGCAAAAGCGAAAGCGCGGAGGGAGGGAGAAGAATCCCACCCGAATCTCCGGCGACAGACCTCCTCGTTACCTCAGCGCCCAACGGCGCCCCTTCCGCTCCGGGGGCCGCCGCGACAGCTCCGCAGCCCCTTATTCATTCGCCGCGCCGCGCCGCTCGGTGCCCGTCGGGTTGGGCTGCCCAGGCGGAGCCAAACCGCCAAAAGCAACCCCTCCCCCTGAGAAAAGAGGAGGAGCTCCGGGACGGGGGAGAGAGAGAGAGTAGGAGGGGCGTGGCGCCTTCCCTGCCCCGCCCCGCGGTTCAGGCCAGCGCCGCTCTGATTGGCCGCAGTAGGTGTTCTCCCCGCCTTGCGTAGCGCGGCCGCCTCATTGGCTGGGGAAAGAAGCGCAAAGCTGGCCCCTGATTGACTGCCGCGCGACGCCTGGAGGCTGTCACGTGAGGCTAGGTGGGGAGTCGCTGTGAGCAAGGTCCGCTAGGCAGATCCGCGGGCGTGTTTGGCCTCTTGTTCCCAGGTGGTCTCTAAGCGGGAGGTGGGGGACGGGGCAGCTGCGAATTCTGTTTCTTGACGCATTTTTCCTTGCTTGCTTCTCCCTGAGCCGCCTCTTGAGATGAGCGCGTCAGTCAAGAACCCTGTTGAATCTGGAAGGAGGCGCACGCTTGGATGCCCTGATGCAGCTGCGGCTGGGAGGCTGCACATACCACCTCCCAGGAAAAACACAAGACTAGGAACCTGGCCCCGCCCATCAGCCAGTGGAGCATCTGTTCCTATGCTTGCTTCTCTCCCGGTCCCAATTCCGTTTGTATCATACCCAGCTCCAGTCCCTTCCAGGAAGGAAGTTGAGGCAACCGCTTCAGGTGGCAGGATCCACAGGGGAAGCAGACCCGCCCCCCCCCACGCGCTTCCTGATGTACATCTTCACTTATCCCTCCAATGGCAGCAAGGCGTGGGGTGCCATTTTGTGGTTCACCTCAGGCACCCAAATGTTTTGGGCCGGCCTGGATTAAATCTATAATATTGCAAAAGCCTCCTTTTTTGGATGAGCTTTTTCTCAAGCCGTCTTGCATCTGATTTGAAAAGCTAAGCCAGGTGCATCTGAGACAACTGTTGCACATGCACAGATGGCTGCTTCATTGGAGTTTGGGGCAGAGGAGTGTTGTAGGTGAAAGGTGGCAAATGGAGTAATGCACATCTGGTGAGGACATCTCTGCCCCCTCTTTGGTGTGTGCAGCAACTTATGAATGCAACATCAAACACAGCAGGGAGGAAATAGCTTGGCTGCATTTTAAGCCATGCATATGTACACAGCCCTAAATCACAACTCGTGCCTCCACCACTGGCCACCTTTGCACCTGCCTCTGGTTGGTGGATCAGTCAATCAATAAATAAAAAAAAAGAGGTTTTAATGATAAAATAGACCCTGTAAGCATGACTGTAGTCAGGATTTATGTTGGGGGGCAGGTTTTATGTTGGGGCGGACAGAACCTCAGCTGAGTACAGTCATACCTCAGGTTACAGACGCTTCAGGTTGCGTTTTTCGGGTTACAGACGTGCCGAAACCCGGAAGTACCGGAATGGGTTCTGGGTTTCAGCGGTCACGCATGAGCAGATGCACTAAATCGCGCTTTGCGCATGCGCAGAAGTGCCGAATCGCAACCTGCGTGTGTGCAGACACGGCGTTGCGGGTTGTGAACGCTGCAGGTTGTGAACATGCCTCCTGCACAGACCACGTTCACAACCTGAGTGTCCGCTGCATTTTTATTGATTTACTTGATTTAGGGGGAGCAGCTGCCCCCCTGGCTATGCCCATGCCTGTAGGTATGACTGCCCTGCTCCTCCTGGTCTAATTAAAAAATAGGTGCTTTCAGCATTCTAGCCGTGCTCGCCTTCATAGGCATTGTTATGAGATGGCCCAGGAGACTGAGCCCCAGGTCTTTGGCACCTCAGGTCTTGGGCCCTGGATATCCTGTTCTGTTTCCTACTTTTTTCTAAATGTAAAATCAACTTGATTTGCTATCATGCTATTTAATGTTGGTGAGCAATAAATGGATCAAGGTCTACAAGCAGATCAGGGGACAATTTGTGGCAAGAGTTTCTTACTCTCAATTGTTTAACAATGCAGCAAAAACCAATTCCCTTGACTGCTGAAATAAAGCAAGCTTTGGAGACAAAACCAGGCATGGACTTTTTTGTGGAGTTCAGGTTCTGAAAACAAATTCATGGGTTAAGCCTGCAGTCAGAAGCATCCTGTACCTTTAAGTGTGTGTCATCCCACCCCACCCACTATTTTGCACCTGGTTGCAGTTGGTGGACTTCCAGGGTTTAGTAAAAACCACAGTAGATCCTACAAGCCTGAAATCTGCCTGCCCTGCTGGTTGCCAAAAATAGGATAGCTAAAAAAAAATGTTGGGCAAGAGTTTCTGCAACATTCCTGTGTGTAGAGGAAGCCCAGTGCTAATGAGGGGATTTGTGGGCTCTAGAACAAACATGCCAGTTCCCAATTCAGGGTGAAATCCTTATTAAATTAATGCTTATTAAATAAACCATGCTCCCCACCCTACACACAACCTGGGTCCTTGTCACAATGACCACATTTGCATATAACACTAAGACATACCATGGCAAATGCACAGACTTCCAAAGAGAAAATTGTAGCTGCTTTGCTTCTTGCTGGTCCTTTTTAGCTCAGCATGGTGCGACACCTAAGCCAAGTGTCATTTGAACCCAGCATCTTATTTCAGCTCTCTCCTCCTTAACCACAGTCTGCAGCCTGGGTTTGTTCCCATGCCTGTGGAATGAAACAGATGTACCAGGGAGAACTGTTCCCTGTTTCCTTTTCCTGTCCAGCGATGAACATTCTAAAATATTCCAAAGATTCTGTGTGCTGTCTTCCGGCAGCCTAATTGCAATACACCAAGGGAAATATGTTTGATGCTTTAAATCGGCCCTGGTCCTTTAGGGATAAGACAGCTTAAAATATAATAATGTGTCAAACCCATTGAAAAGGTTTTTTTTTCTTAAAACAGAGATGAAAATGTGTCTCATATGAGGTGGGAGCAAACTCTTCTATTATAATATTTTTAGAAGTACATTCCCAACTGATCAAGAGTGGTAGTCAACTAAGTTTTACTCAGAGTAGACCCACTGGAATTAATGAATGTGACCAACTTTAGTCCAGTAATTTCGGTGACTATACCTTCGTTGAACACCACTCTGGGAAGAAGACTAGCAGGACTGCTTTTGTGTTAACGGCAACTTAACTTTCAAAAGCCACCAGATCAAACTTCCATAGCACAACACTGAGTATTGCCCAGAGGCTAATAATGCAGATAAAGCTGCAGTTGAACACATAGGGCCAGAGGCATGCCATTTTAGCGTCAACCTCACAATGTTTGGGGAGGGGAATTTTCCTGACTTTTCCCTTAAGCCCACTAGTTGTGCAGTTTCATTCATTCATTCATTTTTTAAGAAAGTAGTAGAATTGTGGAATCATAGAATTGTAGAGCTGAAAGGGGCCTCAGGAGTCACCTAGTCCACTGTGCAAGAATCTTTTGCTCAACGTGGGGCTCGAACCCACAAACCTGAGATGAAGAGTCTTATGATCTGCTGATGGAGCTATCCCAGAAGGGTAGATCTCAGCGAACCATAGTAGGTTACTCAATGTGTATATAGATGTAAAAAAAAAAAAAAAAAAGGTATTCCCAACATATTTGGGGCTATATACCCCTTATTTGAGGGAGTAATTCAAAGGGGGTTGTTGTTAAGAAGTGGTGCCAAGCTTTGTATTTCTCTTGTAACTACATAGGTTAAGTAACAGTTCCCCTAGAGAAGGGCAGTGTCGCCTGAAATGTGATAGGACTGTAGGTATTATTTTATTTCATAAGTCTTCCTTGTATCTTGAATACTGAGCTTTATACTACTAAGTTCCACTGCAAAACAATTGTTCAATGTAGCATCAATTAGGCCACTAGCAGGGAACAAATCTACCCAACAGGTGATTTGAGAAGGAGGCCTTATCCACATTTAACTTTCCCCCCACCCTCTCCATGCAGAGGTTTGTGCTTTAATGCTCCTTGTTGGAGCCCTTTCCTCCCCCCCTCCCCTTTCCCTACTGAAATCTGTTATTCAAAGCTGAATCAGAGCAAACATCAATCCGGGTTTTCCACAACTCGACGTTTGCTCTGACTGAGCTTTCAAGAGCGGGTTTTTGCAGGGAAAACTCCAGAGCAAAAAATAAAAATAAGAATTGGGGGTGCTTGGGCACAGACCTGGAAGGAGCAGAAGAAAGGTGCGGAAAAGACCTGAGCCTCTTCAGTGTATGTGAAATATCTAATAATCAGTTTTTCTTCAATAGCACCATTATTTTTTAGAACCAAGAGTTTTGTACTTACCCTTATTATGAATATATGTTTATGTGTTGCACATTTTCAGCGCCATGCTTTTAAAATATTCATATGTTTTATTCATTATTAATTTAAGACGATCAAGTAGCTGTCAGAACAATTAGCTGATTTACTGCAGGCTGAAATTCTTTCATTCACTAGAGGCAATAAAATTCCACCAATTTGAGTTTCTTTTCAAAAGCTAGCATGCTGGACTGCACTAAATGAGTGCTATATTTCTAAGCATGGAAATGGAGGATTGCGATCAAAAGGCTGATACACATTTTAAATAGGACTCTTGATACCCAGTGCACGGCCTGAAGCGTGCCTTGCTAGGCATAGAATTGCAGCTCTGGCAGAAAGATTTGTCTTGCCCATAGTCCGTAGACTGGGTACACGACATGCATTTAAAGAACATTCTGAGCCCCCTCCAAAGAACTTGTTTGTTAAGAGTGCTAGTAATTGTATCTCTGTGAGTGGTAAACTACAGTTCCCAGGATTCATTTGGGGTGGAAATGTGCTTTAAAATGTGTGTTCTCTAATTAATTAATTACTTAGTTACTTACCTAGGTTGTAGGAAGACCAAATATGTGACATGTGCAGCCCTGAATTCATATCTTAATATAGGTAAAGGTAAAGGGACCCCTGACCATTAGGTCTAGTCGTGGACGACTCTGGGGTTGCGGCGCTCATCTCGCTTTATTGGCTGAGGGAGCCGGTGTACAGCTTCCGGGTCATGTGGCCAGCATGACTAAACCACTTCTGGCGCACCAGAGCAGCGCACGGAAATGCCGTTTACCTTCCCGCCGGAGCGGTACCTATTTATCCACTTGCACTTTGACGTGCTTTCGAACTGCTAGGTTGGCAGGAGCAGGGACCGAGCAACGGGAGCTCACCCCGTCGCGGGAATTCAAACTGCCCACCTTCTGAACGGCAAGTCCTAGGCTCTGTGGTTTAAACCACAAACGCCACCCGCATTCAGACCTAAGCCTTGGGAGTCTCTTTTAGCCTTGGGAGTCTCTTTTTCACATCCTGAGAGAAGTACCTTAAAACCTTGCATTTCTTTGCAACGTTGACTGTCCCACTGTTCTTTCACTTGCAGCTGATGCCTAGGCAGACCAGCTGAAAAAGCTCTGTTTTGACAGCAGGCATGGGCATAGATCTGTAATGTAACGGATTGCTTATTTTGTAATATGGTCGGTGATGGATGGCTGAAGCATGCCAGTGATATTTTTCTAGAAAAAGAGGTGTCGGACCTCAACATGAACACCTCCCTTGTTCTCTTATAATAGCAAAGGTGCCCACCTGAGAGGTGCCGGAACTGAGTTCCAGCGAGTTCCAGTTGAAAAAAAGCCCTGGGTGTGCCTGAAAGCCATTTAGCAATGGGAAACCTATGACTTCCCCAGAGGATGATGAACTACAGTTCCTATTACAGTGATATCTCGGGTTACAGACGCTTCAAGTTACAGATGCTTCAGGTTACAGACTCCGCTAACCCAGAAATAGTACCTCGGGTTAAGAACTTTGCTTCAGGATGAGAACAGAAATCGTGCTCCGGTGGCGCGGCGGCAGCGAGAGGCCTCTGTAGCTAAAGTGGTACCTCAGGTTAAGAACAGTTTCAGGTTAAGAACGGACCTCCAGAACGAATTAAGTTCTTAACCCAAGGTACCACTGTATCCCTAAGATGACCATGCTGCCTAGGGCTTATGAGAGTTGGAGCTCAACAGCATGAGGTCCCCATCCCTACCACACCTTGCAACCTGGAACCTGTGCCTCTAATCCTTGACTTGAAAGCTCAGATGCTAAGGCATTATAAAGATTCAGTGTTTGGGACCCAACCTATATTTAACAGACAACAGACCTCAACCTATGTTTAACAGACTTCAGACAGTATTTAAGTAGTTTGCAGAACAATAAATGCAGTACAGTACAAAATAAATAGATAACCAACAATGGAACCAAAAAACTGCAAACAATGCCATGCAATATTAAACAGAACTACAATGAAAAGCAGTAAAGCAATACAACGCCCCCCCAAAAAACATAGCAGTTCATTTTGAAATGTATTTAGAGCCAGGGATTCCTTCCTTCTTGCCAAGGCATATCCTGACTCACAAAATGCACATACCCCTCTAGCACAAGCACCCCACACCCAAATTCTGCCATTACATCTATACAAATTATATAATGTCTACTCATTCAATATCAGCCATCCCACTGAACTCGCACACCAAGCACATCATTTACTCCAATATCTCCCACCCAGTCACCAGCCACCACGATGACCATTCAGTCCACTTCCATGCCACAAATTGTATTGCAGGAACACCAAGGAGAAAACGAAGCCGTTCACTGACAGCGTAGTATAAATAAAGCCATCAGTCACACAGATGTACTGCTCCAGAGAGCACTCTGCTTCTCGCCCAGGTTGGAACTGCACACACCCCTCCCTGGTCCTCCGTCCGCTCACCAAGAAGTGCCCTCAGTCAGGTCAACCCACAGAAGAGGTACTCTTAATAAAAATGAAAATGGAGGTCACCCCCATCACTATTCTCAGCATTGCTGGTTTTGTAGCTCTCTGACTAGACGGCAGTCGTCATCAAAAGCTGGTTCCACTCACTTCCTCAACAAGATGACTCCCAGGTCCGCCAGGAGTATCAGGGAGTGAAGAGAAGAAGTATGCTTAGATTTCTCTTCCCGTTCCCCCCTCGGTCTAGAAGCTTTAATGTCAATTAGTTTCGGAGGCCCTGCTTAAGTAAATGGCTGTGGCATACATGAGCCATGAAACACGTTTATTTTCCTCAAGTTATGAATGTAGCTGCTGAAGAATTGTTAAGAAAGAAAAGTTGCCTTTATAATACATTGCCCAGCAGTTGGAGCAACTGTATCTGGGGACACATTATAAAGAACTTTGCTGCTTTAGCAAGAGATACAGCTACGCTCACCTCACCTGGTTCTGCCACCACACTGCCATCACAGGCGAGGCTCATTGCAGAGAACTTAATGGACCCTCATGCAAATCCCCAAAGGTCTTTCTGTGACTCTCACAGACGGAGATCAAGCTGTCAGCAGGCAAATGTTTACCCTGGTATCACAAGGATTATTTTACGGTCTCAGCATGCTTAAATTCTGAAGTCAGTGGGACTTAAGCATGCATAGCTCTGGATAGGATTGCAGCAAGCGCTGTAAATAAGGTAGGGGGGATTCTGTCATATGAAGAATTTCCTGTTTCCAGAGTGCGGCCTGTTTCTAATCTGTTGTAAGGTTCTGCTGAGTTCTGAAATGTTTTATTATTTTTCTGCAGAGATAAAGTTCTAGTCCTCTTAACCTCCTGACTCTGATGCTCTGGCAGAGCATAACTGAGATTCTTGCATAATTAAACAGTGGGCTCTCAGGTGACACTCACACTGTTCAAGTGTATTCTTCAGGCTTTCGACTTGCAGCCTGGATCGGTTTACATCTGCATGGCTGCTGAGAGAAGGGTTTTCCGAGGTCACAAGGGAGGGGGAACAACCTCTTGGAAAAGAAAGTGCTTAACCAAAGACTCCTTACTGTTGCAGTTCAGACTCCAGATGTGAAGTCAGTGGCTGAGCAGTGGGGGACAGGAATGCTTAGAAAACAGCTATGCATATACCAGAGGAATAAGGGCCTGTGAGAGGGGTGAGAGAGGCAATAAGCAGAAGCTTTGTTTCAAAATATCTGATAGTAAATGCATAACTTAAAGGGCTGTGCTCTTTAACAAAATAAATAAACAAAAGCTGTTGCAGAAGAGGGAAGTTTTCATAAGGACTGTTGCATACAGGAAAGGGGGTTAACCATTGCTTTTCCCCCTAAAAAATATAATCTTTAGGAGTACTCTCATTTTGACACAATAAAACCACCATTTTATAGTTCAAATCGGGAAAAATAAATACAGTAAATGGACAAAAGTACAAAGATTCACAAAATGATTAGGGGTACGCATACCCCTGCGTCCCCCCAGAAAGAAAGCACTGGGGTTAACTATTTCCTCTCAACATGGTCTCGATAAGAATCCCCCTTCTCAATGGTGGCTGTTTGGTCCTAGCAAGCTCCTTGGGAGGTAGGTGAATTTTCATCAGGATTGCATTAGCAGGGCAGGAGAGCCGGTGTGGTGTAGTGGTTAAGAGCGGTAGTCTTGTAATTTGGTGAACTGGGTTCGCGTCTCTGCTCCTCCACACGCAGCTGCTGGGTGACCTTGGGCTAGTCACACTTCTCTGAAGTCTCTCAGCCTCACTCACCTCACAGAGTGTTTGTTGTGGGGGAGGAAGGGAAAGGAGGATGTTAGCCGCTTTGAGACTCCTTCGGGCAGTGATAAAGCGCGATATCAAATCCAAACTCTTCTTCTCTTCTTAACCTCCTACCCATGGCCATGCACCATGGTCCCATTGTAAATTGGAGGAGGTGGTACATGGGAGTAGCCAAGCGGGAGCAGGGGAGTAGTTACCCCCCTAAATCAATCAAAATCAATATACAGTGGTACCTCAGGTTAAGTACTTAATTCGTTCCGGAGGTCCGTACTTAACCTGAAACTGTTCTTAACCTGAAGCACCACTTTAGCTAATGGGGCCTAATGCTGTTGCTGCGCCGCCGGAGCACGATTTCTGTTCTCATCCGGAAGCAAAGTTCTTAACCTGAAGCACTATTTCTGGGTTAGCGGAGTCTGTAACCTGAAGCGTATGTAACCTGAAGCGTATGTAACCTGAGGTACCACTGTAAATCTGAGGTTCTTCCCCCTTAACAAAAATCCTGGCTACGCCATGGGGCGTATTAACAGTTTCAAAACGGACACATTTCATGCCCTGTATAGCTTGCTTCTATGGTTTCAGCCTTATGCGCACTTACTTTACGATACCGAACTCAGTAGGACCTCTGGATAAATATGCATAGGATTGCATAGATGTTACTGTTTTCATGCATGCATAAAGATATATTCAACATTATGTATTTTATGCAGCACTGCTGGTTATGTGTATAACGTTTACCTTGCAAAATAAGAAAAGAGAGGCCTTACACTATAGAGTTTGACCATGGGGAGTGAATGTGATGAATACGTGGGTATCCTGTTGTGGATAAATACTAAAGGTTTAACAAAGGGCATCACAGGAAACATGGATTTTGTGGAGAGATGTCAATGGACACTTGGTTTTCAAATTCTTTGCCATACAACTGCAGCAATAGATGTATATCTAGAGCAGAGGTCTGCAACCTTTAAGACAAAAAGAGCCACTTGGACCCGTTTCCGAAGAAAAAAAAACTGGGAGCCGCAAAACTCGTCATTATAAAAATAACTTTTTTGTCACTTTTTAAAATTATTTCTTTGTTTGACCCCTCAGAATTACTCCTCCTCATAGAAATAAACGTTAAATTAACAAGTTACCTTTTGTGTGTGTGTGTGTTCTTCACTCCCCTTCAAAACAGTGACCAGCGTACATGCCCCCTTTCAATGCAGTGACCAGCGTACATGCCCCTTACAATGTAGCGGGCGGGCGGGAAGGTGACGTCGGGATGGTGCGTGACTAACGCACGCACCGCCCCCATGCGACATCACAGCCAGTACAGCGCCCGCCACAGTGGGGAGTGTCAGGGCGCACAATGCGCCTCCTCCCCTCGCTAGTATCCGCCCCGGAGCCGCGGCAAAGGTGTAAAAGAGCCACATGCAGCTCCGGAGCCGCGGGTTGCAGACCCCTGATCTAGAGTGTCGGCATGCCTGGGACCCCACCCAGACCACTTTCTCTAGGTGCTGAGTGGTTGGCCATTGCTGAGTCTCATAATCCAAGCAGATGTTTGCCAATAGTTAACAGATTATGGACAAGACTTTATCCTGAAAACATAAGTAATCATGCTACCACATCTTTTCAGAATGTTTTGTGTCTCGTATGGATTTACTAACCTTAGCAAGAGAGCTCCTGAGCTCTCTGTAGAGCCTACCTTATTGCAGAGGGTTATGCATTTCCATGAATATTAACTGGAAGATTTTATAAGATTCTTTAACAGCAACCCATCCGAGCAATTTATTTTTAAAAAATAAGTGTGAAGAACGATCTTTTAAAACGGTCATCTGTAAAGGAGCAGACTTTAATACTTTACTGGCATTAATATCCTGATCCCAAGATTTGACTCAAGCAGCATAATCCCCCATGGAGGCTCCACCAAAATTAATGAATGAACTGCAAGAGAAGGTTGTGCAGCTTGTTTTGATGAAGCTTGCATAAAATTTCACATCTGAATTAGTGTGGGGTGGGGAGGGGTGCAATTTGGGGTTTTATTTTGTTTTTGCCTTGGGTTGTAGGTTCATGACTGAACAAGTTCTGAATTTAAGTCTCCAAGGCAAATGTATCCAGCATGGTGCCCTCTGTATTTTTCATAATACAACAACCCCCACAATCCCTGGCCACTGGCCATGCTGGCTAGGGCTGATAGGAGTTGAAGTCCGACAGGATTTTGAAGCTGCAACGTCGGCTGCTCTTGTTCTAAGGCCAACCAATGGACCAGACAATGGCTCTCAACCCTCAGCCACCTCCATGAATCAAGAAAGTATTCACTGACCCTGCAGCAAAGACTGAGCAGAGTGGAAATTTGCCTGACTTGGATAAAGAACACAAACAAGACCTCCTCTTTGATCATATCAAAGGTCCATCTAGCCTTTCCTCAGTGACCAATCAGATGCCTCAAGGAAGCCAACAAGCAGGACTCAAAGGCAAGAGCCTTCCCTTGTCCTTTGCTCCCAGCCAACTGGTATCCATTGTCAAGCTGTCTCTGAAGCGGGAGGCTGCATATAGCCATATTGACTTCCAGCCTTTGATAGACTTACTCTCCACAAATTGGTTTTCCAATCCCCTTTTAAAACTACCGTATCTAACCTCGCAGCCATCACTGCAACCTGGCTGGTGAATTCAATCCTCTAGTTATCGCTCTGCAAATAAATAATTTGTTTTGTCTGTCCTGCCTCTATGTATGGCCAATCGGTTTAATGACTTGACCTTGAGTTCCTGGGAGGGAGGGGAGAAAAATACTCCTCACTCTCTCCATATCACATCCCAGTAGTTTTGGTCTCTAGAAAGGAAAAGTGAGTTTGCTTGCTGATGGTGATCTGCAGCCCTTTCATTTTAAATGAAATAATGTCAGTGCAGGAGAGGTAATCTGTGAGGAAGAGCGATGCATTTGAATACTTGACATTTGGAGTGTGCAGCCATTTGTAAGTCAGCATTCTGGGACTGCTGCGCTGCAATCATAAACAGCGAGAGCTATTTTGCTTTGCAAAACAGTTAAAATGTCACCGCTCCCTCATTATGTTGTTTCCTGGTAAAATACTGCACAGTATCATTATCAATTAATTAGGCATGATCCAGCAGACTTATCTCATTCCTCCACTCCAAGGACACAAAAGGAGCATTGATAGAAACAAAGAATCCCCATTGAGGGATCTGAAACTAGCAGTGTGTCTATTGGGCAGGAATTTTGTTTTGCATTTGAAGCACATGGCTGGAGGAGGGAAGTGTGCAGATAAGAACTGGAATTTGAATGGGAAACCATCATTTTGTGAAACAGTGAGCTGGCCAGCTTCGGATGCTGGTACCATTCATCCTGGCCTTTGCTTCCTCCTACTTGTTTCATTAAAGTCTTCAGCAGCAGGTCAAAAAACAGTGTCTTCAGATTGTTACCTGAGATGCTGCTGAGTCAATCTGTCCATGTCACAGTAAACGGCTCAAACGCCATGAAAGGGCATATACTTGGCATTCAGGAGGCCCTGTTTCAGTCCCTGGGTGGGTCTTTGGGAAAGGTTCCTGTCCAAAACCCTGGAGAGCTGCTGCCAGATGGACTCAGGCTGTGTTAATTTTTATTATTATTGTGAGTTAAAGTAAATAAGAAAAAAGGGGGGAAAGAAAAAGAATACATAAAAATCATTTTAAAAGGCAGCGAAAAACAACAATAGCAATATGACAATAAAATATTTTTTAAAAAGTTACAGAGCTATGTAGCATATATGTACAGTGGTACCTCGGGTTACATACGCTTCAGGTTACAGACTCCGCTAACCCAGAAATATTACCTCAAGTTAAGAACTTTGCTTCAGGATGAGAACAGAAATCGCGTGGCGGTGGCGCAGCAGCAGCAGGAGGCCCCATTAGCTAAAGTGGTGCTTCAGGTTAAGAACAGTTTCAGGTTAAGAACGGACCTCCAGAACGAATTAAGTACTTAACCTGAGGTACCACTGTAAACGGATAAACTTATTGTTTCCCTCAAGTATACAGTACTTTGATTCATGGGTCAATTCATGGATATCCATGTTTGTTTGTTCTCTCAAGAGACACCAAAATTTCTTCTCACATACAACAGTCATTTTCACACAAAAGCTTTCTGGTTGCGCAATAAATGTAAGAGAACAATTTTTCATGTCAAGGCACGCTTATGTAAGGATCAGTAATTAATGAAGGGAAATAAAGAGAATGGCGTGCTGGTTCAGGGGGTGAAAGGTTCACAAGGTGTGCAATAATGAGGCCACTTTATGAGCTTGAAAAACTACCCAGCAAAGCTGCTGTCAGCAACTCTATGGGGAAGAGGCATAATTCATACGACCTTAAACAGTCTGCTCATTATAGAACTTGGGGACAGGTGATTATTTGTATCTCCTGTTGTTAGCTTCTGTTTAGATCCTGCCCTGTCACTAGTTATCCTGGCAACTTTCAAAGATGTTCTAATTTTGCATTTTTTAAAGGCGATAGGTATAGGGGTCCCAGGTCTCCACCTGGCGTGCCCTCCTGTTCCTTTAACAACCCATGCATGTCACCATGCATTTAACAGACGCTGAAAGCACATGGTTCCCCCCAAAGAATTATGGGAAATGTAGTTTACCCCTCACAGTTCTATAATTCCCAGCACTCATAACAAGCTACATTCCCAGGATTCTCTGGGGGAAGTCATGTGCTTCAAATACATGGTGCAGATGTGACCGCAGCTGGGAAAGAAGATGCTTTACTGCTTTGCTCTTTTCCCCTGTCCTGTCACCCACCTTCTCTGCCTGCCTACTGAAAGCAGCGCCCTTGCTTTCCCCTCTCAGCAGGTGGAGCTTGAGTACAGGGGAACAGGACCATGAGGCAAGGTGTCAGGGCTGGCTTGTTGTAGTAGGAGAGGCAGGCTCCTCGGATTTTACTGCAGCCTCTGGCTCACCCTCCTCTGCTTCAGCCACTGAGTCTGAACTGCTCCCTGTCACACGCTCTCCCTGCCCACTAAAGCCATGTGCCCCTTCAGCCTCCAACCACTCTTCTCCCTCTGACCTCTCCTCGGTGTCCCACCACCAAACCCCGGGATTGGAGCTTCACCTTGGGGGTTCCCCAACTGGGGCCTCGCACCACTCCTTGCCATCCAGCCAGTCGCTAATACTGCCCCTCATGCTTGTGTTGCAAACACCCACAGAATAACTTGGCAGTCCTTGTTTGTTTGTTTCAAATGCCTCACACATTTTAGTCACTTTGATGGGCAGTGGCAAAGGCATGTGTTGTAGATTCAGGCAAAGATACAACCCCTTCAGGCCTACCCAGTCCATTGAGAACAGAGAGGCTGGGATCGAATGGTGCATGGCTGCCGCGTCCCCACGCTGCCCTCCCTGAGCGGCCTTGCAAGGCTTGGATTTTGGTGTGTGTGTGTGTGTGTGTGTGTGTGTGAGAGAGAGAGAGAGAGAGAGAGAGAGAGGAGGATGCAATAGCCATGCCTCTGGGGGCTGCTGTTGCTCCAGAGGTGGCAGGGTCTTGGGCAGACATGGTGGGCTCTGTTTGTCCTCCATTCCTTTCCTGCCCCTGGCATGGGCATACGCACGCACGCACGCACACACACCCACACACCACCCTGGGTGGCATGGAGACACTCTCCGCTGCTGCCATTTGCTCCAAACTGCTTTTTCAGCAGTTCAAAAGCTATATGTTTAGTGAACGAAATGAGGATCAGTCACGTGATTTGTTGCAAGTGGCGGTGGCAGTGAACTTTGTATGGGAATGAAAGAAAGGTAAAGTATTTGCAAAGGAAATCGTCCAGAGATTAACTTCCCTCCTGTATATCTTCAAGGGAAATGACACATTATAGGATAAATATCTTCTCACAGCATATGGTTCATTAACAATTGTATTTTTTTAAGGCATTACTTCGACTGATGGAGTAGACATTAGTTTAGGAAGTTCAAACAAAAGAAGAAGAAAAATCCTAGAAACAGCCAACTCACATTATGATGTCTGAACTTCATGCAAATGTTATGTCTCCTTTCATTATAAAGAATAATACCTCCTATTGATGTGGCTGAATGAAATCTTTCTTCATGTGAGAACATTTTGCTTCTCATTAAAATGCTTCCCATCCCGTGGATGTGTTTGAGTGTTTGAGAAGCCAAGGCTAATCTGTGGGAAACAGAATTGGGGGGCTCATCATCATTAAATCGTCAATGTAACAACATCAGTTAATAAAACTAATTATTATAAACAACAAATAAGGCAAGACAACATTCAAACTGCAAATATTTAGTTAAATAAAATTGACCTGGAGGGAGGTTCAAAAAGACCTGCTGGACATCCCCAAGAACAGGGGTTCAGAATTGTGGTGCCATCACAAGAAAGATCCTGCCTCTGGAAACAGGCCCAAGAGCGGCGCCTCTGAAGTTGATGGAAGAGCTCAGGCAGGTTTGTGTGAGTGAAGGAGCCTGTTAAGAAACCAGACCCCAGACATTTAACGACATCAAAATGTGAAGACCTCTCTTATAATTCCAGCTCAGAGGCATGAATGCAATTTCAGTGTAGCGAAGTTTGGGGTCCTCTCATCATCTAGTCAGCAAAATTGTGCCATTTGATTAAATGGCCAGTCAGCCCCCATACCAAGGTCTATAACCAATGGTGCTGCTGTCAGATTAGCTGCATGATTAGATTAGCAGAACACATTAAGGAAGTAGAAGTAAGCTGAAATTTCATGCTCGAGAAGCTGAAAATTGCCTTTCTTTCTGCAAGCGCTGTACTGCATTGGCAATATTCCAAGGATGGACAGTATGTGGCCCTCCAGAGGTTGGATTACAACTTCCATCAGCCCCAACCAGCACTGCCAATGGGTAGGGATGATGGGAGTTGTGGTACAACAAATATCTGGAGGATACAGGTTTTCCACCTCTGATCTCGTGCTACTGAGATGCTTGTGCAATCAAAGCATATTCTACGCTTTCAAAACACATTTTCTTTAAGAGTGAATAATATCTATTCCCACCTCAGGAGGGATACTAAGGCAACCAGATGGGCTAATGGACAAGTAACTGGAGTAACAAAAATGGTGCCCACCAGATGTTGCTGGACTCCAACTCCCATCAGGCCCAGCCAGCATGGCCAATTGTCAGGGACGATGGGAGCTGTAGTCTAAAAACGCTTGGACTGTAAGGCCACAGGTTCTCCTTCCCTGCAAATATTCACTACTGTCCCTAGAAACTGGTGCTTGTAGCATGCTTAAAAGAGAGGAGACGGTAAAAAAAATACTTCTGAGCCAACATCATGGAATTTCTCTTGGGTCTGCTCATCAGCACTTGGAAGGAAAGGAATTCTACTCATCAGAAGAGGAAAAAAACCCTACAACTTTATATATGTTTGGAATGAAAGTGCTAGAAATCTATGCATTCTATTGGAACTTCCCTAATTAGTATCCAGTGAGCAGAGCCTTTTTTAACACAGCAACACTATGAGCAGTCTTGCTCATTATAAGCTTCCCTAGATGTAAACCCTTCTTTAAATATTCAAGGATATTCAGCTTGCCAACCCCCCCCCCACAACTTTTTGAAAAAGCATTGAACTTAACGAATTACAATTATTCCTCTATAGTATTTCTGGCTTATAAATATAGAAAAGTTTCCTCTTAGAAGAACCTTGGAAGTAAGCAGATGGGAATTAATTGGATCCTGCCTGAATTAAAATTGAAATACAGAGAGCAAAAGTATTTCATCATCAATTTTTGGTTTTGGGAATCGTGCTTAGTAGTTGGTTCTTCAAACAAGCATAGCAAGATAAGCCTGAAGCCAGGTGGCTTTTATCTTGTGTTCTTGTGATTTCCCCTTGGCAGTGTCTGGTAAACAAGGAAAACACCTCAGTAGCTGCCACAAAAGTGCTGAAGTGAGAGAAAAAACTAGATCCCCCCCCCCCTTTATCCTGCCTTGTTGGATAATAAATCAATAAAATTATCTCATGATGTTTCTATACCATCTGCATCTCCAAAGATAGTTCTGTTTTCATTAAGCTTTGTGTTATACCTGCACTATCAGAGGCAGTAAGCTTCTCTGAGGGACGTGGGTGGCGCTGTGGGTTAAACCACAGAGCCTAGAACTTGCCGATCAGAAGGTCGGCGGTTCAAATCCCCGCGACAGGGTGAGCTCCCGTTGCTTGGTCCCTGCTCCTGCCAACCTAGCAGTTCGAAAGCACATCAAAGTGCAAGTAGATAAATAGGTACCGCTCTGACGGGAAGGTAAACGGCGTTTCCGTGTGCTGCTCTGGTTTGCCAGAAGCGGCTTAGTCATGCTGGCCACATGACCCGGAAGCTTTATGCCGGCTCCCTCAGCCAATAAAGCGAGATGAGCGCCGCAACCCCAGAGTCAGTCACGACTGGACCTAATAATGGTCAGGGGTCCCTTTACCTTTACCTTTAAGCTTCTCTGAATACCAGCTGCTAAGAATGACAAGTTGCCCTCAAGTCCTGCCTTTTGTCTTCCCATAGTGGTTGGCCACTGGGAGAACAGGATGCTGGTCTAGATCAAGCCAGTGGTCTAGATGGACCATTGGCTTGATCCAGCGAGCTCTCCTTATGTTCTTATGGCAGGCTATTCTTCGTGATACGTAATGCTAGAGAACAGGTTCTAAACATAATTGCTTAAAAGTAAGTTCTGTAGAAATTAAGCGGACTGATAGCCCAAAAAGGGCTCTGGTGGATACATTTAGAATGGTATCCTGTTTCCGGCTATGATTAGCATGCTGTCAGGGCTGGTTCTGCTGCAGGTCAGCACAGAGTCTCAGAAACAAGCAGTAAAGTTGATTCTTCAAGGCTCTGTAAAGCAAGAAAGGCTCATGTGATCATCATTGAGTATTCCGAAAAGCACCTGAAATGTATTAGGTGCTGTACCAGTCTTGAAAAATTCGCCAGACATTTCCTGCAGACTTGTAATTTGACCAAAGAAAAGTGGGGACGGAGGTCTTTCAGAAAGCATGATAAAG